AATCTTATTCGTTGTTTGAGACGCCGACAGAAATTGACCTACGGATACTGTGACATTCAAAAAGTTTATCACTATTTCATAAAGAAATATATGTGGCGATTTGATATTTTCCGTAATTTGCAAAGGAAGAATGAGACCTCCTGTGCCATCGACACATACATTCATATACTCTTTGAATAGTCTGCAGTACTCCTTATAAACAAAAATTTGTTCCTGTAAAAAATATATCAAGAAAAATTTGTCATTACCTATTTCGTGAATAGAACCAGCATATGGAGGGCTGTATTTTAATTTCCTTAATATTTTTCCTACATCATTTCCGTCTTTAGAATCAACACCTAATTTCTTATCGTTACATTCCTGAATTAATTTTCTGAGTACATCATTCTTATACAACATAGGAGCTTCGACATCGCCTAAATTTTGAAATTTTAAAGCCAATTTCCGCCTATAATTTGCTGCTCCTTCAAAAACGACTGCTTCTCCAATGTCCTCACGTTTTTTGTTTCTCAATTGTCTCTTTACCGGGTCATGACTAAATTGTCTTGTGTCCTTACACCCTACTTTTATCCACACATCACTTCCAGGAATTGGTTTTTCATTAATAACACCAAGAAATACATTGTTACATTCACTACTTTTACATCGCCCTTGAATCCGAACGTATGGTTTTTCCGGATCTTCCGATACTCTGCAGTACTTAAAAACGAACGCGCAAGGAATTCTAAATTCTTTCCAGAATTCGTCTGCCACAATGTCAGTCCATTCACCTGGTGGTAACACAAGGAATTCTCTTTTATTATATATTTTACGAACGGGCTCAATTCTCTTCCACAATTCAAATTTTAGACATAAATTAAATGTTTCGCTGTCTGGTAGTTTTAATAATTCACAAAAAGAGCTATTTACATCATCAATGTTCAAATTCTCCTCATCATCATCATCATCATCATCATCGTCAGAAAAAAAATTGATTAGTTCTTCATCGCATTTAATGCTATTGTCTGAGATAATCTTTTCCTTTATTCCTATTTTTTCAAAAACTTCTGTTCTCAAATTCCTCCTATTTTCACGAAGATTTGTGTAAATGTTATGGGCATTCCATTGTCCTTCAAGTAAATTACTCACATTTACATAAAACTGACTTGTATAATGAGGCAAGGATCCATCTAATAAATCTTTCGAATATTTACAAATTGCATTTACTGCCTCGTCAACAGAGATTTTCGCTTGTCGTGGCATCTACAAATAAAAAAGTATTATTTTACAAACCAAAAATATTTCCAAACATGCTTTCAGAAATATTCTGTATGATATCTTAAAAACGAAGTAAAAAAAGAATTCTATTAAAATTTTTATTACTTTTTTGAAAATATGAGTTTGAAGTGGAGAAGGAGCGGAAAAGTGTTACTTTTTTAGCAATTAGAAAGTATTTTAAAAAAATAGAAAATTTCTTCAAATTTTTATAATATTAGTAATTTTACAGCTGTGACAGTGCATTCCAAAAGTGAAATTCACTGATCGTTGTTATTCTTACACTGCATTTTCTTTGAGTGTACACTGAGAAAAAAGGTTTGAGCTGACAACCAAATATTTCATTCAATATATGTGCAACTAAAATTTTTTGGTTGACACAATGCAGACGACTAAATAAGAAAATGAAAAAGAATTTGGTAGTCTCAACCAAACTTTGGTTGATGTCAACTATAGTTTAGTTGTGTCAACCAAAAAATTTTAGTTGCACATATATTAAATGAAATATTTGGTTGTCAGCTCAAACCTTTTTTCTCAGTGTATGTATACGTTCCATCAATGTCCTAACACCTAATATGAAACATATTTTATCATAAATTAATCTAAAAGTCATGTAATTGTTTTAAAAAACAATACACGGACACCTGTTTCATAATTAATATTATCATTTTTATTAAATATATATTTTTTTTATACTTACTATAAATCACTGGTTACAATAGACCACACGACGGTGGCCTATTAACTCGAAATAGTCCTCGAAATAAACTATTGCAATGAACTATAATAAATAACAATAACAAAAAAAATAAACAACAATAATTAACAACAAATTAAGTGAAATTGTTTTATAAAGGGAATCCCAAAAAAGCGAACCGCAAAGGTAGAACCACAAGTAGACACATTCAGAGTTGGTTAGTGTTATACTGTAATTTACACGAGGTATATTACGTTCCCAACCCTGCTACCTACCGTTACGCTGTTAGTTCATCGATATATTACGAGTTCGATTATGACGTCAGATAAATTGCAAAACAGAAATTCATTAGAGTAGCAGGAACAGAAAGATATCATTATTAATTTTACTCTCATTATTTTCTCTTTTTCATTCTGCATTCGCGCTGTCATGAAACATTATGTAAAATACTTATACAATATGTATAAGTATATTCTGCTCAGGCCTTTATACTTTTGACCACCAAACCTCCAAAATTGACTACCAAACACCACCAAACGACCACCAAACGATATCAAAAAGAATTTTCAAAAAATATTAATTTTTGGAGTGCTGATGTGAAGTTAGCACTCCAAAAATAATAATTTTTAAATAATTCTTTTTGGTACTGCTTAGTGGTTGTTTGGTGGTTTTTGGTAGTCAACTTTGAAGGATTGGTAGTTATTAGGGGAAAAGTGGAAAACGTTTTTTGAAGTACCTAAAATATATGATAATTTTTTCTTACTATATTTAATTATAATATGATATTAAATGAAATTCATATACAGAATTGTAAAATACTGTAATCCAAATGAATTTACAAATGGAATTAGGGAAAAAATTAAGTATTGTGAAATGCAATTTGAATTTTCGCGCCAGTTGATCTTACGTAATAGTGAACGCGCTCTCTGATAAAAGTTTTAGAAATGATTTATCATTTATAGTTTTGACCACCAAACCTCCAAAATTGACTACCAAACACCACCAAACGACCACCAAACGATATCAAAAAGAATTTTCAAAAAATATTAATTTTTCGAGTGCTGATGTGAAGTTAGCACTCCAAAAATAATAATTTTTAAATAATTCTTTTTGGTACTGCTTAGTGGTTGTTTGGTGGTTTTTGGTAGTCAACTTTGAAGGATTGGTAGTTATTAGGGGAAAAGTGGAAAACGTTTTTTGAAGTACCTAAAATATATGATAATTTTTTCTTACTATATTTAATTATAATATGATATTAAATGAAATTCATATACAGAATTGTAAAATACTGTAATCCAAATGAATTTACAAATGGAATTAGGGAAAAAATTAAGTATTGTGAAATGCAATTTGAATTTTCGCGCCAGTTGATCTTACGTAATAGTGAACGCGCTCTCTGATAAAAGTTTTAGAAATGATTTATCATTTATAGTTTTGACCACCAAACCTCCAAAATTGACTACCAAACACCACCAAACGACCACCAAACGATATCAAAAAGAATTTTCAAAAAATATTAATTTTTCGAGTGCTGATGTGAAGTTAGCACTCCAAAAATAATAATTTTTAAATAATTCTTTTTGGTACTGCTTAGTGGTTGTTTGGTGGTTTTTGGTAGTCAACTTTGAAGGATTGGTAGTTATTAGGGGAAAAGTGGAAAACGTTTTTTGAAGTACCTAAAATATATGATAATTTTTTCTTACTATATTTAATTATAATATGATATTAAATGAAATTCATATACAGAATTGTAAAATACTGTAATCCAAATGAATTTACAAATGGAATTAGGGAAAAAATTAAGTATTGTGAAATGCAATTTGAATTTTCGCGCCAGTTGATCTTACGTAATAGTGAACGCGCTCTCTGATAAAAGTTTTAGAAATGATTTATCATTTATAGTTTTGACCACCAAACCTCCAAAATTGACTACCAAACACCACCAAACGACCACCAAACGATATCAAAAAGAATTTTCAAAAAATATTAATTTTTGGAGTGCTGATGTGAAGTTAGCACTCCAAAAATAATAATTTTTAAATAATTCTTTTTGGTACTGCTTAGTGGTTGTTTGGTGGTTTTCGGTAGTCAACTTTGAAGGATTGGTAGTTATTAGTTAATTATTAAAACATACTTTCGAAATTTTTCTCAATTTACTCACTTTTATTTGTAACGTGAAGAGATATATTCAAATTTTCATATAAATAATATTATTATCTCAAACATTTTTTCCCCTTTTCTTAACAATAAACCTAATTAAATATAATTTTAGAACTTTTAATTTGTTTTTTAATGTATGTATTGTGGTTATCAATTTTTTTTGAAAGTTTCTATATTAAAAATATAAATAAATTTAAAAATAAAAATCTTATGATTAGTATTGTAAAATACTGTTTTCATAATAAATTTACTTGTGAAATTAAGAGAGTAATGGAATCGTCGTAATTAACAATTTTAATTTTCCTACTATGACATAGTGCGCATTCATCTTTATTCACCTTGATGAATTTTTTAAAATTATAATTATCTTTTATAAATTGAACTACCAAACCTTGTGAAATGGCTACCAAACACCGCCATGCGATATCAAAAAGAATGTTTAAAAAATATTTCAATTTTTAAAGTGCTCATGTAAAATTTTTTGTCCAAAACTACTTATTTCAAAATTTTTTTATTGTTACTACTATATTTAATTATTACATGATTATATTTAATGAAATTCATACAAAATTTTGTGAAATACTATTTTTTAAATAAATTTACAAATGAAATTAGGAAAAAAATTAATAAGTTTAGAAATACAATTTGAATTTTCGCGCCAGAAGACTATGCGCATTCACAAACACGCACTCTTAGGGCGCACTCACACCTCTGGCTGCCTGCACAGGCAGCCAGTGAGAGCCAATCAGAGAGTCAGTAGATTTAAATTTGAATTTTCTGTCTCTCTTACTCTTGTACGTTTTCTGCGTGGTGGGAGGCTGCCTGTGCAGGCAGCCAGAGGTGTGAGTGCGCCCTTATAAAAGCTTTAGAAATAATTTATCTTTTATAGTTTTGACCACCAAATCTCCAAAATTGACTACCAAACACCACCAAACGACCACCAAACGATATCAAAAGGAATTTTCAAAAAATACTAATTTTTGGAGTGCTGTCGTGAAGATGGCACTCTAAACTTGAAATCTGTATAATTTTTTCAATTTTGACCACCAAACCTCCAAACCTGAATACCAAACACCACCAAACGACCACCAATCGATTCCATACAAGAAAACCTGTTTTCCTTTAACTTGGTGTGCCAACTTCACGGGGCTAAAATTAATATAATAATTTATTATTAGGATTTTGAATATTGAAAATATATATAAAAAAAAGAAAGGTTTTTAATAAGAACAACTGAAATTCTTTGAAAATCACTTTTAAGGTAAGAATTTCTAATTTTGTTTCTAACAAATTTCGTTCATAGTTTTCTTTTATTTTTTACTTATTTTGATTTTACTTATGTAAAGTTTATTTATTAACAATTTTATAAAATTAAATATACCGCTATTTTTATGTTGTAATATTTATTTTTTTTAGGTTTAATTTTATATTTTAATTAAAGTATTTTATGTATTAATTAATTTTTTTTTTTATAAAATATTGTAGAATAAGATAAGTAAAATATTTATTTTGATTTTAATTGAAAATTATTTAAGCAAATTTATCATGACAAAATATTTCTCGAAAAGTTTTTCGTATAATTTGAAAGTAGTCATTTAAATTTGTTTAAGTAAATTTTCACGAAAAAAATTTCTTTGCAATGAGAAAAAAAAAAAAATATTTAAAATGCCCCCAGGCTGAAAAGAGGAAAAAAAATAAAATAAAATAAAAAAAATGGTCGCCGATAGTGCTTCAGGACAGAAACTTCTGTTCTTCTATTGCTCATTCACCTGTGTTTATCTACCTGGAATGTTAATACTTCTGAAATTCAACAACAATCTCTACAATGTGGGAACATATAAATTTATGCCAATTCTTTTGATTATCATCATGGCAGAAATTATAAAACTTTCATTTTCCCTTCTACAAACAAATCAACAAGTTTTAGTGAAAAATGAATCGCGTACAAATCAAAAATCACGAAAATCATGTTCAAAAATATTTAAATCAATAATGAAATTTTTCATCGGCTCATGTTTACTTTCAGCTGTTTATTATACAATTATTATTTTATTTGGAGCACCTGTATTATCACTTCAGGAAGAAACAATAATGTTAACATTAACATTAATTACATTAACATTTATACCAGCATGTTTACATTTAGGAATTGATAATGCACTTGGATTATTATTTGGAATACAAGCGAATAATGGTGATATTTTTGCCGAATCAATTAAAACAAATGTAAAATTTACATTAATGGGAACATGGCTTGGTGCAATTGCAATTCCACTTGATTGGGATCGTCCTTGGCAAGCATGGCCAATACCCTGTATCACTAGTGCATTAATTGGTTATACATTGGCACATTTTTTCACTCTTATTGGCATGTTACCAATAATGAAGCAAGCAAAAGCAAAATTTTATCGATAGCAAAATATAAATTTCAAAAAAACAAAAAAAAAATAGAAAAATTTAGAAGTTTTTTTTAAAAAATTAAATTATTTATTTCAATTTTGCATTTAAAATTTTACAAATAGAATAATTTCAAATATAATTATTTATAGATAATTAATTGTTAATTCATATACATTTTTTTTTTCACCAGAGAGTTCCGTTTTTCATATTTAAAGCCGAAAGTAATTAATTTTCTATACGAAAAGCCAAAATTTATCGTTAATTATTTATTAATTTTTTTTTTTATCAAAAATTGATAAATCGTTCGTTTAATTTAATTTCAAACGATTTTTGTAATTAAAAGAAAAATATTTTCGTTTTGAAATTAGAGACAAATTTAGCGTATATAAAAAAAAGGTTTTTTTTTTTTTAATTGTGCAATAATGGGAAAATAAAAAAGACTTAGTTAACTAATTATAATATTGTATTACGATAAGAAGAAAAAAAAAATTGTTGATAATAAGTAATTTGTACAAATTTTCATCACTAATCATTTTTCATTCATCAAAAAGAAAAAAAATTGTAATATTCGTATTATAATAATTTTCAACTAAAATCTCACAGTTTTTCTTTTACATATTTTAAGAAAACGATTGTATTCTAGTCAACGTTTTTTTTTTCCTGTAAATTTTTACGTGTTCTAACATTAATAGATTTAATTAACATTATTCAATTATTTGTTAATTAAATAATAAAATATCGAGATATTTGTATTACTGAAAATCAATAAATTCGTTTAAATTTTTTCAGATTCTTATTTTCCGTGAGCTTTGTTTTTTTTTTATTTTTCAAAAAAAAAAAAAATATTTATTTTTCCATATAAAAGAAAATTTTTGAAAGGAATTTTTAGAATTAAAATTTTTGTTTCTCAACGATGAATGAGACAGCGGAATCATTAATTTTAGAAGCTTTACAAAAAGGTTTGTTTGTAAAATATAAAATAAAATAAATCAAATTTGTTATTATAATTTAAAAAATTAATTTTAGAAACTTCATTAAAAACGGTAAATAATTATGGTGAAACATTATTGCACGTTGCTGCTGCTAATGGCTGTGTGAAAATTCTTAAAGAAATTTTAAAGAAGAAAATTTTTGATATTGACTATAAAAATGTTTTTGGATGGACACCACTTATGCAAGCGATTAGAAACGGAAAAATTGATTGTGCCAAAATTCTTATCGATAATGGGGCAAATGTTAATCATTTCACTTATCTTGGTGAACATTTTTTTTTTTTTTTTTTATTATTATTAAATTAATTAATAATTAATTTAATAAATTTTTTCATATTAAGTCTTTAAAAAAAAAAAAAAGTTATTTAAAAAAATAATTCAGGAATGTCGACAATTGGATTATCAACAGCAATTGGTAGAGAAGCGTTTGAAATAATTTACAATACTTCTACATCAGCCGTTGAAATTGCAGCAAAAGATGAAGTTTGTCCATTGAGTATTGCAGCAATGAGAAATGATAAAGATTTATTTTTTCGACTTTTAGAATTGGGTTTAGATGTTTCTAAAGCAAGTAAGTTTATTTGTAATCTTAATTATTTTTTTTTTTTACGTTAAATATTTCAAATTTTTTTTCATTTTTACAGACGTTTTTGCTCATTGTATGATAAAATCGTCGAAAATTCATGAAATATCATCATTAGCAAAACCACTCGAAGACATTGAGAATTATTGGAATGATTGTTCGGATAATATTGAAATTTTTAATAATGAAACAAAGAATGACAATAATAATGGACAAATCAATGAGAAAAGGAAAAATTTTAATTTACCAAAAATTTGTATTGAAAATATTGACATCAAATTAGAGGAAAATTTTACGAATGAAGGAAAAATTTGCAATGATAAAATGAAAAATTACAAAAGTTTAATATCACCAACACTTACTTATAATTTTGACGGCGCTTATCCACCATCACCAAAAATAATTTCTCCAGAGGGGGAAAAAAATTCAGAAATTGAGAATGAAATGAAAATTCCTTTGAAAAGGTAAATTTACATTTTATAATAATAATAATTTTTTTAAGTAAAAATTATCTATTGAATTATAATCTTTTAGAAATTTAATTTTAGAATATTTTTTCTAAAATTATTTCTAAATATAATTAAATGTAAATTATTATTTTTGAATTTAGATGCCAAAATATTCGCCCACCGGATTTAATAATCGTTAACGATTCATTGGATTTTAATAATACATTGAGTTTTACTCCTGAATATAGTCCAACAAAATCACCACTTGTACCACCGGAAATTGAAGACGAAGACGCAGTATTTGGAGAAATAACTCCAACACAAACAAATGAAAAAACACCTCCGGCATGTTTTATTTTCAATCCAAAAGATGCTCCAATGTCTTTTTTTCTTCACAGTTATGGACTCAGTCGTTTTATTCCCATATTTTTAGAACAAGAGGTAAAAAAAAATCTTTTTTTTTTTTATTTACATCTTCTCCTCCTTCTCAAAAAATAATTACTTTCTTAAATTTTTGAAATAATTAAAATTTGAATTCAATAACAAAAAATTGAAATACAATTTTTTTTTTTTAAATTGAAACTAAAATTCTCAATAGGTGGATGTTGATTTATTTTTGACATTAAATAACGAGGATCTAATTGAAATTGGAATTGAGAGTGAAAACGAAAGACGCATTATAGTTTCAGTGATTGATGAAATTAATAATACAAAATCATCCAATTGAATCAGGAAAATTTTTTATAATTATAATTTTTTATATTATCGTTAAATTTAATTTATTTATAAAAAAAAAATATATCAATTTTTTTCATTTAACAAACTTTATATTAAAAAATATGTATCAGTAAATTTTCACATCAATTAATTACAAGAATTTAAAAAAAATTTCTTTTATTTTTAATTTTTTTTTTTGCATCTGAAAATTCTACACTTTCAAAATATAAACACTAATAAATTAACATTAATTATTTACATAATAAATATTATAGATATAAAATTAAATAACAAAAAAATAATAACAATTTTTGTAGATAAAAAATTGATTTTTATCATCTCTGCAAAGATTTATTTTTTCTAGTCGTATTATTTTTAATAAAAAGAAATTTCAATTTATCAACTAAAACATTTAATTTTTCTTCAATTTCTTCTGACATCAAAGAATCTATGGAATCAATTGGAAGTTCATCAAATGTTTCCAACAATGAATTAACCATAGAAAGAGCAAATTCTTTTTTTTTCTCTAAATCATCATCATTTTTTTCTTCTAATTGAAATGAATTTTCAATTTTTACCTAAAAATTAAAATAAATTATTCTTTTTGTTCAAAATATAAAAAAAAAATATATTTTCTTTATACAAAAATATTGTTAAAATTTTTACTTCGATATTTTCATTCCAAATGTTTATATCCTCATTTTTAATTTGTTCATTTGAATCAACGCTTGCTGATGAATCCTGTAAAAAGAAAATTTTTCTTAACTTATTGATAATTGAAAAAATAAATAATATTTTAGAGAATTTAAAATTTGTAAAGAAATAAACCTTAGTAACTTCCAACAATAAGTCCCATTCATTTGGAATTTCAACTTTGACAATATTTAAATCTTCTTTCACAGATTGTTCATAATTTGATGCAGATGAATTTGTTTTATTATTAAAATTTAAAATTTTCTCTCCTTCACTCTCATTTATTGTTGAATAATTAATTAACGTTTCCATTAAATTGTCATAAAATTTTTTAATATTACGATTATTAAATGGAGTCATTTTTTGTGATGTTGAATTAATTTTTGGCAATTTTTTAATATTAAGATGTTGACGTTTTAAAAATAATCTTAGCCATTCACTTCCTGCCATTTTGTGAATTTTCCACGATGGTGGCATTATTATTTTATTTATTTTAGCAAATTGAAATGCCATTTTTCTCATTCCAATACCATTTAATTCAAAATTCATTGAATCACATTGTTTTAAATATTCAGCCAATATAAATTCATCTTTTGTTGAAAATACTTTTTTCACATCATAATTTGGTGTATAACTTATATCGCAATTATTTTTACAATTTTTCTTTTTTGTTACATATCGTTGTAAAGTTGTTTTACCAATTCCAGTTCTTCTTGAAACTTCATTAATACTTAAGCCATCAGTTAATACTAAATTTACAGCTGCAAACATTTCTTCTCCAGATGTTGATCCTTTTTTTCTTTTTTTTTCATTCATTTTGAAAACTATTCAGAAGAGAATATTTATTAAAATTATTGTTTTTAATAATTACGAAATTTCAATTTTTTTAATTAATAAATTTTTAAAAAATATGTACCTGAAATATGATTAAAATAAATCAATTTACTCTAAAAATATTTCTTGGTTATAAATATGTTTATTATTGACGTTTTGGATCGCATGCAAATTTAATTGAGGTTATGTCACGATTATTTATTTATTTCTCTCTTGAAATAAAATTTAATTCATAACATGGATTTCAATTAAGTACCTGATATTTTCACTAAGATTATTTTTTAAATTATTCCTTTTAATTACCTAACTTAATATATATTTTTTTGTAACACTGAAAAATCAGAAATGAGACCTTGTGTACATACACTGTAAAAAAAGTCAGTGTTATTTTACATCGTATTACGATGGAAATTTTGTGCACACGTTAAACCTGTGGATTTACATGTAGCGTGTTAAGGGAATTTATATGCAGCGTGTAATCTAACACAACCTATATGTTTTTTCACATTTTCAAATATAAACATCGGCAAACCATTAGTTGAATTACACACTGCATGTTTATTCCATGTGGCGTGTTATTCTCCCTTGGCCATGTAATTAAGGTTTTTCATATTCATATTCACTTCGGCCATTCACACTAAGTATGTTATCTCTGGCGTTCGTTTGTTCTTCAAGTGGTTTTTCTGATTTTGTTTTGCCAGACTCAAACACAAAAGTACTGCAGAGACTATTAAGTTTTGCTTTAAATGTTTAATTATATTGTATTGTAATATTTTTATAAAAAAAGTTCTGTATGAAAATTTTTAAAGAAAAGTTGCGAGAATTACGAATTTCAATATTTAAAAACATTTTAAATAATAATTTAGTTCAAAAGAAAAAAATATTCGATCGATTTATCAGATTTTGTTTCCTTTAATTATAATATAATTATTGTTAAGAAAAAAGAGAAAAAAAAAATTACAAGCAAATGCTATAAATACAACATTTGCAGGTTTATATTACATGCATATAGTGTTCTAAAGACAGTAAATTACGTCAAGAAGAGAAAGAAGATTACGGTAATTTACCGGTAAATTACCGGATCGTTTTTTCTCTGAGAATTTATGAGAATTTTTACTTGTACTTTTATCCTTGTCTGACACGTGCGTTGTCATGACAACGTGTATGACGAGGATAAAAGTACAGACATATGTTCCTGACTGTACAATTATTATTATAATGAAAAATATCTTTGTTACAATATATAATATATATATTAATATATTAATATTGATATGATATTACATTATTATATTGAATCAGGTACATTTATATGCCTGCACTTTTATCCTTGTCTAACACACATGTTGCCATGACGACGCACGTGTTAGACAATGATAAAAGTGCAGGCAAATATACCCAACTGTCATCTTGTCAGTAAGAACACAGAGAAAATTAGGGTGCAGTCCCATGGAGCAGATTAGCAGATTAGACGTTGACCAATAAAAAAACAGTCTCTAACGGAAATGTAAAATTTGCCGCGAGAGACTAACTTTTGATTGGCTGAAATCTATTCTGCTAATCTGCTCCATGGGACTGCACCCTTACAGTCTATTATATTCATTGTTCAAATTATTCATTTAATAACATGTCGGTCGTTTATTTATAACTTACATACTATAAAAATACATATTTAAATTTAAAAAAGGCAATTATCAATCACTTAAATGAATATTCTCATATATTCTCATAAATTCTCTTTTTTTCGGTAATTTACCGCAATTTTCTTTCTTACCTTCTCAGGTTTCAATTTTACCGAGAATTTTAAAACACTACATGCATAAGTTGAATGGGGATCCTCACGGCCAAACTTGGCCAGCAGAGGGCAGCATCACTGCAAGATCGTAGAGCGCTAAATTTCAAATCGAGTTTATTCCATGATATTTAATAAACATATTATAAAATGTTTTTGTTCACTTAAAAGACGAATAAAATCATTTAATAAGAAATTGTGGTTATAATAAAGTGTGGGTAACTGTTTAAAGATTTTAGGAGACAAACTGATACGGTCAGCTGTTGTCTGTTATTGCCAGTCATTATCGTCAATTTTCAGACAGCGTTGTAATTAGTTAGTTACTTACTTACTTACTTACTTATTTACTTACTTACTTACTTACTTATTTACTTACTTACTTTTTAATGGACAGTAATATGTTTGTCGTATATATTCAAATTTTATTTGTATTTTATGAAATATTTATTTAATTTGATTTTATTCTTTTTCAATCATTACTATATTGTGAAAAATATAAAAAACAAACAAAATTTACTTATTAATCATTTAAAAATTACAATATAATTACAATATTTCTAATATTCAATATGCAAATAAGTAATTGTTTTTATTTCATTAGACAACATAACCTCAATTTTTTTATTTTGTTTTTACAAGACTCGGAGTTTTTATAATACTTTTAAATGTATTTAAACAACAATATTAATATTTTAAGACAAATTAAACACAATTTATTGAAACTTTATGTGAGAAAGATTTCTATTTATGATTACACTTGCATATATTTACACATTTTCTTAGATGTATTATTTTATTTTATACATACCTTTCTTGTAAAACTTTCTTTTTTCCTGTAAGACGAAGTCCTCGCTTACGTAATTCGTTTTTCAATTGTACACACGACCAAGAAAAATATTTATTTATCTCGTTACTCATGTTTTTATTTTATCAAAACAAGAAGAAAATCAAATGTCATTTTAACCGAAATCAAAAATTTGGCGCTCCACGATCTTGCTATGGTGCTGCCCTCTGGGCTCAGCTTTACATATAATGGTCCCCATTACATGCTGCATGTTTTTCCAAAAATATATATTCACTTTGAAAAACATGCAGTGTGTAATTCGACAGATGGTATTCTGATGGTTATATTTGAGGGATGTGAAAAAACATATAGGTTGTGTTAGATTACACGCTGCATGTCAATCCACAGGTTTAACGTGTGCACAAAATTTCCATCGTAATACGATGTAAAATAACACTGACTTTTTTTACAGTGTACCTTAATTGTGATTAAAAAAAAAATGTCATATGCATTAAAAATTAACAGGTGTTTTTTTAAATAAATTTTCAGGTAAATTAAATAAATAATATAATAATATAAATTATAATAATTATAAATTATAAATATGTATGTGTAATAATATAATTTAGATTTATAGGTTATGTCTCCTATTCAATGAAACTGTCAAACCTGAAACGTCAAATAGTTTTTACGTCATTGAAACAAATATCGTGCACAGTACAAAAATAATATTCTTGTATTTATATAATTATTTGAAAAAAATGAGTGATAAAGGACAAAATTTAGATGAACCTGATGCTGAGGTGAATAATGAAAGAGTTGATAATGCAAATTTAGGTCGATATTTTAGTAACACAACACATACTATTTTTGACGAATTGGTCTCATCAGAAAAATCTGATGCATTTGCAACTGTTAAAAATCCAGTATTTGATATTCCAACAACATCTCCAAGTGGATTTTTCGATAATGATCAAGAATTAACTGAGCCTTTGCAAACAAATGATTTTCAACGAGATGTTTGGATACCTTCAGAAAATACGACAAAAATTCTTAGGACTATTGCTACTTCAACTAATGGAACAAATTCTATCAGCAGGTATTTATTTAGAAAAAAAAAATTAATTTATTCCTAAAATTTATTATTATATAAAATTATAATTATATAGGGAATTATTGACAATGCCAGGATTAGCGATACAAGATGATATGATTGATCCAACAAAGGGGGCAGTTTTACATATTTTAGGTGAGGATGAATTTTCAAATAGAAATATATTAACAGCATCCGATGTAACTCAAGATGAACGTGGCTTGAGAAATTTAATTCAAATGGGTTGTTATCGTGCCGCAGTGAATCTCACTGGTCGTTTATTAGCCGTTTATGGACAAGGTTATGGTAAAATAAATTTACCAAGTAAACATACACCAAATTCTCTTCAATTATGGTTCACTCGACTTTCACTTTTAACTAAATTACGACAAATTGAAATTCTTGAAAATGAATCAAAAGCATTTGGAAATCTTGACAAACCCGATATGTATTTTATTTATTATCCTGAACTTTATGGCACAAAACCAGGATCAATGGCATCATTTTCATTTCGCCTTTTATTAGCGGAAATTCCTAATTATTATGGAAAATCAAAACAAACAATAGATAATCTTTATCAAATTTTAGCAATTGTTAAAAGAATAATAAAAAATTTAAAATCAGGTCTCAATGGAGATGGAAGCGAATTAAAATCGAATTTAAATAAACAAGATGATGCTTTAAGATTATGGAATGGACGAAAATGTAGAACGTTAATTTCAATTGTTAATTGTTCTATAGGAATGAAAAATTATGTATTAGCAAATGAAATTCTTGAGAATTTATATTCATCAATGGAATGGAAAAAAATTGAAGCTGAAACACTTATGTCAGCTATTGGTAGAGTACATCTTATATTGGGTGATGTTTCAGCAGCTGAAAAACAATTTTTAATAACAAGAGATACACCACCATCGTCAAAAGTTGTTAGAGAACTTGTTGATCGAGGATTAATGGCAGTTGCACAAAATGCATTTCAAGAAGCATTAAATTGCTTTCAAAATGCCTCAGTTTTAGATCCATCAAATGTAATGTTAAATAATAATATTGCCGTTTGTTTATTATACACTGGAAAATTAGAAGCGGCCGTTCTTCTTATGGAAAATGCAATGAACCGAAATCCTGTCAAATGTTTACAAGAATCGGTAATTTTAAATTTATGCACTTTATATGAATTACACACAACTCATAGTAAACAATCAAAATTACATTTATTGAGGCAAATTAATAAATTTAAAGGTGATTCATTTGATATTGCTTGTCTTCAATTAGGTACATAAATAAAAAATTAATTTATTAAGAAAAATTTATTTAAAAAATAAAAAAAATCCTTATTACAAAATGATTTATTAATGACAATTTTAATTTCTAAAAATTAAATCTAATTAAGTAAATTTAAATCAAAATCATTTATAACATTATTATAAACATCAATACGTTCATTTAAAATTTCAATATTTTTATTTAATGTTGCCAGCCATTTTGATTTACTCATTAGAACATTTTTTATTGTTACTTTATATACTAATTTTTCATTTAATAATTCATATTTTCCTTTTTCAATAACAAATAGAGAATTCGGCAAAAGTACTGCTGGCGCTTTTATAACCGATAATATTCTTTCTATATCAATAAACATATAGGTATTATCAATTATAATTTCATATAAAATATTAATTTCATTATTGTTAAATGTAAATTTTTCCACATTCTTAAGTGCATTATCAAAATTCTTTTCTAAATTAGTCAATAAATTAAGTTCTAAATATGCTCCTTCCTTATGTGTATTAACAATGTTTGTTGTACTTTTTTCATGTCTATAAAAAATTCTTGGTATATTTTCTGTATGAAAATCTGCGAGTCTCAATGCCATTCTATTAAATGCATTTAAAATAAACCATCCTTCTGGATTATCTAATAAAGCACGTTCAGGACCATGAACTAAATATGTTCCTATTGAATAAAAATCTTGAAAATTAACAATACTCTGCAATCGATTAACTTGATAAAATTCATACATAAAACTTGGTGACATTTCATTAATATTTTTAATATATTGATTTCTATACATATGAGAAATATGTTTAACAGCTTCTTCTTCAGTTAATAGAATATCCTCAACATAATTATTATATCGTAATTTTTCATAATTCTCAACATTAGTTAATTTATAATCATTTATCCACGTTGGCATATGTTTATATTCAACAATATAATTAAAAACTTGTCTTCTAAGTGCATCATCTTCTAAAACATAATATTTTAATACATGATTAATTACTTGATCATTGATACGATCTTTCCATTCTTTTACAATATTTTGTTTCATTTCCATATAATTAATTTGTCTTTCGAATCGTGAATTAATTAATCCTCTTCCACTGAGTCCCTCGACTTGAATTGTTTTTAAACGAACTGCCAATGGTGATGTTTCAATTTTTAAAATATTCTCTTCATTCATTTTCCAATTTATTGATTTTAATTCACCACTATTTAAATCTATTATTTTATAAATTTTTCTACGATTATTTGAATTACTTATTAAAACAACGGGCATTTCATTTTGATAACCATGAATTCGTCTTAATTCAACTATTTTATCATTAAAATGAAAATATTTAACTCCAAAACCATCTTTACCGGAAATACTATTAACATACAAAGTATGACCATTAAATGTACCTGCTTGTATTATAATTGGTTGTTTTATTTTATTCAATGATGTTATCACTTTTGGTAATGATGATATTTTTCCTGCTATTATTCCAAAACATTTAATTATTGATGTTATTCCAACTTTTCCTAATATATAAGATAATTCAATTCCAGGATCTAATGTACGTGCTAATGATATGCTAATACTTTTAAATAAATCTTTAGTAATTAATTGTGATAATTCTTTTGCACTATGTGATGCTAAATTTAAAATACCAGTTTTTAATGTTACACCAATAAATTGACCAATATTAAATGAGAGCATACTTTTTTGAAAATTCATTAATAATGGTTTTATTGCTGCACTTGTAAATTTAATTCCAATATATGCTGCTTGTCCTATGAATGGAATTACTATCAATGTATCAATTAAACATGCACATATTGCTTTTATTAAAGATTCTGTTTTCGATACTTTATAACATGTATAAAATGGTATAAAATTTTTTAAAAATTCAACAATTTTCTCTTTTTCTGTTGATTCATAATTAATTTTTTGAAGAAAATTATAAAGTTCCATTCTCTTTGGTTCAATAATATTATTAAAAAATTTATTAGATTTTTCATAAATTAATTTCATTGGTTTTGATACAATAAATTGTGTATTGGATTTTAATCCTATTATCTCCATGAATAAATCATGATTATTTTCAGCAGAATATAATTTTACATTATTATTTTTTGAAATTAATGCATACATTGATGAATTTGTACTATTAACAGTAATTTCAAATATAATTGTATCATTTCTTAATTCTTGTTTTGAATTTCCAAATTTATTCGATATTTCTAATTGCGAAATAATTACATTTGATTGATCAATTAGATTTAATAAATCATTACTAAATGCCTCTTTAATTAAACTTATTTCAGCATAAGAATAAAGATTGGCAATAAATTCATTTTCCTGTGAAAAAAGTTCATTAATATCCGGCATTGGAAGATTGTCTGTTTTACATTTATAATTTGCATTATTATATTTATAATTTTTAACTTCAATTTCATATTCAAATTCATTTTCAAGTGGGCACATACGTCTTAAAAGATAATCAGCATATTCGGTACGATTTCTATAAGAGAAAAGTGCTTTTTGAAATTGATAAAATGGATTTTTTTTTTGTATATTATCAATTTTTTGTCGTTCAACATCCAAATCGGTGAATAAAAGATTAAATGAAGAATTCCAAAAATCAACATCATTTATCAAAATATGAAATGATGTGTTCTTTAAAAGTTCTGACTTTTTATAAGTATAATATAAAAGTGCAGGAAGTTGAAAAATTGTTAATGCAGTATTATTTAATTCATCAAAACGAACACCTTGCTCTATACTTTGTGATATTATGATATATTCTTCAAAAGAAGTATTGTATAAATTTATTCTTGTACTTCGAACAAACATTAAACCAGCTTGTGCGTACATATAATCAATATCAATTATTTTTAATTCAGTTCTATTTTCCAATTCAGGAAATAATGGAAAAATTAATTTTTCAGTTATTCTATTAATTGAAAATTGATTGAGTGTTGAAATTGTATAATCTTGATTCATAAATGTTTGTTCATTGAGATCTTTGATAATTTTTTTCTTTATAAATGACAATGTTAAATTATTTGTTGAATTAACTATTGCTGCCAAATATCCAAAAGTATTTCCAAATTTTGAAAATACAATCGATGTAATAATATGATCAAACATTGTATTTACATATTCAATGTGAATTGTTTCATTTTCATTAGATCCATAAAGTTTGGTGTTATTTAATAATTTCTTGCCAAGTGTAATTATGGAATTTTCACTATTATTATTATTATTATTATTATGTAAATATTCACAAAGACTATTTACAATTGGAATTGGTTTCATTGTATCATTTTGTTGTAGTAAATTTTCATGATAAAATATATTACTTAAAATCGTCACCGAACTGAAAACTGAAATAAAATGAAAAGTTTCCAGAGGTGTGATGAAAAAATCTGTACTATTCATTATGTTTAGAGAATTCTTTTTATATCAAATTCATTCCTTTTCCACGGCAGGATAAAAAACCTATAAAAAAAATTATTATTATTATTAATATATATATATATATATATATATTTTTAAATATGTTTAAAAAAGAATTTCTTACCTTAGACTATTTTTTTAAAATAATTTTAATGCGATAAAATATGAGAACTAATTATGAAAAAGTTTTTTTTGTTTTCTCTTTGCAAATCTTCCTTTTATACAATCTGTTTATGAATTTAATTAATTAATATACATAACTATTTTTATGTATTAATATTAATTTTTGCAAATGTATAAAATAATGTGATTTTAAATTTATTTATTGATTTATCAGTAATAAATTATTATTTATCTTTATAAGTATATCAAATATTTAAATATTACTCATGGCACGTAGATGACTTATTTTTTTTTATCATTTATAGTTTAAAATTCCAATTAATCATTTTTCGTTTATATTTTAATGAATGCGAAAAATAAAATTGATTTCAGAATACTTTTTTTTTTCTCTTAAATAAATAAGCAACATAATTTATTACTTATATTTTATTGAATTTGTATATATCATTTTAATAGCATTAGGGACAGTAAATTTTAAAGAATAAATATAGGGTTGAGTTTTCATTTTATTTGATGTGTTTTACAAGAGGAATCAATTATAATTTTCCAGTAATAAATTATAATGTAAAATATGAGAAATGGAATTGATTGAAGTACACAAAGAAAACTATTTGAATTTACAACTAATTGGAGTATAACTCATTAGCCAAGTATTTAATTTTTTTTTCTGAAGTTTTACTTCTCTATTTTTTGAAATAGTATTAAAATTGAATTGCAAAATTAAGATGAGAAGAATTTGTTGTCTGATGAAAGTCGAGTTAGCTTTTAAGACACCTAAGTTTCTAACATAAAGCAAAAAGTAAAGCTTTTTTTCAAATTCACAACCACTTACTTGCTAGAAATTTACTTATACTCAATGCCAATACAACTTGATTGCTAAATATTAAAAGTTAATTAATAACTAGGATCTAAATCAATTAGTTCCTCCTTGCAATCTAATACATAAATATTGCATTTACGTCGGAAAATTAAGGTGCCCTTTTTAAAAGCAATCTTTTTTTTTTTTTTTTCTTTTTTTAATATCAAGAGAAATTAAGTTATTTTGTCTGAAATCGATACAATGTGCACAAGATTACAAGATGTATTCTTGTCAGTTTGAAACCTAGGACAGAGCCATTCATCCTCCGTCAATTTTTTTTTTTATATTATATATACTAACTAAATTACGTGACGCCTAGAATTTTTAATTCGAAAATTACATTTTTTTTTTGTTTTTAAATTTACGTATTTCTCGTTCATTGGTCAAACATCGGTTTCCATACTTTTATTTTTCATATTATTCAAAAAGTTTTTGGAATCATTCAGTTTACACCTGTAAAAATAGTGTCATCCGAATATTGAAGAATAGAGTAGAACGACAAGTTTAAAAAAAAAAAAAAAAAACAATTCTCACATAAAAAAAAAAGTAAACACACAAAAAAAGCGCAGAGCTTCCAAAAATTATCTAAGGGACATCAACAATATGACGTCACGGCATTAAAATTTTATACAACTTTCCCCCAGTAATGTTATTCATAAAGATAACCATAATTGTGTAAAAGTTTAAAAATATCGCCAGTCAATGATTTTTTTTTTTTGTTTTTTTTTCTTGTGAAAATAAATCAATCCGGTTGATCATTACATTGAAATGTTCCTCAGGAATATGTCAAATTATCAAAAATCTCAAGTACATTTCTTTTGAAAAAAATTTGATATTTTATATTTTTTCACACAATATTAATCACCTTCCCCCTATCCCTTTTGCTCCTATCGCCCCCCCGAAAAAAACAACAACAAAACAAAATTGTTCTATCGTTTCTACTTTATTCCTAAACCTCAAAATTCAGTCCTAGTGTTCACTCAATTCTGTCATAGTATATTTTTAATGAAAAGAATATAAGAAAATTCTCATTTTGATACTGAATTATGCGAGAGCAGATCTTTTTTTTTTTTTTTTTTTCTTTCTTAAGGCGAGCAAACAAAAAGAATGGATTTAGACACGAGCAGCATTCGCTTTGTTAGCGATGTTCGACAATTTTTGAAAAAAAAAAAAAATAAAAAACGAAATTACTGCGTAGCGCACTGTACTCGTGAAGGACCACCCTCATCCTCTTCATATGCTGCGCGTGTATCTCTTCGCCTTGATTCCTGTTCAGGATCTAAATCAGTGAGAATACATTCCTCAGCATCATCAGGAATCATCACTTGTTCTCTTGGCGGTAAACATTGTTCCAATGTTGCAATAACACTTGGATCAATTGATTTTGGAAAATTAACAACAAATTGAATGATGAGACGTCCTTTTGTAAATGGATCTTTGTATAATGGCATTCCTTCATTTAAAATACACTTCAAATCACCATGTTTTATTATTTGGCCAGGCAGCATTGTTACCAGCAAGTCTCTTCCATCTAGAGTCCTAATTACTTTCTGCGATCCACACAAAGCTTCAACTAATTCTATCTGCATACACATTATCAAATCATTTCCGCTGCGTCTAAAAAAAAATTATTTATTAATTTTTAAAAGTTTTGTATATGCAAAAAAAAAAACATTGTTCAACTTACTTAAATACTTCATGTTCCTTTTCATCAAGAATAATGATAATGTCACCGGGTTCAAGTTCTGGTTCTTGATCACCTTCACCTCCAAAAACAATTTTCTGACCATCAACCATGCCCTTGTCAACATGAACTTCAAGAATTTTGCGATCTCTCACTGTCTTTCGACCATTGCATTGTTTACATCGATCTTTTGGATTGATACGCTCACCTTGTCCCTTACATTCCTGGCACATATGTTGAAAACGTTGAATCATTCCTGGTCCTAATTGTTCAACTTGTACAGTCATACCAGATCCACCGCAATTGGTACATTGTTCTACAGCTCCTTTTTTACCGCCAACACCTTTTTTGAAAATAAATTTTTTTTTTTTTATTAAATTTCTTCTAATTCTTTAGTTTTAATTTAAACTAGGAAAATTAAACGCGCGCAAGCGCGCCAAATTGAGTATTTAATTGTTTGTTATAAAGAAATTAAAGATTAATATTATCAATAATAATTTAATTTATTAGAATATTATTACATATTAAATGATAATAATGAAAATTATATATTTACAGGCCTCGGATTATACGACTTTTTACGACTTTTTTCAAAAATACGACTTTTATCGACTTATTTTAATGAAATGCGACATTTTTTTTTTACATTTGAAAAAAAATGTAAATAAAATACATTTTTTTAGTTTAAAATGTAGATCTTCTTCAGATCTTCTTCAATTCAATTATTTAACAAAATTTGAACTAAAATGATTCTTCACTAAATTAATTATTTTTAATAATTTTAATGAAATACATCACAAATTCAATTATATCAAAATTATTTTTCAATTAAAATTTTTATGAAATTTAACAATTGTTTATAATTTAAAAAAAAAATATCACAATAAAATTGAATTATTTTTTAAAAATTTCAATTCAAAATAAACTATAATTCAATTATTACCCGAAATTTTAATTCAAAATCAATTCAAAATCCAATAATTATCCAAAATTTTCAATTTAAAATTTAATTATTTACCAAGTTTTCAATTTAAAATGAAATACAATTCAATTATTTTCTAAAATTTCTATTCAAAATTTTATTATCCAAATTTTCAATCAAAAATGAACTTCAATTAAATTATTATCCAAAATTTCAATTAAAATTCAATTATTTCCTAAAAATTTTCAATTTAAAATCAAATATAATTTCATTATTCTCAAAAATTGGAATTCAAAATTAATTGAATTTTCAATAATTTTAATTTAAAAGCATCTAAAATTTAATTATTTCTAAAATTTTCCATCGAAAATTTTTTTTTTTTGAAATTTAATAATTTCAATTATAACTCTAAGGAAATTCAATTATTTTTTTAACTATTTTAATAATATTCTTTGAAATTTCAACTATCTGAAACCATTTTTCAATTAAAAATGATTTTCAAATTATTGTATTTTGTCCGCATTTTCTAATAAATTTTTAGTGAAATCATCTAAAATTTTAATTACAAAACATTTAAAGTTTCAATTAATTTCAAAAATCTCAATTTTAAATCTTTGAAAATTCAATTAAATTTAAAAAATGTTTTCCAAAAATTATTTTATAAATTATTTTTAGTTCTGTAAAATTGAGTTATTGTCTGAAAATTAATATAATCTTTTAAAATTCAATTATTACCCAAAATGTTAATTCAATATCAATTAAAAATCCAATAATTATTCAAAATTTTCAATTTAAAATTTAATTATTTACCAAGTTTTCAATTTAAAATTAAATAAAATTCAATTATTTTTTAAAAATTTCTATTCAAAATTAATTATCCAAATTTTCAATCAAAAATGAACTTAAATTAAATTATTATCCAAAATTATCAATTAAAATTCAATTATTTCCCAAAATTTTCAATTCAAAATGAACTGAAATTCAATTATTTTCCAAATTTAAAATCAAATAAAATTTCATTATTCTCAAAAATTTGAATTCAAAATTAATTGAATTTTCAATAATTTTAATTTAAAAGCATCTAAAATTTAATTATTTCTAAAATTTTCCATCGAAAATTTTTTTTTTTGGAAATTTAATAATTTCAATTATAACTCTAAGAAAATTCAATTATTATTAACTATTTTAATAATATTCTTTGAAATTTCAACTATCTGAAACCATTTTTTAATTAAAAATGATTTTCAAATTATTGTATTTTGTCCGCATTTTCAAATAAATTTTTAGTGAAATCATCTAAAATTTTAATTACAAAACATTTAAAGTTTCAATTAATTTCAAAAATCTCAATTTTAAATCTTTGAAAATTCAATTAAATTTAAAAAATGTTTTCCAAAAATTGTTTGATAAATTATTTTCAGTTCTGTAAAATTTAATAATTGTTTGAAAATTAACAATATCTTTTGAAATTTAATTATTTCTAAAAATTTCAACTTTAACCCTTCGAAAAGGATTATTATTAAAAAAAAAAAATTTTATTTAAAAATCTGTAAAATATTTTTGTTAAAATAAAAAACAAATCCACTTTTTTTTGGAATATAAATCGACTAAAACGACTTTTTGTGTCTTTAAGTTGATTCGAGGCCTGTTTTTTTTTATAATTAATATTTAATAGGTATTCGTTGGCCCCTGGTACCTTAAAAATAAATTTTTAAAAATAAATTTTTTTCAAATTACTATCTTGTACGAAATTTCCTGGTGCATCTTTTTTCTCATTATAAATTCTTTGTATTTGTATACAATTTTTGAATCAATGTACAACTTAAAAAAAATTTCGTTGGTAAACGTTGTGTACTTCAGCTTTGTGAATTGAATTTTCGAATTTGGAATTTTAAAGAAACTTATTCCGAAATTTGAAAACACAATTATACAACTTTGGCAAAAATGAGAAAAAGAATTGTCAAAATTTGACACGTCATAAGATTACTATTCAAAAAAACACGTGAAATCAGAAAAGGCCAACTTCAATTTAGGACAGAAGGACAGACCAAGCATTTTATTATTATATAATTATTTACCTTCACATTTATCACAGATGACATTCTTTTGTAAAGCAAGTTTTCGCACAGTTCCTTTATATAATTCCTCAAGAGAAACGGAAAGTTGATGCATAACATTTTGTCCCTTGCGTTCTCTACGACCTCTTCTTCTACCGCCGCCAAAGAACATTTCAAATATATCCATGGGTGACGATCCAGAACCACCACCACCTTCCTTCAATGCCTGCTCACCACCTTGATCGTAAATACGCTTTTTCTCCGGATTTGAGAGTACTTCATAGGCTTGTGAAATTTGCTTAAACTATCATTCAAAAAAAATAATGTAACAATTAGAATTTAAATACACAAAAAAAAAGGTAATTAAATAATATATATATACCTTATCGCCCTCATTTGGATTTTTGTCAGGATGATATTTCAATGCCAATTTTCTGTAAGCTTTCTTAAGATCCTCCTGTGTACATCCTGGCTTTACACCAAGTACATCGTAAAAAGTCGTCTCTTTCACCATTGTTTATTAATAATCTTTCAAAAAAAATGAATCAACTTTCTGTAAAAAAAAAAAAATTCTCCACGATAAAAAAATAATTAGAAATAGCTTATTGCAAAAATTAAAAATAAATATAACATGTATAGACTATTTCGAAAGTCACTTTTGACATTAGTATATCAGTAAGAGAGATGGCAATAAAATTATATCGCTAAAAATTGTATTACACCCAGTTAAAAAAAAAAGGACATTTTTTTTAATTTACAAAACAAAAAATTATAGAAATTAGACGTAAAATTTCAATAAACCAGATAAGCATATATCAAGGTTGAAAGAAGTCAGCAGTTCGTCAATGATTTAAAAATGGCTGACACAACGTAGGTTATAACTTAAATTAGAAGAAAATTTCTATCATTATTTTTCCGTACAGATATATATAATAATTATACACACGCCTTTTAAATTGAAATACACGTAATGCACAAATCTACATATATGCAAATGATTTTTTTTTTCCGAAAAATTCGCACAACCTTCAAATTCAACCCACGTTTTCAGGAAGTGAAGATTTATCCATAAAAAAACCTTTTTTTTTATATCTATCCAAATAATAAAAACGGAAATTAATAATAAAAAATGTGCATTTTTTTTTTTTTATTCCAATCAATTTTGATGCAGAAAAGAACTCGGAATATGAATTTTTGTCTTTTTCAATGGGGAACAGAAAAAAAAAAAAAATGTTAGGTGAACTTTTGACCTTCGAATTATAATGAACTATTCTATTTGAAATCCGTTATGAAATCAAGAACGGAAACAGCATTTGTAGGAATTCTATGGCGTGAGTTGTTTTTATCTTGAAGCAATAAAAATGAGTAAATTATATTGATCGTGGAAAAATTGAAACTAAATATTTGGGAAAAAAAAAGGAATTGATGAAAGCAAGTTTAATACTATTTTTCCTTACCTGTTTCAACAGATTAATGTGTTAGCTGCACAAAAAAAAACTTTAGCGTCCTTACAAACACTCGCGTGGTCGAATAGAATTTGGGGAAATATCCCGTCCTTCTTACCTTTCTGTGAATTTCTAGTAATAAGTGTTCTCGAAACTTCGTTGAAAACTGTACTGGTAATGTGTTCACAAGAGTTTTCGCCATTAATTATGTCATTAAGAAGGTTAAATAAATGACAAAAATGAAAGTTGTTGTATAACAATCAACATCAGATGTCACTATCTATCTGGACAAATTTAAATTTTTTTTGAATATTTTATTTATTATTTATTTAGTTTAATAGAGATGTAAAATAACTAATAGATAACAAATGGTATATATTTTATTTATAAAATTTAAAAATAGTTCGAAAATTTGTCAATTTACAAAAATAAAATAAAAATTCAAATTTTACCGGTAGGCGTTAATTTGACACACGTATTTGAAATATAAACCAATCAACGTTTGGGAAAAATCATTGAATAGAAGAAGCATTTCCTTTTCACTGTTTTCCGCCATTTTGGCAGTGAATTTTCATTGTTTCTGTGTTTCGTGACATTCTTTAGAATTATATTCTATATAAAATAGAGAAATAAAAACTGGATTATATTTTATTTATAAAAAAAAAAAAAGGTGACAAATCGAGAAATCTGCAATAAATTCGTAAGTAGTAAAACAGTGTGATTTCATTTTTACAAAATTCATACATCGGTTAGCGTCCCTTTAATAATATTCGCTTCCTTTTTTTTAACCCTTATTTAAAATTCTAATTAATAACTGTTATGATAATTTTACTTATTTTCTCAATATTTAACAAATGTTTATGCTTTTAGTAAATTGAAAATTTTTTCAATATGATGTAAACTAAACGCGTGCTTTAAAGGCGGTGATTTTAGCGACATTTTTTTTTTCTCATTCTCTTTTTGTTTTGTAATTTGAAACTTTTTGTTTTTAAAAGTGTTTAGTGAATTTCGATTTTTTTGGGGAACAAATTGTGTGATAATTAAATTTGTTTATATAGTATACATAAAGATGTCAAATAACAGTGGAGATCAAGATGATGAGGGTTATGTCGTGAAGGTAAGGGGTTTACCATGGTCGACAACTGTCGATGAAATTATGAAATTTTTCGGCGACTGCAGTATTTCACATGGAAAAGCTGGTATTCATATGACAATGTCTCGAGAAGGACGACCCAGTGGTGAAGCATACATTGAAATGGACTCCGAGGAAGATATTGAAAAAGCGTGCAAAAGAGATAGAGATCATATGGGACATCGTTATATTGAAGGTAAAAAGGAAATAAGTAACTTTTAACATAACCTAAAAAATTTATCCAAAAACAAATGAATTTGATTTTTCTCGTGATTTTGTTTTTTTTGCGTTAATTTATTATTTTTCCAAAGTATTCAAAGCAAAACGAGGAGAAATGGATTGGGTGGTGAAACGAAGCGGTTTGAATTTGGAAAATGTTATGGACGACGGATGTGTTAGGCTACGAGGTCTACCATTTGGTTGTTCTAAAGAAGAGATCGCTCAATTTTTCTCAGGTACATGGAAAATTTTTGGTTTTGTAAATTTTTTTTTTTGCACTTTTTTCAAAAATATTAATTCCATTTTGTTTTTTTTTTCATCGATAGAGAGAGTAGACATTAAATTTCGGAGGATATTTCATGCTCTTGATTAACGATATTGTTTTTCTAAAATAACAGAATAGAGAAAATAAATTAAAAGTAGCTTTAAAAAAATGACGAATTTACTAAAAAAAAATCGTAAGTCATTTGCAATTCCTCCATTTTTTTTTATTTTTGATTCCTAAAACTCAGGAGAAACGAAATATTGATTTTTCTACATTTGTATTAAATAATTTTTTCTGTTAATTCAATTCAAAAAAGTACGTAGCGCAATTTTCCAATTTTTTTTTCGGAGTGGCTATTTCGCCCGTCGCGGGCGAACTAATTCATTTCTGTTATTTCGCCCGTCGCGGGCGAAATAGATACGACTGTGTGAACTGGCTATTTCGCCCGTCGAAATGAATGTGTTTTAGAAGACGAGTAAAATAAGAAAAATAGATTATTTCGCCCGTTCAAGATAAAATCGAGTATCTGGAAGATGGGCGAGTATATTATTTCGTCCGTTAAGTATAGACAGCTGTTTTTTAGATAATGAGAAAAAATAATTTTACTTTTTTTAAATATAACAAATAAGATGGATAGAAAAAAGACGTCTGAGTATAGGTCTAATATTATTTATTTATATCTTTTGGAGTATTTGGTTTAATAAAATAGAAGAAATTTAAATTAAAAAAAAGTTCTTAAAAATTCTTTAAATTCTTAAAATTAATACTTAATTATTTTCTATTTTTTTCAAAAAATTTTATTAATTAAAGTTTTGAGAATATTTGTAACATAAAATTTGTTTGTAATTATTAACTTGAAGATTTTTCAAATATTTATTTTACACGTTTTTGAGACGTGACTTTAAAGAATAATAATTATTTTGTCTAAGAAATTGTATTGGAAAAAAAATTAATATATTTATAGAGGTATTAATTACTCTTATTAAATAATTAAAAAAATTTAATATTTTATAGTAATGGTAAATAATTATAATTAAAATTATAAAAAAATTAATCTAATATTAAAATTATAAATTATAATTATTAAATTTAACTAATTAAAATTACGATGTTGAAGTCGAAAACAATTAAAATTGATCGTCATCGATTTAAAAATATTAATATTTTTTCAAATAATTAATAATATTTTTTAATATTTTTTATAAATTTTTCTTTTAAAAATTGTTGACGAAAAAATTGCAAAAAAATTTTTCTTAAAAATTGAAAAAATCATTTTAAAAAATTTTTTTCATGAAAAATGAAAAAAAATTTTTTTTTAATTTTGTTTATTAAACTTTGGTAATAAAAATTGTGGATTTTAATTTTGTAATTTAAATAAGAATTCAAAAATCGACTATTTCTGAAATTTTTGTATATTTGCATCTCTAAATTCAACGAGTAAATAAAATTGAAGACAATCAAAATAAAGAATGTCATATGAACTACTTTCGATACCAAATAGATTTTCAAACAACGCACCGTCGTTTTCAATATTTAAAGAATATACTATACGGAGTATAATCTCACATTGATATATAAAACCATGATTCTGCTGAGAAAGAAATCAGAAAAACCCTTTTTTTTATCGAAACACAAAAAATTAATGAGACCATCAAATTTGTTTATCAAATATATGATATTTAACATGAATTGCAAAATAAAAGTTAAAATAATTTTAGTTTGTAAATTGAAATATACAACAGCTGTTTATACCTAGCGGGCTAAATATTGTATTTTGATTATTTCGCCCGTTTTTGTTTAAACATTTCACGGACGAAATAATATACTCGCCCGTCTTCCAGATACTCGATTTTATCTTGAACGGGCGAAATAATCTATTTTTCTTATTTTGCCCGTCTTCTAAAACACATTCATTTCGACGGGCGAAATAGCCAGTTCACACAGTCGTATCTATTTCGCCCGCGACGGGCGAAATAACAGAAATGAATTAGTTCGCCCGAGCGGGCGAAATAGAAACAGCCTTTTTTTTTTCTTTCATGAGAAAAGTAAAATGTGGAAAAATTGAAATTTCCCTTTTTATTTCATAAATATTTTTTGCAGTATAATAAAAAAGAAAATTTGATTTTATTTCAAATGTTTTTGGACGCCACACAAAAAAAATGGTTTGTTTTTTCGCTTTGTGTAAGGGTTTTTTTGTTTTTGAAAATAAATTGAAGATTTGTTTTTTTTTTTGAATTGATAATTGGGCGTATCGCTACAAAATGGTTGTTTGATTATGTGTGGGTCAGGGTTGGAGATATTGCCGAACGGGATTTCGCTACCAACAGACTTCACGGGCCGCAGTACTGGGGAGGCTTACGTTCAATTTATTAACAAAGATGTTGCGGAGCGCGCTCTGCAGAAACACAAGGAAAAGATAGGACACAGGTGGGGCACTGATGCTAGAGCTGGGTTTTGGGTATACTTATGATTTTTCTCAATATCATTTTTGTAGTATACTTTTTATAAATAGGTTTACAATTCTTTTTTTTTTCCCCTAATTACAAAAGGGACAGAGTTATTTTTTCCCTCCAGTATAATTTTTTTTTAAAATTGGCAGAATTTTTATTGTCAAAAAAAAAAAAATAAAAACAGGTCTTAACACATTTGCCAACTATGACACGTCACCGACATGTTTAGATTAAAATGAAAATACTCCTTTAATTATTCTTTTTACAATCGTCGTCGCTTCATATATTAAGAATTATTTCTGAATGAGTTGGATTGTATAATTTTTGAAAAGTGACTCCAACTCGATCAGAATGTATTTTTTGTAAGTTTAATTATATTAGAGAACAGATGAGAAAAGAAGGTTTTTTTTTGAGAACATGAGATCTACGTAAGCAAAGTACTGTTGGCCCTACTGAACCCTAAGGGTGGGTGCTGGGCGGGAGGTGGTACCCCCTTTCACCATCTTCAGACCCCATGGGAGGTGGGTAGGGCTGCCCTAAGACTTTCAACCGACGAAGGGTGGGCACGCCTCAGGTGGTAATCAATTATTATTATTATTATTCTAATTATAAGTGCACTTTAAATATCTGAATTTTGCAAAAGAAAAATTTGGTTCTTTTTATTAAATTTAAAAAATTAATGCACAATTTTAAAATATACTTTTTATAAAAATTTATTATTTTATTTACTATTACTATTTAGAAGAAAATTGTATGTAAAGAATTATCATCGAACGCGACCTAGATTGTACCTTTTTTCTTTTATTGTTATACAAAATAAATAATAGAAAATCTGGTGACGTTGAAAAAGACCTTAAATCATAGTTGGTCAAGTGGAATATAATCGGAATGGCATTTTTAAACTCTGTCAGAATAAAAAAATAAATAAGTATTTGTCGTATTATGTAAAACATTTTTTTTGTATTTAAAAATTTCTGATTGACAAATGCTCTAAGTATTTTTTTTTGGGGGGGTTTCCACTTACAAAACGTTTTTTTCTAATCATTTTTTTGTCAATCATCAACAGATATATCGAAATCTTCCGAAGCAGTTTATCTGAGGTACGCGCTAGTATTGGTCCAAAAATGCGAGGTGGTCCAATGAATGGAATGAGTCGACCAGCACCTTACGATCAACGCGACAGATTCGGTGGAATGAATCGATTTAACAATAATGGACGAAATGCACGAAACAGAGGTTATTTTTGTTTTCTCTTTTTTTTTTTTTTAAATTGACAAAAAAATTTTATTTTTTTTTCATTACTGTGTTTTATAGCGAATTTAAAATTTTAGATTTTGATGGAGGTTTGTGGGGAGGTGGTGGCGGTGGAGGAGGAGGCGGCGGCGGTGGTGGTAATAATTTTTCATCACGCGGAAGTGGAATGGGAATGAGAGGCGGTGGAATGGATATGAAAGGCGGTGGTAATTTCCGAGGAAACTGCGGTGACAATTGGAATGGAGGCGGAAATTCCCGTATGCATTGCGTTCATATGAGAGGACTTCCCTTCAGAGCTACGGAACAAGATATCGCTGATGTAATTAATTAAAAAATTAATCTTATTAATTTAACATTAACTCTATTAATTTAATAATAATTATTATTTTGTTTAGTTCTTCCGGCCTCTAGTGCCAATAAATATCAGAATTATTTTGGAGAACAGTGGTCGTGCTTCAGGAGAGGCTGACGTTGAATTTGGATCTCATGAGGAAGCTGCTAAAGCAATGTCAAAGGTTTCTATATATTTTTTTTCAAAATTTAATTTTACAAAATTTTATTTGTACAAATTTATTTAGTTTTCCGTTTTTTTTAATAGGATAAGAGTCACATGTCTCATAGGTACATTGAACTGTTTTTGAACTCTTCTAATGGACCAAGCGGAGGTGGTGGCGGTGGTGGAGGCGGCGGTGGAATGTCCCTTGGAGGCATCAGCAATTTCTGTGGTTGTAAGTAAATTTTTTTTTTTATCTGTCAATTAAATATTTAATTCAATTCAAATTCAAAATAATTTTTGGGGAAAAAAGCGAAAATTTTATGAATAGAAAAAAAGTATAAAAAAATTTTTTTCTTCTTAATGCACGTGTAGCTGGTCTCGGCAACAATTTCAGAGGATATTCGCCAAATAATCGTGGCTATGGAAACAGCCAATTGGGAGGAAGCAACTATAACAGTTTTTAAAGGGGGAGAAAAAAAATGCCCTCGATGACTAAAAAAGAAAAAATTCATTGAAAACAAATGTCCGCGATTGAATTTATAAGTCATGCAATACCCTTTACAAAAAAAAAGGAATGATTTTACGCATAGAAGCTAAATTTAAGGCAAAACAGTAATTACTAGAATTTTTGTTAGAAAGAAAGAGAGAAAGAGAGAATGTCGTACACTTGTACGTGTGAAAAATTGCATATTAATAATAATAATTTATCGATTATGAAATGATCAAAAGTACCGTATAAGTACTTTAATATTCTGTTAATGATTTAAATAACTCGTAGTTTTAATCTTATTGAAATTATTTGTCTAATAATTTGTAAACTACAAGTCAAATTGCGTTAGACTCGAAGGATTTTTAAGATAAAATTACATAATTACCATTTTTTACATATATATATATAAACATATTATATATTTAAGTTACACGCTTTTTATATCAATTAATTGTTTTAAATACTTTCATCCGACTAAAAAAAAAAAAAAAAAGAAGGAAATATTTGTTAATATAAATAAATACGTTATGATTAATTTATTATCATAACTCTATTTTTGTAGGGGAAAAAAGTATTTAAAACTAAAAATTATAAATTTCATTTCATCATTGAAACAATTACTATTTGCACCATCAAAAGTGTGATTAAACTTATATTTTGTATGCAAAAACAATTTCACCGTAAGTTAGTTAATATAGATTAATGCAATTTTTTTTTTCATTTTTTTTTTTTAATTATGAAAAAAATATAAAACAACACCGAGAAAAGTAAGCACTGTAAATGTAAATTGTACTTTATTTGATGATAATAAAACGTGTGAAATAATAAAAAAGCACGTGTTTTTTATTTATTGCCCCGTTTGAGAAATTCAATTATTTACATTTTTTTTTTACAAGTTTGAATCAATCTTATCAAACTTTTACTTAATTTTTGTGTTTTTTTTTTTTTTTGTTATCTTATCAGTCTAACTTGTGGTTTAACTAATTACAATTTTTATTTTAAACTTATATTGTTACGCTCGTCACTCATTATTCAAATAATATATCATTTTTCACGTGTGTGAGATATCATTTTACGTTGAAATTAATAAAAGTTAATTTTTGTGAATGGTATAATGATAACCAGTGTTAAATTATCATTTATGACAGAAGGAAAGAAAAGCTGATGATTATTTCATTATAAATCAAATTGTAAGTTGAATATTTATTTAAAAATTTTTAATTTTTTCGATCTATTAGTTTTAATTCTTTATTTTTTGTTAAATTGAGAACTGAAAAGAAGATGTGAAGACCCATTAAATTATTTTGCTTTCAAAATCTAATTTCTTATCCCCATTTGAATTAAAAGTATTTAAAAATATAAATAATTATAAAATTAGTGAATACTAATTTTTATTAAAAAAAAAAAAAGAAGAAATATTTCAAATTTACGCGGGTATAAGGGACCAATGAGCGTAATCAACATAACGCAAGCGCAATTTTAGAGGTTATGATTTGAAAGTACTTGTTATTTTACCTGTTGAGTTGACAAATACATTTACAATATTTACATGCATTACACATATATAAATTAAGCTGCAAGTGTTTTTCAAGTTTGCATTTACAGTTATTTAGTAAAGCTTCTTTATTTAATGTTAAATAAATTATAAATCTTCTCAATGTGAAATAATATATACAACACATACATACATTTTCTTTATTTTATCTGAGTTGATTCTATTTATATATATATATATATATATACGCACGTAAAAGAAGAAAATAGAACAGATAAATTATTGTCAAATGTTAAATGTGTGTGCGTATGATAATAACATATCATTTTAATGGAAATGATAATACAAGACTGAAAACGAATAATTGTTGAGAGTATGTTATTATTGTAATAAGTAAGTCATAAATGCATAATTATTTATCACACAAACTATTTTTGAAGGACATTTTTTTTTTGTTTTTAACAGTAAAAGTTAACCGTATCGGCAAAATAGATTCTTTATCATCTTTTTTTTATTTATAAGTCAAATTAAATTTTCTAAATCAAGTCAATAAGATTTTTTAATTTATTTTTTTTTTTGTATTAATAGATATATTAGTGTAGATATTTTTGATAAAAATACAATTACAGTTAAATCTGATGAAATTAAATTATTTTATAGAATTTTTTTAAAAATTGCGTGAAAAAAAAATAAAAATGCCTGACAATGGAAATAATGAAGAAGATGAGATTGAAAGTGAAGGAATGCTTGATCAAAGGTGAGTTTTTTTTAACTTTTAAAAATTTTTTTATTTTCTAAAAGGTCATTTACCTTTATAGATAAAATTATCGGATATCAATTATCTAAAATAGATAAAGTTGTAACGGACAGTGTTACATTTATTTTTTATAACAAAATTCTATATCGTTAATAATACATAATATTAAATTATTAAAATATTTTTAATTTAATAAATACAAATTTTTATTATTTTTTTTTAAATAGCAGAAACACTGATTCAGGACAAATAGCACAAGAAACTCCAAAACAAACAATAAAATACGTTCCAGGTCGTGGTTCAAATCGTTATAATAATGCACTTCAAAATCTCATACCTTTACGTCCAAAAGTGAAGTAAGATAAATAGCAAATATTTGTATTTTCAATTTACATAAATATAAATTTTTATCTTCTTGTTTACATAATTATTTGTTTCTTTAGTAAATAACAAATTAAAAAAATTGTTTTTAAATTGTCATTGAAAAAGTAATAAATAAATTATTAAAATTGAGACCCCATAAAAATTGTTTATATAAATTTTATGTAGGAAAAATTATTTTTTTTTTTTAGAGAAAAAGAAAAGCCACCCGAGGACAATGTTGGTTTATTTTCCTTTATTTATTTAACGTGGTTCACTAAATATCTTTGGAAGGCATATCGAAAGGGAATTGACAAAAATGATTTACCAAATACATCGATATTCAATTCTTGTGCCTATAATTGTCAAAGGTATATGGAAAAAAAAGTACACATTTTTTTTTTTTTTAAAGGATTTATTAAATTTTGAAAAAGATTATTTTAAAAATTTAATATTGATAAATATAAAAAACGATTTTGAATTGTCAGATTGGAAATTCTTTGGAAAGAGGAATTAGGTAGAAGAGGTTCAGATGGAGCTTCATTTACATTAGTCGCATGGAGATTTGCACGAACAAGAATTCTTCTCTCATGCATTCTATATGGTTGTTCCGTTATTTTTGGATTTTTAAGTCCTGCAAGTAATTTTAATAAAATTTATGAACAAAAAAAAAAATTCCTTGAAATTAAATGAGAAAAAAAGAATAATTAATTTTTCTTTTTTCAGGCAATATTAATGAGAAAAGTATTAGAATATTTACAAGAGACTGATGAATCATATTTGAATGGAATAAAATGGGCGCTTCTTTTAATATTTTGTGAACTTTGTCGTTTGACATTAATAAATTGGAGTTGGAATATGAATATAACAACTGGTAGAAGACTAAAGTCCGCATGTTTGGCATTGTTGTATAAAAAAATTATAGGATTAAACAGCCTTGGAAACAAAAGTACCGGAGAGGTAATTTATTATTTCAAAAAGACATTTTTTTTTTGACATATAAATAATGCTGGTTAATAATGTTCCTTTTTTCAAAATTATTTTCAGCTTATTAATGTATTTTCATCGGATGGACAAAAAGCATTTGATTTAATGCTTTACGGTCCTCAAATTGTTGGCGGTCCAGTGGCGACAATTTGTGGAATTATTTATATTTTCTATACTCTCAGTCCTATGGCTCTTTTGGGAATGATAGTTTTTTCTTTATTTTACATTTTACAGGTAAGTAGAACAAAAAGAATATATTTAATTTCTTTTTTTTTTAATAAAATTTATTATTTCTAGTATTTGTTGACACGTATCACAAAGTATTATAAATCTAGATGTTTAAAAATTACTGATATACGAATAAAAATTATCAGCGATATTTTAGAGAGTATAAAACTTATTAAATTGAATGCCCAAGAAAATTTTATCACTGAAGAAGTTTCAAGTAATTTTATTTTATTATTATTCAATTATTATTTGTTAAATTTCTTTGTTTAGTAAAAATTTTCTTTTCTTTCTTTTAGAAATTCGTCGAGATGAAAAAAAATGGCTATCGAAACTTGCTTTTTATGATAGTACAACTATTTCTTTAACACCTACGGTTTCAATTATTGCGACTATTGTCACATTTTTAACTCATCTATCAACGGGTGATAATTTAACGGTGGCACAAGTAAGTATTTACATTTTTTTTTTTCTAACAATTTTTTTTTAGTTCAATTTTTTTGACTACTATTTTGAAAAACTATTTTTATTTACAGTTTTTTAATAAAATATTCCTAAATTTTTTATTTTAGATATTTATATATTAATCGACATTATTATTAGAATTTTGTAAATTTCAGGCATTTCCCATTTTATCAATCATTGTCATCGTATTATCACAGGCGTCATTTGAAATTAAACAAGGATCAAAAGATTATAAACCTGCTCGTATTGCTTTTAGCAATTTTAAGGTTTTTTTTTCATATAAATTTTCATTAGAGAAAAAAAATTTTTTTTTTTTGTAGTGCAGTTCAAATCTAACAATGAAAAATTATTATTATTTGTCTAACATGGTTTTTAAGGTTGAAGGGTTTTTTTTAAAAAAGAAAGCATGAAATATTATAGCCATCACCTTCACATTTATCAGATTAAAAAGAAAAAAAGCAAAAATTTTTTAAAACTAAAAAAAGATGCTCCGAAGAAGAAAAATGATTCCACTATCCATTGAATTTATTTTTTTTCAGAATACTTTTTACTTTGATAGAATTTTTAGTGAGATATTAAATTTTTTTTTACAGGTATTTCCTCTATTATCGTTTCTTAATGTACAAACTCGAAGTGCCCTGACAGTTGTGTATATTGCTCTCTTAAACATTGTAGAAGGAAATTTAACATTCAACAGATTTAAGGTTTTTTTTTCTAGTTTTCTTTCCTGTCGCTTCAATGAATTCAATATAAAAATTGCGTTTCTATTTTGTATTTGTTTCGGCTTTTTTTTATTTTCAAATTCTCTTTTTGCAATTCTATAAAAACGCTTTGTTTTGTCTTCAATTTCGTGTGTTAAATTAAATATTTTCTTTTTATAATTATGGAAAAAATAACTTAAATAGAAGCAAAGGGAAGTGATTTTTTTTATAAATTAAGTTTCCTTTTAATATTGCTTAATTTTTTTTGTAATGGCTTTGCATTATTTTTGTGCATGTTAATTATTATACTAAAATATTTGTGATTAATTTTTATTTTTGTGTTTCTGTAAAGACTCGAAAAAAAATGTTTATTTTACAACAAAATTTATTAGAATAATTAATATATGATCAATTCTTTTTGAGTCTTTCAATTATTTTTAGCAATAAATGAAAATTTTTTCCACTTTCAATTGAAAATTAAATTTTTATTAATTAAATTTTATTTTAATAGAGTGTATTGCTTCTTGAAGAAACAAATTGTCATGTATCAAAACCAATAGTAAGATCTCAAGCACTATCGATTTTAAATGGAAAATTTGTTTATGATAATTTTGAAACGAGACCGTCATCAGTTAATTCCGTCGAGTAAGTTTTAATTTTTAAAATACAATTTTACTATTTAAAAAAATTAACATCTGTATTATAATATTAAAATGTTTTTGATTTTTTAGAAAAGGAATGAAATTGAAAAAGAAAAAATCAAAGCGTTTAATTATGGAAAAGCGACGAGTTGAAATACTATCAGATATAACGTTTGAAGCTGGAAAAAGTCAATTAATTGGAATTTGTGGTCACGTGGGAAGTGGAAAATCAAGTTTACTTTTGGCAAGTTTAGGACAATTGCGAATGATTTCAGGACAAGCGATGAGAAATGGTTCATGCGCTTATGTTGGACAACAAGCTTGGATTATAAATGCAACATTCAAAGAAAATGTCATATTTGGTGAAGCATTCGATCCAAAACGTTATTATCGAGCTCTCTCTATTTGTAGTTTAAAGGATGATATTAATATGTTGCCAAGCGGTGATGAAACTGAAATTGGCGAAAGAGGAGTTAATTTATCCGGAGGACAGAAACAAAGACTCGCACTTGCCAGAGCATTTTATTCTAATCGGTAATTAATTTAAAAATCAATTTTGTTTGATAAAAACCGAAAATATGACATTTTAAACTAAAACATTTTTAAAAAAAATAATATTAATAAATAATTTTGTTTCTAAAAATGATGTATTTTTTTTTTTTTATAGCGACATTTATTTTCTCGACGATCCTCTAAGCGCTGTCGACACTAATGTTGGAGTTTATATATTTGAAAATTTAATTTTAGGCGCATTGAGAGATAAAACTATTCTCTTTGTAACACATCAAATGCAAGTAAGTTTGTAATTTTTTTTTCCCCCCCTTATTTGCCAACACTCAATTATTATAAATTTCAGTATTTAAATCGTTGCGACGATATATACATGATGTATAATGGACGAATAATCGAACATGGAAAACATGAGGAATTGATGCACGCTGATAAAGAATATGCCGCAATGGTTAAAAATACAATTGTTGATTCGCAAGATAGTTCTCCAGAAGAGTAAATATTTTTTTAATATTAATAATTAATAATTTCGTTGAATTTAAATGAAATTTCATATTTTTTTTAGAGATCAAGAAACCGAGGAAGAAGAATCGGATACGGAAGAAGCGTCAAATGTAAAATGTGAACAAAATATGAGAAATTCACCAGGAAGGGAAAATTTTGCCGATGATAATAAAACAGACAAAACAGATGGAACTGGTGCGTTTAAAAATTATTGGATTTTTGAATAGGATTGAATTTATTTTTGTTTTTTTACAGGCAAAAGTTTAATGACAAAGAAAAATATGAAACGAAGAGATATTTCGGCGCAAACTTTTCACATTTATATAAAAGCCGCTGGTGGATATTTTATTGTTTTACTATTGTTTTTGTCATTTTTTTTAAACATCGGTTCAGTTACATTTAGTTCATGTTGGTTGGCTTTTTGGTTAAAAGAAGGCGGCGGAGTAAGTAAACTATTATTTACAAGCGAGGAAAATTAATAAGTGATAATTAAAATTTCTAATTTAGAAAAAAAACAAATTTCAGATTGCAAACATTACAATTGGAAATGAAACAATGAAATCAGTTAATATAAATGATAATCCAAATTTTAATTACTATGAAATTGTTTATGCGAGTTGTATTTTTATTATTTTATTAACAAGTTTATTGCGAGCGTTTGCAATCACTGGTGTTACTATGAAAGCGGCAATTGCTTTGCATCGTCAATTATTTCAAAAAATGATTGGCTCTTCAATTCGATTTTTCGAAACAACACCAAGTGGTGAAATACAAAATTTATTTAGCTCCGACATCGATGTAGGTGAGTTTTTTTTTTTTGCTGTATTAACGTGACAAAATAATAATTCTGAAAAATTTGAAAAAAAAAAAATTGTTTTCAGTTGATAATGGAATGAGAATATCACTCGAAATGTTTCTACAGACTATTTTCACTTGTATTTTTACGATTTTTATCATTTGCTTCGTTCTTCCATGGTTTATTATTCCTTTAATATTCCTAGCTGGAATTTTTTACTTTATTGGTAGAATATTCAGGTAAATATTGATGGGTAAATTAAATTTTAATTTATCGAAATTTTTAAATAATTAATTTTTTTTTGTATAGAATTAGTATGAGAGATTTGAAGAGATTAGAAAATGCGTCACGTTCACCAGTGTTTAGTTCAATAACAGCAACAACTCAAGGACTTAATACAATTCGTGCTTTTAACAAAGAACAGGAATTTATTTTCAAGTAAAATTTAATTATTTATTTTGAATATTTACAAATTAGATTATTTTTTTGTAATTTAAAAAAAAAAAATTCTAATTTTATTTTCTGTTTTTAGATTTCAAGAATTACTTGATCAAAATTGCACATATGAATATTTTCGTAATATGGCATCGAGATGGTTAGCAATAAGATTTGATGTTTTGTCATTATTTTCAACGTGTATTGTTTTATTATTTGTGATAGGTTTTAAGAATCATTTGCCACCAGCTTTTGCTGGTTTGGCATTGGCATTTGTCGCGCAAACTACTGGACTTTTTCAATTTTCATTGAGAAATTTTTCCGAGCTTGAAGCTCGTTTTACAAATGTTGAAAGAATTTCTTCCTTTTTGCGAGTGAGTATAATTTTGAAATTTAAAAAATAAATAAAAAAGAAAATTAATTATTAAATTACAATTTTGTAGACAATAAAAAGTGAGAATAAATTAAAAGTTACAATTACTCCCACTGAAGAGTGGCCCACTCAAGGTACAATTGAATTTAAAAATGTGAGAATGAAATATGATGAAAATTTGCCATTTGTATTGAATGATATTTCGTTTTCAATTAATAATGCCGAAAAAATAGGTATAAAATTTTATTTATTTTCAAAATTATTTTTATTCTTTGCAAAAATAAAATTAATATAATAATTTTTTAAAGGTATTGTCGGTAGAACAGGAGGTGGAAAAAGTTCTCTTGTCAATGCTATTTTTCGTCTTTGTGAATTATCCGAAGGTAAAATAACAGTTGACGGAATTGATATTTCAAAAATTGATCTCGAACTTCTTAGAAGTAAACTTTTTAATGTGCCTCAAGATCTCGTTCTCTTTGGCGGAACAATTAGGTAAAAATTTGTGAATTTTTTTACTTTTAATTATTAGATTTAAAGAAAACTTTATTTTACAGATCTCATGTGGATCCTTTTGAACAATTCACAGATGAGGAAATTTGGAAAGCTCTCGAGAAATCGCGACTAAAGGATAAAGTTGCTTCAATGCCGGGTCAATTGACACAATCAGTAAAATCAGGTGGCAATAATTTAAGCATGGGCGAAAAACAACTTCTCTGTTTAACAAGAGCAATTTTATGTCAAAGTAAAGTAAGTCAAAAAAAATTTATTTCCAAAGAATTTATAAAATTTTAAAAATTATTATTATTATTATTATTTGCAGATAATATTGTTGGATGAAGCAACAGCATCAGTGGATCCTGAAACAAGTGCAATAATTGACTATACAATTCGAGAGGAATTTCCAAATTGCACTGTTATTATAATAGCTCATCGTTTACAAACAGTTGTGTCATGTGATCGTGTACTTGTCATTGAAAATGGAAGAATTGTCGAATTTGATAAACCAAGGGATCTTATTTTAAATCCAGAATCAAAATTCTCAAAAATGATGAGTATTGAAGAATCAATTAAAAAATTTTAATTTTATTTTTACAAAAAAATTTATTACTGAAAAAGAATCATTTTTTCTATTTTAACATTTTGCTTCTTTAATTATAATCTAAAAAAGAACTACGCTAGATTTTATAAATATTTATATAAACTTTTATAATCTTTTTTTTTATATATCAGAGATGTATTTTAATACTACTATATTTAATAATATAAATATTGTTTGTTTATTATATATACAAATTTATAAAGAATCTAATGTTAATAAAAAAAAAATTTTTTTGAAAATATTGTTCTTGATTTTGAAAGTTGGAGTGAAAAAATAGAAAAAATGATTTCGAGAAGAGAATTTTTTTTTTTAAGTTAAATGATTCAATGGCCTATGTCAATGGTTTTGGCGTTAGCCGAGTTTGAAGAAAATATTGATCCTAAAGAGGGGCCGGTTCGTGGTCCAGGGGGATGAGAGTTGCGCGATGCTCATGCCCGGTTCGATTCTTCTCAGCTGGCTGCTCAAGTCACTTCATCATTTGAAAAAAAAAAAAAAAAAAAAAATGTTCGCCGACACGCCGTCAACATGTTATTATTAAAAATATTTATATAACGTTGAAAAAACAAAAAATTCTCTTTCTCTATATTAAATATTTTTATTGTGAATATGTAGTTTACACGGTGTTGCCTTTGTAGGCAGTTTCATTTCACAAAAAAAAACAGAAACGTTTTGAATGGTCCACATGAATTCTCACTGGCCCCATGTTCATCTTCTACTGGCTTTTCAGCCTCTTCTTGACCCGAAAATTTAAGGTTCGCTATAATGCGATTAAAATGCACCATCGAAGAACGGAAGATTATTTTTCGCCCGGTAAGAAATTAATTAAAATTTATATCTTATATTATAATTTTTAATTTTTCCTAACCAAATTATATTTTTACTATATATATATATATATATAAGAATTTTTTCAAGCGGCAACACCCGTTTTTTTTTCTTCAAGGAAGCAACACGTTTTTTAACGAATTTGGCATCAACTGGTCGCGTTTTATCGAAACAACCCCCGGGGAAAGAAGTTTACCCAAGAAAAGTACACCTTTTTCCCATTCGATATAAAATCATCCATTGAAAGAATCGGATTAAAAAAAAAATAATTTAAAATAAAAATTCCATATAGTATATAAATTAGGCACTTAAAGTTTGCAAAATAATTTTTCAGCTAATGTTTTGACAATAAAAAAAAAAATAAATAAATAAAGGGTGAAATTTAAATTGGGGCGACGTGTGAGTACTTCAATTCAATGAATGTGTCTTTCCTGTTTTATGATTATTGCTTTTTCGTGTCGAATTCTTTGATTTTATTTTTAAATAGCAAATAGCCGCTAAAAGTTTTATCCTGAGTTAAAGTTTTCATTAATAAATTATCGTGAAAATTAATTTCCACAGTAATTTATTAATATTGAGAACTTTTTTTTTTTTTTCTTTTTTTCTTTTTTTATTCCTATCTGTCGCACAATCCTTGAGTGTCAAAACAAAAATATCCTTTTGATATTGTATTATCAATGTACATAAATAATTTTTTTTAGTTGTCTGTTAAATTAAATGTTTTTTTTTCAGAAAATTTTAACCCCTATATTTGTGTTTATGATCTGTTACAGTAAAGCCCGTTGGCACTGAATTCAAAAATGCATCTCCAACAGACACGAGAGCTAAGCAAAAAAAATGATAATAATAAACACAGTGATTAAAATTAACAAAATCCTCTATAAATATAATAATAATCGTCTTTTACAAAAATTATAAATAATTTTAATTTTAAAATTACCAATAAAAAAAAATACTAAAAATATAAAATTAAAAAGAAAATTAAAAAATGAAATTAAAAAACAAAAATACTATAAAAAGAAATTAAAATTGTTTATCTCAAAAAATCTGTTGGAGATTTGTGCACAAATTAATGTGATGTAGAGTGAATCATGGTTTTAATATCATTGCTCTCCTTAATGTCTAAAAAAAAATATATATATATTTCGTGTAACGAAGGTGTTGTTGAATTGATCGTTTTAAAAAGAAAATATCTCTTTGAAAAGTCGAAATTTTAATTTTTTTTGCTAAAGGAATTTAAAAAATAATTTTAAAAAAAGTTAATTTGCAAAAATGTTTTATAAATATAAACTTAAAATTTAAAATAATTATAAAATGACTGATTAATAAAGGAGTAATGTTTTGAAAACAAAATAGAAAATAAATTTAGAATCTCAGATTTTTTAATAGAATAGAAATTTATTTAGATTTTACCCTAGAATTTTAGAAATTGATCAATCATTTTTATAATTTAATTTAATTTAATTTTAGAGAAAATTTTTTTTAAAATAGACTTTTCAGTGAGATTTTTTTTTTCTATCCATTAATATTTAAATTTTATGTTTGATGTAAATTTTTTGCAAATCATATAAAATAGGACAAAATAAGAATTTATTGAAATATAGAAAAAATATTGAAATAAATAAAAAAAAAAATTATCGATTTTATTATAGAAAAAAAAAAAATAATTGAATTATTTTTTGTTAAATTTTCATAGGCCTCACTATTGCGAATATAATTCCAATTATGATGTTGGGGCGGAAACAAAGCCTCAAAGGGGAGCCCGTCCTGGCCGATTATGGCCCGGAGGAGTTCCTTAATGAGAGTGCTGATATTGAGTGGGTGAACAAGGTAAATTTTTTCTTTTATTTAAAATTATAAAAAATGAAAAAATTAATATAATATAATTTTCTCTTTTTTTTCCAGCTTTGGGTACGGAGACTAATGAGATTTTGTGCTCTTGTTTCCCTGGCCTCAGTTTGTTTAAATACTCCAAAGACCTTTGAAAAAGTTCCACCCCTTCAGTATGTGACGTTCGTCTGCGATCTTGTTGTTACATTTCTTTTTACGGCTGAAATGATTGCCAAAATGCACATACGTGGAATAGTTAAGGTATAAAAAAATTATTTATTTGAAAAAAAAAAAGAAACGAAAAATAATTTTTTTAATTTTTAAATCAACAGAGAGACAAAGCTTATTTAAAAGATCATTGGTGCCAATTTGACGCCAGTATGGTACTATTTCTTTGGCTTTCCGTAATTCTACAAATGTTTGAAATGCTCGGTTTTGTTTTGAAATTTAGTTACGCTTCTGTGTTACGAGCACCGAGACCGTTGATAATGATTCGATTTTTGAGAGTTTTTCTTAAATTTTCAATGCCAAAGGCCAGGATCAATCAAATTTTCAAGTAAATATATTTTGTTTTCTTTTTTTTGTTCGATAATTATAATAAATTAATGAAAAAACTTTTTTTTTTTATAGGCGTTCGAGTCAGCAGATTTATAATGTGACGTTGTTTTTTCTATTTTTTATGTCCCTTTACGGTCTCTTGGGAGTTCAATTTTTTGGTCAATTGACAAATCATTGTGTTTTAAATACAACGGATCCGAAACATATTACAATAAATAGTTTAGCAATTCCTGATACATTTTGTTCGACTGATCCCGAATCGGGATATCAATGTCCTGATGGAATGACATGCATGAAATTGGAATTGTCTAAATATATTATGGGTTTTAATGGATTCGACGAATTTAGTGAGTTATATCATTTTTTTTTAAATTCAGTTTCTATTTTTTTAATTAAAAAAAAAAAAAAAAATTCTTTTTTCAGTGACAAGTATTTTTACGGTTTATCAAGCGGCATCACAAGAGGGATGGGTTTTTATAATGTATCGAGCAATTGACAGTCTACCAGCTTGGCGTGCTGTTCTTTATTTTAGTACAATGATATTTTTTTTGGCATGGCTTGTAAAAAATGTTTTCATTGCCGTGATTACTGAGACTTTCAATGAAATTCGAGTACAATTTCAACAAATGTGGGGTGTTCGTGGTCACATCAGCAATAGTACAGCATCTCAGGTATTATTATGAATTATTTTTTTTTAAAACAATTTTGTAATTTTTTTTTTTTTTTAGATTCTAACTGGCGACGAGAATGGATGGAAATTGATAACACTTGATGAGAATAAACATGGAGGAATGGCCTCACCACTTTGTCATGCAATTTTACGTTCACCACAATTTCGAATGGTTGTAATGTGTATTATACTTGCAAATGGAATTACAACGGCAACAATGAATTTTAAACACGATGAAAGACCAAGATATACATATTATGCTGCTTATTATTATGTTGAGATTGCATTTACAATTCTTCTTGATTTGGAAACACTTTTTAAAATTTGGTGCTTGGGATTTCGAAGTTATTATAAACATTCAATTCATAAATTTGAACTTCTTCTCGCTATTGGCACTACCATTCATATTATTCCATTTTGTTATTTATCGGGTTTCACTTACTTTCAGGTAAATTTTTTTTCAAAATTTAATATTAAGATGGGAAATTAAAATTTCTTTTTTTTTTTTATTTAGGTTTTGAGAGTCGTTAGACTTATCAAGGCATCGCCAATGTTGGAAGATTTTGTGTATAAAATTTTTGGACCTGGTAAAAAATTGGGTAGTTTGATAATATTCACTATGTGCCTGCTCGTTATATCGTCCAGTATTTCCATGCAACTCTTTTGTTTTCTCTGTAGTTACACAAAATTCGAAACATTTCCTGAGGTAAAATAATAGAAATTATTTTAAAAAAATTTGATATATTTTTAATAAAAAAAAAGAATATTTTTTTTCACAGGCTTTTATGTCAATGTTTCAAATCTTAACACAAGAAGCATGGGTGGAAGTTATGGATGAAACAATGGTACGAACACACGAAACAATGGCGCCATTTGTTGCCATTTATTTTATTTTATATCATCTTTTTGTAACTTTGGTAAGTTTAATTTAAAAAAGGAACAAAAAAAAATGTTTTTTTTTTTAAATCTTTTAAATTAAAATTCTTTTTTTCAGATTGTATTGAGTCTTTTTGTCGCTGTTATTTTGGATAATTTGGAACTCGATGAAGATATTAAGAAACTGAAACAACTTAAATTTCGCGAACAAAGTGCCGAAATTAAAGAAACACTTCCGTTTCGATTGAGAATTTTCGAAAAATTCCCCGATAGTCCACAAATGACTTGTTTGCATAAAGTTCCATCGGATTTTAATCTTCCGAAGGTAAAAAAAAAACCAATTTCTCAATTTCTATTTAATTTTTCTATTTTTTTTGCTATTTTCAGGTAAGAGAGAGTTTTATGCGTCAATTTGTCTATGAGGTTGAAGATGAAGAAAATGAGGGGACAAAAAAAATTAGCGAAACATTTGATTCTAAAATGGTTTATCGAAAACACAGACCAGTTAAAATATTGAACGATCCACCAAAAGTGAGAAATGTTGTGACTCCTTTAAAGAAAGCGGCAGTCACCTATATAATTAAGTAAGAAAAATAATTTTTTATATTTTTTTTAATTTTGTATTGAAAACTTTTTTTTTCTTTTCAGCGATTCAAATAATCAAAGATTAATGCTCGGTGATTCGGCAATGATACCAGTTCCTGGTAAAGGTTTATTAAAACCCCAAGGCACAGTCAGCAGTGCAAAACAATTGCGAATTGATCAAAAAAAGTAAGAATTTCATAAAAATCAAATTTTTCATTAGAATAGTTTACCTAATTATTTATATTTAAATTAAAATGTAATTAAAATTTAATTTTTATTAATTTTCATCTTTAATTTGTTAGAAATTTTTTTCTTTACTTAATAATTGCTTTTTTTTCTGATTAAATTTGATTTTTTTTTACATTAGATCTGTGCGTAGAAGTGTACGTAGTGGATCGATAAAATTAAAACAAACCTACGAGCATCTTATGGAAAATGGAGATATTGGAGCTATAAATCGTGTCAGTTCATCGAGAAGTAGACCACACGATTTAGATATAAAACTTTTACAGGCAAAAAGACAACAAGCGGAAATGCGAAGGTTTTTTTTTCAAATTTCAAAAAAATTACAAAAAAGAAATTTTAAATTAATATAAATTAACCAGGAATAAAATTTAATTACAGAAATCAAAGAGAAGACGATCTTAGAGAAAATCATCCACTATTTGATACACCACTTTTTGCAGTGCCACGTGAAAGTAAATTTAGAAAAATTTGTCAATTATTAGTTTACGCTCGTTATGATGCAAGATTAAAGGATCCACTCACTGGCAAGGAGAGAAAAGTTCAATACAAAAGTTTACAGTAAGTTTTTGTAAAATTTGCAATATTTTTTTTCAAATATAAAATTATATAATTATATAATAATAAAATGCTTGGTCTGTCCTTCTGTCCTAACTTGAAGTTGGCCTTTTCTGATTTCACGTGTTTTTTTTTGAATAGTAATTTTATGACGTGTCAAATTTTGACAATTCTTTTTCTCATTTTTGCCAAAGTTGTATAATTGTGTTTACAAATTTCGGAATAAGTTTCTTTAAAATTCCAAATTCGAAAATTCAATTCACGAAGCTGAAGTACACAACGTTTACCAACGAAATTTTTTTTAAAGTTGTATATTGATTCAAAAATTGTATACAAATAGAAAAAATTTATGATGAGAAAAAAGATGCGCCAAGAAATTTCGTATAAGATAGTAATTTGAAAAAAATTTATTTTTAAAAATTAATTTTTAAGGTACCAGGGTCCAAGAAATATTAATTATAAAAACACAGGCCTCGAATCAAATTAAAGACACAAAAAAGTCGTTTTAGTCGATTTATATTTCAAAAAAAAGTGGATTTGTTTTTTATTTTAACAAAAATATTTTACAGATTTTTAAATAAAAATTTTTTTTTTTAATAATAATCCTTTTCGAAGGGATAAAGTTGAAATTTTTAGAAATAATTAAATTTCAAAAGATATTGTTAATTTTCAAACAATTATTAAATTTTACAGAACTGAAAATAATTTATCAAACAATTTTTGGAAAACATTTTTTAAATTTAATTGAATTTTCAAAGATTTAAAATTTAGATTTTTGAAATTAATTGAAACTTTAAGTGTTTTGTAATTAAAATTTTAGATGATTTCACTAAATATTTATTAGAAATTGCGGACAAAATAAAATAATTTAAAAATCATTTTTAATTGAAAAATGGTTTCAGATAGTTGAATTTTCAAAGAATATTATTAAAATAGTTAAAAATAATTGAATTTCCTTAGAGTTATAATAGAAATTATTAAATTTCAAAAAATTTTCAATGGAAAATTTTAGAAATAATTAAATTTTAGATGCTTTTAAATTCAAATTATTGAAAATTCAATTAATTTTGAATTCACATTTTTGAGAATAATGAAATTTTATTTAATTTTAAATTGAAAATTTTTGGGAAATAATTGAATTTTAATTGAAATTTTGGATAATAATTTATTGAAGTTCATTTTTGATTGAAAATTTGGATAATTAATTTTGAATAGAAATTTTAGAAAATAATTGAATTTTAATTAAAATTTTTCAAAATAATTGAATTTTAATTGATATTGAATTGAAATTTTAGAAAATAATTGAATTTCAATTAATAATAAATTAAAACTTTTGAAAGTACTTGAATTTTACTTGATTTTGGATTGAAATTTTTTGAAAATAATTGAATTTTAGTTGATTTTGAATTGAAAATTTGGAAAATAATTGATTTTAAATCGAAAATTTTGAAAATAATTGAATTTTAATTGAAATTTTAGAAAATAATTGAATTTTAGTTGATTTAGAATTTAAATTTTGGAAAATAATTGAATTTCAATTAAAATTTTCCAAAATAATTGAATTTTAATTGATTTTAAATTGAAAATTTTGGTAAATAATTGAATTTTAATTGAAATTTTGGATAATAATTTAATTGAAGTTCATTTTTGATTGAAAATTTGTATAATTAATTTTGAATAGAAATTTTAGAAAATAATTGAATTTTATTTCATTTTAAATTGAAAACTTGGTAAATAATTAAATTTTAAATTTGAAAATTTTGGATAATTATTGGATTTTTAATTGATTTTGAATTAAAATTTCGGGTAATAATTGAATTTTAGTTTATTTTGAATTGAAATTTTTAAAAAAATAATTCAATTTTATTGTGATATTTTTTTTTAAATTATAAACAATTGTTAAATTTCATAAAAATTTTAATTGAAAAATAATTTTGATATAATTGAATTTGTGATGTATTTCATTAAAATTATTAAAAATAATTAATTTAGTGAAGAATCATTTTAGTTCAAAATTTGTTAAATAATTGAATTGAAGAAGATCTGAAGAAGATTTGCATTTTATACTAAAAAAATGTATTTTATTTACATTTTTTTTCAAATGTAAAAATAAAATGTCGCATTTTATTAAAATAAGTCGATAAAAGTCGTATTTTTGAAAAAAGTCGGAAAAAGTCGTATAATCCGTGGCCTGTATAATTTTCATTATTATCATTTAATATGTAATAATATTCTAATAAATTAAATTATTATTGATAATATTAATCTTTAATTTCTTTATAACAAACAATTAAATACTCAATTTGGCGCGCGTTTAATTTTGCTAGTTAGCAATAATATTACAATTAAAAAAAAAATATAATAATATTTTTAATGAAATTTAATTTTCTTTTTTTTTAGCAATTTTCTTGGACTTGTAACATATTTGGATTGGGTAATGATTTGTTCAACAACACTATCTTGTATATCAATGATGTTTGAAACTCCAAAATATCGTGTTATGGAAGTGCCAGCATTGCAAGTTGCCGAATATGGTTTTGTTATTTTCATGAGTCTTGAATTGGCGTTAAAAATTTTAGCCGATGGATTATTTTTTACACCAAAAGCCTATATTAAAGACGTTGCCTCAGGATTAGATGTATTTATCTATGTGGTAAATTATTTTTTGTTCTCACTATTTGTTATTTTTTATTCAAATCTTATCAAAAATTAGTCTTTTTTTTTTTTAATTTAATTTAATTTTTTGGAAAATTTTAATTAAAATATTTTTAAATACATTTATAAATTATATAGGTGAGTTTAGTGTTTCTTTGTTGGATGCCAAAAAGTGTGCCACCAAATTCGGGTGCTCAATTTTTGATGATATTACGTTGTGTAAGACCGTTGAGAATTTTCACATTGGTGCCGCATATGAAAAAAGTTGTCTATGAATTATGTCGGGGATTTAAAGAGATTTTATTGGTATCGACATTACTTTTTTTGCTTATGTTTATATTTGCAAGTTATGGAGTACAACTTTATGGTGGTCGATTGGCACGTTGTAATGATCCAACAATATTAAAACGTGAAGAATGCGTTGGAGTTTTTATGCGTAGAGTATTTGTCACAAAAATGAAACTTCAACCGGGACAAAATGAAAGTTATCCATCGATACTTGTTCCTCGTGTTTGGTAATTATAATTAATTTTTTTCTAATTTGGAAAATATTTTTTTTTTATTCTTTTTTTTTCTTTCAGGGCAAATCCAAGACGATTTAATTTTGACAATATTGGCGATGCAATGCTTGCATTATTTGAAGTTTTATCATTTAAAGGTTGGTTGGACGTTCGCGATGTGTTGATTAAAGCCCTTGGTCCAGTGAGTATTTTTTATTTATTTTTTTTTTTTTCGATAAAATTATTAATTTTTATTTTTCCAGGTTCATGCGATTTATATACATATTTATATTTTTCTTGGCTGTATGATTGGATTAACATTATTTGTCGGTGTTGTTATTGCAAATTATTCGGAAAATAAAGGAACTGCTTTGTTAACTGTCGATCAACGACGATGGTGTGATTTAAAGAAGAGATTAAAAATTGCTCAGCCATTGCATTTGCCACCGAGGCCAGATGGAAAAAAATTTAGAGCTTTTATTTATGATATCACACAGAATATTTATTTTAAAAGATTCATTGCTGTTATGGTTTTAATTAACAGTTCTCTTCTCTGTGTTTCGGTAATAATTTTTTATTTGACAATATTTTTATTTTTCTATATTTTTTTTGATAATATTTTTTTTTTTAGTGGAGAATCGAGGAAAAGCACACGGGAGCTTTGGCGACAGTTTCGACAGTTTTGACACTCGTCTTTCTTGTCGAAGTTGTAATGAAAAATATTGCTTTCACCCCACGAGGATATTGGCAATCAAGAAGAAATCGATATGATTTATTGGTGACAGTAGTTGGAGTTATTTGGATTGTTATTCATGGAACAATGAAAGTAGGTGTACAAAAAAAAAGAAATTAAAAATTAAATAAAATTTTAATTTACAAAAATTTTCATTATTAGAATGATCTCTCGTACGTGATTGGTTTTATGGTGGTGATTTTACGTTTTTTCACCATTACTGGCAAGCATACAACTTTAAAAATGTTAATGTTAACTGTTGGCGTTTCAGTTTGTAAAAGTTTTTTCATTATTTTTGGAATGTTCTTGTTGGTATTTTTTTATGCTCTCGCGGGTACAATTTTATTTGGCACCGTTAAATACGGTGAAGGAATAGGACGGTGAGTAAAAATGAATTAATTTTTTTAAAAAATGAAAAATTCTTAAAAATATTTTTCTTTTTTTGTTTTAGTCGTGCAAATTTTGAATCTCCTGTCACTGGAGTTGCAATGTTATTTCGAATAGTTACTGGTGAGGATTGGAATAAAATTATGCACGATTGTATGGTACAACCACCATATTGTACGCCAGCTCCAAATTATTGGGAAACAGATTGTGGCAATTTTCATGCATCATTAATTTATTTTTGTACATTTTACGTAATTATTACGTATATTGTTTTAAATTTATTGGTGGGTAAGTTAATAAATCAAAATAAAACTATAATTTATAAATGTGTAATGAAAATTTCAATTATATGATAATTTATTACTATTTTCCCCTCTCTATAGCTATTATTATGGAGAATTTTTCATTATTTTATTCAAATGAAGAAGATGCTTTATTGTCATATGCGGATATTAGAAATTTTCAAAATACGTGGAACGTGGTTGACATTCATCAACGAGGTGTTATTCCCGTTAGAAGGGTAAATTATTTATTTTAATGAATTAACATCGATAAATTATTTTTTTGTTTTTTGAGAAAATAATTTCTTTCAGGTAAAATTTATTCTACGTTTACTGAAAGGTAGATTGGAAACCGATCCACAAAAGGATAGATTACTATTCAAGTATATGTGTTATGAACTTGAACGATTGCACAATGGAGAAGATGTTACATTTCATGATGTTATCAAGTAATTAATAATTAATAATTAATAATTAATAATTAGAATTTTATTTTATACTAAATATTTTATCTAAATTTTCGTAAAATTTTTTTTTTGTAAAGTATGCTGTCTTATCGATCGGTGGATATTAGAAAAGCTTTACAACTTGAAGAATTGCTGGCGCGAGAAGAATTCGAGTATATAATTGAAGAGGAAGTGGCAAAGCAAACGATAAGAACGTGGCTTGAGGGATGTTTAAAGAAAATTCGTGCCGTTGGGGTATGATAAAATAATTAATAAATTTTCAAATTGTAGTTTACTAGTTTTTTTTTTCTTTCTTTCTTAGAAACAACAAAATAGTCTTATCGCTGGATTGAGAGCAACAAATGATGCTGCAGTACAACAACAGGATCACGTCGAGGAAAAAGTAAAAGAAACAAAGGAAGATCATCGAGAAGAAGAATCGGAGCAAAAAGTAATTGTTTTTTTTATTCAATTTTTTTTTTTTTTTTTAAATTGATAAGAGTTGAAAAAAATTTTCTCTTTAGGAAAATGAGGGTTTAAGACACCGAATGAAAAAGCCAGTTGTACTTCCAAGATCCGATAGTTTTGGAAGTGGTTCAGGGAGAAAATATTTGGCGCCAACATTATCGGATCCAGCTTCAGTGAGAACTGAAAAAGAGAAAATTGCAGCGTCCAAAAAGAGAAACAACAGACCTCCTCGTAAGTTTGTTTTTTTAAAAATAATTATTAAAATAATTATTAAAATAATAATTAGTTAATTAATAAATATTTTGCAGCTGTTGTGAAAAATAATTTACCACATTTAACGGAGGGAAGTGAACAAAATCGACAGACAAAAGAAATATACAATGCAAAATCATCGCCACCAAAAGTATCAAATATTGTCACTGAAGTTCGCGATTGGTGGCGAGAACAAATTGCATACAGTACTGATACAAGTGACGAGGATGATGATTTATAATCTAACTTTATAAGGTTTGTGAACAAAAATAGCATTTCAATCAATCACTTAAAAAAAAAAGATAGAAGAATTTTATTAACGAAAAAAGTGAATTACAGTTTTCACTGTCGGGTAATTCAATTACCAAAATTAGAATTTTATAAATTTAACTTTTAATTCAATTTAAAAATTCAGTTTCATCAACAAAAAAGAAAAATATAATTTTTTTCACGATTTGAAAATAATAATTTTTTTGCCTTGAATTAAAATTCAGGAAAAAATTTTTTAACAAAACGAGATGAATTTTGAATTCATACAAACAATTTTTGAATCGAGTTTTTATCTTGCGGAAAGAAAAAAAAAACATTGTCAAGGAAAGCTCAGGTGATAAGTGACTGTTAAGTTTTTATTTTTTAGAATTATTTTAAATCGAGTGTGCATCGAAAGAATGAAAAATTTAGAAAGATAATGTTAAAACTTGTAATATATAGAAAAAACTAGATGTAGATGTGGAATTTTTTTACAAAACCCAAATAGATTGTTAATGTTTAAAAAGTATTGATCGATGAAACTGAAAAGAAAAAAAAATTATTAGTACAAGCAAAAAAATTCAAAAACTAACGAAAAACAAATAAGAAAAATTATTATCAAAATTGATAGGATTCTTTTTAAATGACAGTAATTTTCAGTCATTTTATATATATATATATAAAAAAAAAAGACGACAAATATAAAAAAGAGTGGAGATAATAATCGAAAACCTGGAGTGTACAAGAGAAAAATGGTTAACGTCGCCTTAGATATTTACCTACAGTAAAAGTACCGTTAAAAAAAAAAAAAAGAATTTTGTTGTCTTGCAACAATTTTCGAATGATCTATTTTTCACGAAACTCGCCGTCCGTGATTTATTTCTATAGCTTCGTGAAACCTGGATCCAATATATATATATATATATATTTATTGTATAAAAGACAATTTATTGTTGAATCAAAGAAAGAAGATAAAGAGGAAAAATTGTGACGCGTTTGATGTAAGACAAGTATTTTGATGATTGCCTAAATGTTAGTTAATGAAGATATATTATAGCGCGAGTATTTATATATTGTACACTATGAGTTGATTTTATATACATATATTTATTTACACGAAAACAAAACAAAAAAAAAAAAGAAAGAAACGTAAATTAGTACGTTTATGTTATCGTGATAAATGTTATTAATTGTTGCCTAGTTTATGTGTTGCATTAAGATGAATCATTGAATAGAGCTAATAAATGTTATTAGACTCGAGAAAAAAAGGAATTTATTTAATATCCATTGAAAATTTATTTTAAATCCAAAATTTAGAAATTAAATCTATCTTATAAACTCACTTAAATATAATAAGAGTAAAAATTTTTTTTTTTTAAATAAAAATTAACGTTACTTTCGTATCTAAATATAGTTTTGTACAAATTGTACAATAGTAGAAAAATATTTTTCGTAGATTTAAAAAAAAAAAATAACTAAACTTACTGAAAATGAAATTAAATAAGAAAAACTTGACCATCGGCTTCCATTATTTGATTTTCGTCTGTCATTTTTTCAATAGCTGCTTTCATCTCGCCATCAGAAAATTCAGTTCTTTGTTGTGAATTAACGAATTCACGAATTCTTTCCACAGGCAATGATTGGGCATGTTGTTCAGTAAAGAGTTTATTTAATAATGTTTTAAACACTTGGAGTCTGAAAATTAATATTTTTTTTTTTTCAATTTAGTTTAATATTGTTTTGAAAATAAAGAAATATTTGCGATAAAAAAAAAGAAGGAACAAACCTTTCGGTATTTATTTGAATGGGTTCATCAACTTCCATTGATGATTTTTGTGTAGAATCAACGCTCGATTTTTGTGCGCGCGTCACTCTTTGTGAGGCTTCAACTTGTGAATCAATATCATTTTCAATATCATAAGGATCATAATCCGGTTCACCGGGATTCACTCTCGTTCTTTTTGATCTTCTCACTGATGAACCATTTTCATTATTCTCATCGTTTTCAATTTCCTCATCGTCCGAACTCTCTTGATTATCTTCATGTCGTCGACGTTTCTTTTTCTCCTTTTCCAATATTCTTTTGAAATACGCAAATTGTACCAATTGAATAGCCGCATTTGCATCTTGTTCCTCGACATTATTTGAAAGACGCGCTCTCGCATGTGCAGTCGATAAACGAATTAATGTCTCAAGTGTACGAGCCGTTATTGGTTGAGTCTGAAAATTTTTTTTTAGATGAAATAGAAGATTTGATTTAATTGAAAATATAAACTTACCCTCGCTACGTCTGATTCCAATATATCCTCAGAACGTAGTTTTGCATATTCATCAGCAATCACTTTACTTGCCTCATCCGTTAATTTTGGCTTTATACAACGAGCAATGTGAATATATTTTCTCATAAAATTCATAGTGAGTATTTTGTCCCTAAAAATGAAAGGATAATTATTTATTTTTCAATATAAAAAATTCAATAAATAATAAGCGAAATTACTTTCTAGAACGTAAACTTCCATGAAGAAGGGGATCATATTTCTCGTAGATGGAAGATTCTTTTTCCTCAATTTCAGGTGCATCGGGATTTTTTGTACTCAATACATCCAAACTACTTGTAAATGGTAAAGCTTCACCGTCTTGTTCTGAGGGATTTCTGTATCTGTGCATTCGCACAACGTGATCACTGATAACATTATCCTGATCTGTGTCAACAATGTCTAACATAACAAAGAGTAAATCGAAACGAGATAGAAGTGAATCTTGTAAACCAATATTTTCCATTGGCGTTTTATATTGATCATACTGTAAAAAAAAAAAATAGTAAATAAATAGAAAATAGAGAAAAAAAAGTTCTCTTTTTACAAATATATTTTTTTTTTACTTACTCTCCCATAAACAGGATTTGCCGCCGCCAATACAGAGCAACGTGCATTTAAACTCGCATGAATTCCAGCTTTTGCAATTGTCACTTTACCCTGTTCCATAACTTCATGAATAGCCGTTCTATCAATATCTGACATTTTATCGAATTCATCAATACAAATAACTCCCCTGTCGGCTAAAACCATAGCGCCAGCTTCCAATCGTCTCTCACCAGTTTCTTGATCCGATGTTACGGCAGCTGTTAAACCAACACCTGACGAACCTCTACCTGTGGTTGGTATTGCCCTTGGCGCCGTGCACAAAACATAACGAAGTAATTGTGATTTTGCCACCGAAGGATCGCCAATCAACAAAACATTTATGTCTCTAAAATTGTATTAAATCACAAAAATAAATATTAATTACGTATATTAAATAATTAAAGAAAAAGGAAATAAAAAAAAATACCCTCGAAGTCTCGTGCCATTTGGTAGGATTTTCTCCGTTCCTCCCAACATTAAACATAAAATCGCCCTCTTTATAAAATCATGACCATAAATTGATGGCGCCAATGATTTACTCAATAATTGAAACATATTATTTTTCTTATTTTTCGACATTTCCTTACATTTCGCCAAATCTTCCGATGATATCGTCAAATTTTGTTCTTTACTCAATAAACTAATACTGTTGGCAATTAAAATTGTTCTGAAAACAAAAAATAAAAAAGTTTTTCACACAGTTTATTAAAAAAAAATAGAATAAAATTGACAAATTGTAGTTTTAAAAGAAAATTATTATTATTATTATTATTATTAATACCTAAAAGTACCAGTGGTGTATCCTCCTTGTTTTCCTGGTAGACATCTGAAATTTCCAACAATTTGCACACGATCGCCTGGCTTACAAACATCAACTAAATCATTATCACAAACAATATCAACACTTCGTGGCAATTGTCCAGCGGGAGCTCTTTCGGGCATTTCTTGAATAGACAAAGTTTGATGATCCTTGTACGTTGATAAACCATATTGTGTTTCCAATGGATTTCCATCTTCATCCTATAAATATTATTTTTTTTTTTATTTTTTATAAAAAAAAAATTTTTTTTCCATTAAAAAATTCAGAAAAAAATTAATTAAATTATCAGGCAAAAAAATTTCATAAAAACAAAATGAAATTAAAAACTATTTTCATTTCTTTTCATAAATTATTTTATTACATATAATAATCGTGAATATCTTTCGTTCATTCTGTCCACACCTGAAGTTAGTATTTGTTATAAGTCTTTTGTTTTTTTTAAATTTATTGTTTGACATTATTTTGTGTTGGTTAAAATTTTTCAATGTTTTTTTGGCATTGTTTCGATAATTAATTTTGAATCGAAATTTTAAAAAATAATTGAATTTTATTTTATTTTAAATTGAAAACATGGTGAATAATTGAATTTTAAATTGAAAATTTGAAAATAATTTAATTTTAGCTGATTGTTGATTGAAAATTTGAAAATAATTAATTTTAGTTGATTGCTGATTGAAAATTTTGATAATAATTAATTTTGACTCGAAATTTTGGAAAATAATTAAATTTTAATTGAAATTTTGGATAATAATTTAATTTAAGTTGATTTTGGATTAAAATTTCGGGTAATAATTGAATTTTAATTGAAATTTTCGATAATAATTTAATTTAAGTACATTTTTAATTGAAAATTTCGATAATTAATTTTGAATAGAAATTTTAGAAAATAATTGAATTTTATTTCATTTTAAATTGAAAACTTGGTAAATAATTAAATTTTAAATTGAAAATTTTGAAAATAATTTAATCTTAGTTGATTGAAAATTTTGATAATAATTAATTTTAGTTGATTGTTGATTGAAAATTTTGATAATAATTAATTTTGACTCGAAATTTTGGAAAATAATTGAATTTTAATTGAAATTTTGGATAATAATTTAATTTAAGTTGATTTTGGATTAAAATTTCGGGTAATAATTGAAATTTAATTGAAATTTTCGATAATAATTTAATTTAAGTTCATTTTTAATTGAAAATTTCGATAATTAATTTTGAATAAAAATTTTAAAAAATAATTGAATTTTATTTTATTTTAAATTGAAAACTTGGTAAATAATTGAATTTTAAATTGAAAATTTTGAAAATAATTTAATCTTAGTTGATTGAAAATTTTGATAATAATTAATTTTAGTTGATTGTTGATTGAAAATTTTGATAATAATTAATTTTGACTCGAAATTTTGGAAAATAATTGAATTTTAATTGAAATTTTGGACAATAATTTAATTTAAGTTGATTTTGGATTAAAATTTCGGGTAATAATTGAAATTTAATTGAAATTTTCGATAATAATTTAATTTAAGTTCATTTTTAATTGAAAATTTCGATAATTAATTTTGAATAAAAATTTTAAAAAATAATTGAATTTTATTTTATTTTAAATTGAAAACTTGGTAAATAATTGAATTTTAAATTGAAAATTTTGAAAATAATTTAATCTTAGTTGATTGAAAATTTTGATAATAATTAATTTTAGTTGATTGTTGATTGAAAATTTTGATAATAATTAATTTTGACTCGAAATTTTGGAAAATAATTGAATTTTAATTGAAATTTTGGACAATAATTTAATTTAAGTTGATTTTGGATTAAAATTTCGGGTAATAATTGAATTTTAATTGAAATTTTCGATAATAATTTAATTTAAGTTCATTTTTAATTGAAAATTTCGATAATTAATTTTGAATAAAAATTTTAAAAAATAATTGAATTTTATTTCATTTTAAATTGAAAACTTGGTAAATAATTGAATTTTAAATTGAAAATTTTGAAAATAATTTAATCTTAGTTGATTGAAAATTTTGATAATAATTAATTTTAGTTGATTGTTGATTGAAAATTTTGATAATAATTAATTTTGACTCGAAATTTTGGAAAATAATTGAATTTTAATTGAAATTTTGGATAATAATTTAATTTAAGTTGATATTGAATTAAAATTTCGGGTAATATTTGAATTTTATTTAATTTTAAATTGAAAACTTGGTAAATAATTGAATTTTAAATTGAAAATTTGGAAAATAATTCAATTTTATATATAATTTAATAACATATAATAATAATTTTCATTATTATCATTTAATATGAAATAATATTCTAATAAATTTAAATTATTATTGATAATATTAATCTTTAATTTCTTTATAACAAACAATTAAATACTCAATTTGGCGCGCTTGCGCGCGTTTAATATTGCTAGTATAGTGATTAATTTTTCAAAAATTTATTACCGCTGTGGGATAAACTGCTGATGCAGGAAATGCATCATATGATGTTAAATCACTGTACGCTCTATCAGTAATTGCTTTTGTTGCCTCACAATAATGCACACTTCGCACTATTTTTGGTCTTACCAATGAACCTAAAATTTTTCAATTATTTACACATAAATGGATCGAAATAATAAATTATTAAATTATTTTACAAAATAAAAATCTCTTACATTTTGTAACAATTCCCTCTAAACATACAAGATTGCCCAAAAATTTTGATGTTAAAGTTCTTGGTGTAACGTGTCTACTACCAAAACTTCCCTCAAATCCAATAAATACATCTTTACTTGTTTTTGCAAAATCCGCGTCAATTGATGAAGCAAATTGTTTCAATGCATTCTCAAAGGCCATTTGTTCTTCAAATGAATTTTCCAATAAACTGAGGGAAAATTTATTAAATTATTATGAATAGAGAAAAATTGAAATTTTTTTTTTTTTTTTTACATACCTTATGGCACGTTTCGGATTTCTTTTACGTAAATCATTGATATTCACATAAAGTCTACGTTTATTTTCCTCAATCATAGTTTTTACAAGATTTGCATATTTTTCTGAATTCTCCTATAATGAAAACAATTTTGAGTTTAAAAATTTTTTTTGATTATCATTTTTTAATTTTTGTTCTAAAAAAAAAATACCGTATCGTCAAGGAAGTCCAAATACTCCCGCTCCATAAGCTTAATACGTTGATCAGCTTCGTATTCGTCCATGATGTCAAACTTTCAATTTTAATAAATTTAATAACCAAATTAATATACCCAAACAAAAAAAAAAGTAATTTCCTTCTGTAACATAAAAAATAGTGGAAAAATTACTTTTTACATAAATTTCTATTAACCGATATAAATTTCTGCTTTTTGAGTTTGCATTTTTTACATATTACAAAACAATCGGTCTATTGTTAGTGAAAACAATGTTTCTTTTGTTTAAAAAAAAAAAAGAAGAAGATTCCTAATTTAATTTAATATTATTTATAACCGTTTTGGAAAGTTTAAAAAAATGTATATAGTAACCGGAGTTAACAATTTATAGGTTAGAAATTTTTACCTTTGTTGTATTATTACTTGTTTGTCTCTAAAATCACAATTTCACCAATAAGTATATACAATAAATTAAGTGACAGCACAGAACAAATTTTTTTATTATAAATGTTATTAATAACAAACGTAAAAAATAAGAATCTAATAACCGTTTGATCACGGAGAACGCGATCGTTTTGGCGCGAAAAACTAAAGTTTTTAGAAATACACCTTAATGAAAATACTTTGGCAACATGAGTACTCACCTTAACTATATCAGTAGTACCACTACCAATTGTCAACATTTAAATTACAGTTTTAATTTTTTAATTTTCTGTTTGTTTAAACAAAATTTTAATATTTCATTTACATAATCGTGGGTGTATTTTTAATTTTCGAGAAAATTATTTTTAATTCCTGTCTGTTTAATAATATTTTAATTTCTATTATTTATGTAATCGTTTCTAACCACGTTACAGCACTCTCGCTATTAAACGTGATGTAACCTCAAAATCCAAGTTCTTTATTTATAAATTTTTTTTTAGTTGAAACAAAAAAAAAATGAATGAACATTTTACAACTAATGAGTTTAGTGAAGAAAGTAAAATTCACATTAACAGTGAATTCAATGACAACAATGAAAATCAAAAGGATAATAATGTGAATATAAATGAATTAGATGATGAAAATAAGAATCAAAAAGAAAGCAAAGTGAACACCGAGGAAAATACAAGTAATAATGATAGAGTACTTAATAAATGGATGGTAGGTATTTATTTAAATAATTAAAAAAAAAATAATTCTCTTATGTAAAATTAATTTAAAATTTATTTAAAGATTAGACCTTGTCATCAGTATAAAGATGAATATCTTGATTGTACAAGTATGAAATCACGATTTCATCAGTATTTTGTGTTTGGCGAAACAATTGATTGTTCACAATGGAGAACTGATTATGATAATTGTGAAAAATGGAATAAATCAAAGAACACTGAAGCCTTTGTAAGTTTGTTTGTTTGTTTTTTTTTTCTTTGTCATTTGTTAATATTAATTTGCACATATTTTATATTTCAATTTGAAAATTTTTATTATATAAAGGATGCAATAGTAACAAGTGAAACAGAACGAAGATTTAAGAGATTTAAGGCTCATTATGCAAATAATGTTTGGAAAAAAAGAGATAAACCACCGGAAGATTGGTCTAAACCACTGCCAGAATGGTTGGTGAAAAAAAATGAAAATAGCTATTTAGAGATGAAAAATCAACAATTAAAATCTGGAACTGGAAAGGATATAGAAACAAATATTCCATGGTGTTGTATTTTATAGTGCAATTACATCGTAAATACAAAAATTAGTTACAAATCCATAAGGTTGGTAATTTGATTTCAATTTTTATATTTTTTAATAATTCCTTTATTTGAAAATAATACAATTTAGTGTAATGAAATTTTTATTATTGAAATTACAATTTTTTTAAATATATAGGTATTCAAGATCTCAGTTTACAATAAATTTTCTATTAGAATTCAAGGCGTCAATGCCAAAGGTATTTAGAGCAATTAAGGAAATAATTCCGAGAATTATAGAAAGTAATATAAAAATCTATTTGATTCAATTATAATTTACAATTTTGTGAGAATTCAAAAAAAAAAAAAAGAAATTCTCTCTTTTTACCAAGGCAAAGTAGTACCGTCATGTTGCAAAAAAGTACCAGTATTTTCGGCTTTTAAATTTTGCAAAGTATTTAAAATATCTTCAACGCTGTTTTCAATTTCCAACGGTGCTTGAGATCCGCCCATATCAGTTTTCACCCAACCTGGATGAACACAAACTGCCAAAATTCCATTTTCTTTTAAATCAACACTCATTGATTTTGTTGCTGCATTTAATGCACTCTGAAGAAGAAAATTTTTTTTTAATCTCAATAAAAAAAAAACCCAACAATTAATATTTATATCCAATTTAAAATTTTACAAAAAAAACATTTTTCTCGAAAATTATTAATTTAATTAATTAGCAAACCTTGCTACATCTATAAGGATAATATCCGCCTGAATCATTTTGTGCAATACTTCCAAGAATTGAAGAAATATTAACAATTGCTGCTCTCGAAACACTCATTGGTTTATCTTCTTGAATTTTGGCTCCTTTTTTTAAAAGTGGCAAAAGTTTCTGTCGTAAAAAAAAAATTTAATTTTCTCTTTAATTTCATTTTCTAAAGAATTGATAGGAAATTTTTTATTTTTTTTTTTTTTGCAAATACCTGTGTTAGCATAATAGGAGCAATTGTATTAATAGCAAAATTATCTTTAAGCTGTTCCTCTTTAACCAATCCAAGTCGAGTGAATTTTGTCGAAACTCCCGCATTATTAATTAGAAGATTTAATCCAGCATCACCGACTTTTTCATTAATTGCCTCAAATACTTTATTATAATCCTTTACATTGTTTAGATCTGAAAGATTAATTTTTTTAAAATGAATATTAACACTAGACTAAAAAGAAAAAGTGAAATAAAAAAAGGAATGAAATTAAAAAAGTTAATTAAAAAATAACTATAAATAAATTTTATTTCTTTACAGGAATTTTATTATTTCCTGAAATTAATTTTTTATTTATTTTATATCGTAATAAACATTAGTGGAATAAATTTTTCATATATATATATATATACAATTATTGTAGTTGAAAACATAATGATCGATAAATAGACATTTGTCGTGTTTGTTTTCACCTTGAATTAAACTATTATATTGTTGGGAAAAATATATAGTTTCAATTCGAAATTTATATTCTTAGTAGAAATCTAATCTTACACTGTGATGCTGATAAGATCTAATCGAGATTAAAAAAAATCTTGAATTAATGCAAATTAAATAATTTTAATTTCCAAAAGAAAAAAAAATATTCAACTAAATTAAAATTATAAGAAATATTAAAAAATAAAAATCCTTTTTAAAATAATAAAATAAATTTTTAGATTAAATAATAATTATCCAAATGTTTTTTTTTTTTTTTATTATTATTCTTTAGGATAAAATTTAAAAATATTTTTTAAATTATTTTTAAAATCACTGTTCTATCGATAAGTGCAGTGAAGTGAGAAATAAAACTTTCTTTTATCTATATTTCAATTATGAAAAAACAACGAAAATCTAACAAAAATAAAAGTTTTTTTTCTTCTTGTTTGAAAATGTCCGAAACTTTACATTCTGAGTCGAGTGATGAGGGTGAAAATAAAATAAAAGTGATCGAAGAATTACGACCTTCAAATGGAAAAATGATCAAAGGTACAAAAAAAAAATTTATTGCAAATTTTTCTTTCCTTTTTGGTTATAAGTCAAAAATATCACGAAATCAAGAAATTAATTTTATTTACCAATTTCAATTATATGTAATTTTGGATTTGAATCAGCAAGTGTTTTGAGTTCCTGAAAAACATAAATTTGATTAAATCTTTTTTTTTTGACAATAATTATTATTTTAATTTTTGTTATAAATAATATTTTAGTTTATTACATTTTTTGTTTATTTAATAATAATCGAAATAAAATAGTTTTAATATCGACTAATATATTCCATTTGTCATGTAATTACATGACCTCATTGAAAATTCCTTTCTAATTGTAATTATTATTACAAACGGAAGAACTTTTCAAGGTAATTTTCGGGATATGTTGTAATTTTTTTCTTCTATTTACTATACTTTTAGTTAAAAATTTTAATCGTTTTTTTTAATACTATTTTTGATTCACAAATTTACATTTTTTTCTCGTTTTAATTTGTGTTACAATTTTCCACAATTGTATAATTTACTCCGTCATCATGTCTTGCACAATCATGCATAACCCATATCTTACATGACATTGAGAAATTTTTAATTTAAAAAATGCAATATATTATTTTATTCTAAATTTTTTTTTATAGAATTTACATAAAGTTTAAAAATACACTAAAATTATTATTTCTCCTCTAAATTTTTCAATCAATAAAAAAAATTTAATATTGTTTTTAATTTTAAATTAATATTGTCATTTTATTTGTTCGTTGACATTTTACTTTAATTATTATTTACCTATTTTTATTATTATTTAATAAAGTTTACATTTTATTAATATTTTTAAATATTTCAAATTTAAATAAAAATTCCTTTTTCAAAATATGGCGCTTTTTTTAAAAAAAATTGCGCATGCGTTTAAACAATTGCTCTAATTTTATATTTAAGTGCTTTTAAAATACTTGAAAAAAAAATATTTACTTTTCCTTACTTAATAATAAATTATTTAATTTCATGTTATGATTTTCCTTTTTTATTAAATTAATTTTAATTATGATTTTGAAATAAATTTTAAATTCTCTGGAAAATAAAGAACCAATGAAAAAAATTGTTGTTACGCATGCGCAATAGAAAGATTAGCAGTTTGTGAATGCGCCATTATTGTTTTATATATCGATCAAGAAAACTAATTTCTTTTTAGTTCATTTACAACCGTTAATATTGAAAGTTGTGTTTTCTCAAACAATTTTGTTTATAAATTCAAATTGAATAAAATTCTTTCATTTTTTTTCAAGTTTTAATATATAAAAATAAGACAATGGCACCAATTGGTAAGTATGCTTGAGAATCGGTTTTTTTTTAGGTTATATAAATCTAAAAATTATTCAACAATTAATTCTATTATCCATAAAGTAGAAAATATACTTACTGTCGCTTTGCTAACGTCTCGACATGTAGCAAAGATAAATTCCGGTTGAAATTTTGTTCCTTGAATCAATTTTTTAACAATACCAAGACCGATCCCTCGGTTACCACCAGTTATTAACACTGAACGCATTTTTTTTTCTCTTATTTCTTCAAAAAAAATACTACCGGCCTTTTATTCTTAATGATAATCGAAAAGAAGTTAAAATATTATCTTATTGTTAGACGCGCACGCTCTATACTGACAGTGCATTTTATACTCAGCTCAAATGTGATTCATTAATCTCGGTTTGATTATTTTTTCCGGTTAGAATATTATTCGGAAAGTGAAAAAATAAAGAATTTGTGGCTTTTCGCATCCGTTTAATATTTTTCTCATTCTTTTGCGAATTATTTAATTAACAATAATAACAAAAAACAAAAATTGAATTTCCCTCTTAAAAAAAAATGATTTTAAAAAAAAGAAAATAAAAATATTTTTTCAAAAATAAAATTCAAAAATATAAAAATAATTTAATGATAATTAACATTAGGTAGACAATCAATAAATTTAAAAATTATTTTCTAAAAATATCAAACTGAAATTAATATTCTCTGATATGTGCATATGTGATAATTCACAGAGTGACGTCAGAATTTTTATATTGTGATTCGCGCCACAATCATGGCGACATTAACAATCATCCCGAGGTTCATGTCATTTAGAAGAAAACCGGCTAATTTATTAAAATTATCGTTTAACGGAAATAAAAATTCCCTCTTTGGAAATATTCTCGTGGCTTATTTATCCAGTGAGTGTGACTTTATCGATTTCATCATTACATCGATTACGTAAAATGATTTTCAAAATAGAATATACTTGTCAAATTTTTATATTTACGTTTTATTTTTTTTTTATATGAAGAAGGTTTTTTTTTATTACAAATATTGATGTTGGTAATATTTTGTAAATTATAATCTATAAAAATTTTTGCTGTTTAATAATGAATTTAGTTTTAATGTTTTTAGATGACAGATTTTGTTTATTTGTAAATTAGAAATAATTTTTGTAATTATACCAACTTGCGTAATGTAATTTTTAATTGTACTAAAATTTTATTGCATCACTATTTAGATTTATTATCATATTTTTTTTTTAGATTTTGTTTTGAAAATCGTTTCAATTTTCCCACCCGATGAATGATTTTTTTTTTTTTTTGTCTCAAATGATTGAAGATTAATTATAAAACGATTTACAATATGAATATGAATTTATAATTTTAAATTATTTTCTTTTTAGCGGAACACAAATATATGTACGATCTAGTGGTTTTGGGAGGTGGTTCAGGTGGTTTGGCTGCTGCAAAAGAGGCTGTTGAACTTGGTGCAAAAGTTGCTGTTCTTGATTATGTGACACCAACTCCTTTAGGAACAAAATGGGGTTTAGGAGGAACTTGCGTTAACGTTGGTTGTATTCCAAAAAAGCTTATGCATCAAGCCGCTCTTCTCGGTGAAGCTATTCATGTAAATATTTAATTATCCCCTTTATAAAAAGTAAAGGTTGTTTCTATTTCGCCCGCTCGGGCGAACTAATTCATTTCTGTTATTTCGCCCGTCGCGGGCGAAATAGATGCGACTGTGTGAACTGGCTATTTCGCCCGTCGAAATGAATGTGTTTTAGAAGACGGGCAAAATAAGAAAAATAGATTATTTCGCCCGTTCAAGATAAAATCGAGTATCTGGAAGACGGGCGAGTATATTATTTCGTCCGTGAAATGTTTAAACAAAAACGGGCGAAATAATCAAAATACAATATTTAGCCCGCTAGGTATAAACAGCTGTTGTATATTTCAATTTACAAACTAAAATTATTTTAACTTTTATTTTGCAATTTATGTTAAATATCATATATTTGATAAACAAATTTGATGGTCTCATTTATTTTTTGTGTTTCGATAAAAAAAAGGGTTTTTCTGATTTCTTTCTCAGCAGAATCATGGTTTTATATATCAATGTGAGATTATACTCCGTATAGTATATTCTTTAAATATTGAAAACGACGGTGCGTTGTTTGAAAATCTATTTGGTATCGAAAGTAGTTCATATGACATTCTTTATTTTGATTGTCTTCAATTTTATTTACTCGTTGAATTTAGAGATGCAAATATACAAAAATTTCAGAAATAGTCGATTTTTGAATTCTTATTTAAATTACAAAATTAAAATCCACAATTTTTATTATCAAAGTTTAATAAACAAAATTAAAAAAAATTTTTTTTTCATTTTTCATGAAAAAAATTTTTTAAAATGATTTTTTCAATTTTTAAGAAAAAATTTTTTCCAATTATTTCGTCAACAATTTTTAAAAGAAAAATTTATAAAAAATATTAAAAAATATTATTAATTATTTGAAGAAATATTAATATTTTTAAATCGATGACGATCAATTTTAATTGTTTTCGACTTCAACATCGTAATTTTAATTAGTTAAATTTAATAATTATAATTTATAATTTTAATATTAGATTAATTTTTTTATAATTTTAATTATATTTATTTACCATTACTATAAAATATTAAATTTTTTTAATTATTTAATAAGAGTAATTAATACCTCTATAAATATATTAATTTTTTTTCCAATACAATTTCTTAGATAAAATAATTATTATTCTTTAAAGTCACGTCTCAAAAACGTGTAAAATAAATATTTGAAAAATCTTCAAGTTAATAATTACAAACAAATTTTATGTTACAAATATTCTCAAAACTTTAATTAATAAAATTTTTTGAAAAAAAATAGAAAATAATTAAGTATTAATTTTAAGAATTTAAAGAATTTTTAAGAACTTTTTTTTAATTTAAATTTCTTCTATTTTATTAAACCAAATACTCCAAAAGATATAAATAAATAATATTAGACCTATACTCAGACGTCTTTTTTCTAACCATCTTATTTGTTATATTTAAAAAAAAGTAAAATTATTTTTTCTCATTATCTAAAAAACAGCTGTCTATACTTAACGGACGAAATAATAAACTCGCCCGTCTTCCAGATACTCGATTTTATCTTGAACGGGCGAAATATGTAATCTATTTTTCTTATTTTGCCCGTTTTCTAAAACACATTCATTTCGACGAGCGAAATAGCCAGTTCACACAGTCGTATTTATTTCGCCCGCGACGGGCGAAATAACAGAAATGAATTAGTTCAAAATTTAAAAAAAAAAAAATAATTATTTATAACAGGAATCCGTTGCTTTTGGCTGGCAATTACCCGATCCAAAAACAATTACAATTGATTGGGATGCATTGAAAAATGCTGTTCAAAATCATGTAAAATCTGTTAATTGGGTGACACGAGTTGAACTCAGAAATAAGTAAGTGAAATTTTCTGTTAATTTAAAAATTTATTTTCTAATTTTTTTTTCTTTTTAGAAATGTAGAGTATATAAATGCTCTTGGACATTTTCAAGATCAACATACAATTGTTGGCGTCATGAAGAATGGCGATCAAAAAATTATAACTGCGCAAAATATTTTAATTGCCGTTGGTGGTAGGCCAAGGTATCCTGATATTCCCGGAGCTGTTGAATATGGAATAACAAGTGACGATATTTTCAGTTTAGATAAAGCACCAGGCAAAACTCTTGTCGTTGGAGCTGGATGTATCCTTTTTTTCAAAAAATTTTTTATTTTTTTTTTTCATTTAGAGATTATATTTTTATTTTTCTTGACGCAATTTTAATATAAAGATATTGGATTAGAGTGTGCGGGATTTTTAAATGGAATGGGTTTCGATGCAACGATAATGGTTCGTTCAATTGTTTTACGTGGATTCGATCAACAAATGGCAAATATTGTCGCTGAGGAAATGGCCGATCGTGGCGTACATTTTATTTATCAAGCAAAACCAAAGGCAATTGAAAAACAAGCCGATGGTCGTCTTCTCGTTCATTGGGTTGATAAGGTGAATTTTTTTTTTTTTTTTTCTCTTGAGAAAAATTTATTTAATTTATCGCAAGAAAATAAAATGTGTTTTTTTTTTAATTAACAGAACGGAGAAATTCATCAGGATGTCTACGATACCGTTTTATTTGCAATAGGACGTAGAGCACTGACCAAGGAATTAAAACCAGAAAATGTGGGACTTGTACTTATGCCCGAAAGTGAAAAAATCAAAACAGTTAATGAACAAACGAACGTTTCGAATATTTATGCAGTCGGTGATGTTCTTCACGTTAGTTTTTTTTTTCTATTAATTTTCTTTAAACGAATACAAAACAAGGTTTTTGATTTGAAATTTTTTTTTTTTTGAACAGAAACTTCCAGAATTGACACCGGTGGCGATTCATGCGGGAAAATTGTTGTCTCGTCGTCTTTTTGGTGGTTCAACGGATCAAATGGATTATACAAATGTGGCAACGACTGTATTTAGTCCCTTGGAATATGGATGTGTTGGTTTAAGTGAGGAACAAGCGATCGCATTGTACGGAGAGGAGAATCTTGAAATTTATCACGCCTATTATAAACCAACGGAATTTTTTGTACCACAAAAAAATGTTAAACATTGTTACGTTAAAGTTGTTGCATTAAGAAAAGATGATCAACGAGTTCTTGGAATGCATTTCGTTGGACCGAATGCCGGTGAAGTTATTCAAGGATTTTCTGCTGCCATCAAGTAATTATCGCCGATTTTTTTTTTTTTTTTATTAATAATTAATTCAAGTAACAAAAATTTTAATTTTTAAAGGTGCAATTTAACATTTCCAATGTTAAAATCAACTGTTGGTATTCATCCAACAACGGCTGAAGAATTCACTCGTGTTTTCATAACAAAAAGATCGGGAATGGATCCAACACCACAAAGTTGTTGCAGTTAAATATTAGAATGTCATAACTAGAAGATTTTGAAAGCAATCTTATTTACTTTTTTTTTTTTTTTTACAAAAGTATTGAGGGGATAAAGGTGATAGAATATTTTTTAAAGTGAAATTCCAAAATGGTTTTTTTTTATGACGATTTTGCATTAATGATAAAAAGCAAATTCTGAAAGGAAAAAAAAAAAAAAAAAAAAAAAGTTTATTAACATAATTGAATACAAAATTGCTTTGTTGAAGAAGCAATTAGTGAATTTTGTATACAGTATTTTAATTTTGCAATTCCACAGTGAGTAAAAAGAAATTATTTTTATGCAATTTTTGTTAACATTTTAACATTAAATTTCTATTTCTCACTAATTTCTATTTCTATTTCTCCTTTATTTTCTCACATCCAATCCAATATTTTGCCGTTAATAATGGATAACCAATTTCCGTTTTAAATGTTTCGGAATTAAATTTCCAAAAATATTTCCCTTTAAAAAAGTAAATTGCACCTGAAAATAGTTTTTAATTAATGAAAATTCAATTATTTTTTTTTTTTACAATTATTATTTACCATTTGTCCATGTCATTGCAGTGTCAAAATTTTGTGGAATACCACCTAATTTTGTAATATGTGAAAAATTTGAATCCAATTTATCTTGACTTTCATTGATTGTCCAAAATTCATTGCCTCTGTTTTTTTTTGTATTAAAAAAAAAAATAAATTGGAAATTTATTTGAAAATACAATAAAATTGGAAAAGAAAATTATTTCCATGATTTTTGAAAAATTACCGAAATAGATAAACTTTCTCTGTTTTTGGCCAAATAAAAGCGGCGTCAATTTTATTGATATTATCAGGAATTTTGTAATCAGACAAAAATCTTGGACTGTCGCTGCTAAAACTATTGCCATTATAAATCCAATATTTGTCGCCTATTAAAAAAAAAAAAAATTTTTAAATAGTTTGAAAAAAAGAAAAACTAATTATAAAACACAAACCAGAAAAAAGTACGATACTCGAATCAATTTCTCTTTGATAAGCGGCATCAATTTTCGTTACATAATTTGGCAAACCGTGAAATAATTGTTGTAATTTCACTGGATAATCATTGTCCAATAAACCACGTTGAATTAAACGCCAGAGATACTAAAAAAAAGAAAATTTAATTTCAATAGAATTATTTTTCTTTCAGAATATAATTATATTCTTACTTCGCCTTTAAAAATGAATATTTCATTTCTAAACATTGAAATAGTATCAAAATTCCCTTGACAAATATCAGGAATTGTAATTAAATTATTTTTCTTTTCATGCAAACGATGTTCCTCAACTGTTTCATAATCACCGATAAATGTAATATTCTGAAAATCTAATCTCTGAGTTGTTGAATAGAAATCAGTTGTTAATTCAATTTCAAATTCTGTCGTTGTTTTTGGAATTTCTCGTTCCTGTTCTTCTTTATGATGTAAAACTGAAATTTTTATTAATTCAGTTAGAATAAAATAAGAAAATATTTAAAAAAAAAAAAGTAATCGTACTATAGAGATCATATAATCCAAGAAGATCATCGTAATCTAATTGAAATCCCGAAGTGTATCCTTTATAATAAGGAAACATAATTGACGTTGGAATTGTTGAATGAGATAATCCCAAACTGTGTCCCAATTCATGAACAGCGACTGAGAAAAAATCTGTTCCTTCTTCTTGTGAATCAAATGAATTTATCTCCCATTTTTCATCATCGTCAAAATGAATATCACCACCAAATGAATTCATTTCATAGGGGAAAAAAGCGTGTGCCAAAATATTTCCCGGTCCATCAAAAGGATAACTGAAGAAAAAAAAAAATTTATTTAAAATTAATTTTTAATTTAAAAAAAAAATATATATATATATACCCGTCACCGTGTGATCCTTGACTAAAACTTATTATAATATCTGCATTCGGATCATTGACATTTTGAAAATTAAGCCTTGAATAATCGGTCCAAGCTTTAAAAGCTCTTTCCATTTCTTTAATTACAGATTCTTGTTTCAATTTTGGTGACCAATTGGCAATGCTATAATAATTTTGAAAAAATATTAATTATATTTAAATAATAGTTAATTGATAATAAAAAAAAAAAAATCAATTACTAATAAGTGATAACGCGTTTCCTCCATCCTTCAGAACCGATAATATATCTTTTTTCTCGATTTTTCAAATGTTTTATATCGGCAACTCCACAACGTGGTGTTTCTATCAACTTTTAAAAATTAAAAACTTAAAATAACTACGCTGTGAATAAATAATTTTTTTATTTTTCTGAATATTATTTTTAAATATTTAAATTTGTCTACTATTTTTCTAAATATTTCACATTGAATATTTTCGTAATTAATATGCTAATTTTTAATCAATTATTATTATCTGCACTAAAAATACCTTTAAAGTTATATTATCAATTTCTCCGGACATTGGAATATTTCCAAATTTTTGTAGACTTTTTATTGCATCGACCAATGCACTTTCCTTATAAAGAGACTCGGAATTTCCACTCGTTGGCAAATATCCAAATCTTTTCATAAAATTTATCTAGAAATGAAATTCACAATTTTTATACATTTTTTTTTCGTAATTAAGGAAAATTAATATAAATTGAAATAAAATTATTGCTTAAAAAATAGAAAAAAAAAATTTTAATGATTTATTTTTACGTACCGTTTTAGTTGATAAAAAAAGACGTTGCATCAAAAGATTTGATATATTAATTGGTGCCAAGTGAATGAGTTTAATATTAAAATTTAAAATCAACCAAATAAAAATTAATAATTTCATTGTGAGAAAAAATTAAAGTAAAATATTAAATATTTTTTTTGTATAATTATTTATTTAAATGTATGTTATTTATTTTTGTAATTATCAATTTTTAGATAAAAATAATAAACGGGAAAAAACTGTTTTAAAAATGAGTGTTGCCGCCTTTTTTTTTTTTTTTTAGAAAATAAAAGTTGAAACAAACGTTCAACTCAGAGAGCAATTAAGAGCAGACTGAGATAATCATGTGTCTAGCAATTGTTCTTGAAGAAAATGAGACAATTTTTTTTTCTTTGAAATTTCATTGAACCTAGAAAGTGAAATTTTTTTTTTTTAATTTTTAATAAACTTGAATTTAAAAAAAAAGTATTAGAAAAAAAATTAAATTAACAGAAATTAAAAATTATTTAAAGAATGTCGAGAATTTCTTCTGACTCAACAGATTCTGAATTTTTATCGAATACAAATTTGACGAATTTTTCTCCTTTTGTAAGTAAAAATTAATTAATTTTATCTTTAATATTCTCTGTTTAGTGAAATAATTTTTTTTTTCAAACTTTAAATTAAAAAAACCTTACAGAATTTAAAATGGGTTTTTGGAATCAATTCAACAGTGCCAATTATAAATTTAACAACAAAAGAAAGAACTCTAATTGCTTATGCTTCCTCGCATGTTATTATTTTGTACAATTATTGTTCGAGAGAAATGTTTACACTTCAAGGACACGTTAGTTAATTAAATTTAAATTACTTTTTTCATTTTTAGAAAAATGGATGTATTAAATAATATTTGTTTTTTTTTTTTAGTCAAACGAAATACGAACTTTATCCACTGATTTTAGTGGAAAATATTTGCTGTCTGCTGATTTTGGAAAAGATTCAGTTGTCATAATTTGGAATATCGAAAAACGGTGTGATTTAAAATTTTTTAATCGCTCTAATAATTAAAATTTTCAAAAGATTTGACAAAAATTAAATTAAAATTTGAAAAATTTTGCAGTATTCCAATGTGCACTATTTTTAATCCACACAATGATGCGGGAATGACTGCTGCAAAAATTAGTTTTGATGCCAAATATATTGTAACTGTAGGCAATGAAAATTGTCAATTATTAAAAATTTGGACACCTGGCAAAGACATTGCAGATGGTCAGTATTTTTGCAAAAAAAAAAAAATTACGTTACCATTTTAATTTACCATAGCTAATATAATTATTGAACTAAATTTTTGTTTACAGAAAATTTTTAATTCGATTTTATTATATTTTTTTTATTTTATATATAATAATTTTAGCATCAATCGAACTACATCCCACTAAAAGGGATCGAGTCAAAGAAATTAGCTTCAATGACAACAATTCAGATCAATTTATTCTTACACTCGAGTATCAAGTTTTGTTTGTCACATGGGTCTGTATAAATATTCAAAACAATTTTTATAAATTTAAAACTCCGTTTGTAAAAAAAAAAATTAATTTAAAGATACAATTTTTTAAAGGGAAATAAAAATTTAAATGTTCATCAACCTTGTATTGTAAAAAAACAAAACGTCGGTGTTTTCAATAATTCAATTATTCTATCACGAGTAAATAAAGCAATCACAAGTACTTCGAAGGGTAAAACAAAAATTTGTCAATTTTACAAGGAAATTATTTTCAAAATTTAAAAACTAATATTCATATTTAAATTTTTTTTTAAAAAATGAAGGTTTCATGTTATTTTGGACATTCAATGAGAAAAAGGCAAATTTTCAAAAAGCAATTCAACTTGAAAAATGCAATATTACTGAAATTAATCGACAAAAAAAGTAAAAATTACAGAAAAATTTAATTAATTTCCAAAAAATTGACATTTAATTAATTAATTTTTTAGTATAATAGTTCTGGGAAATTCTCAAGGTGATGTGAAATTTTATGATGAAGAATTGAAAATTTTATATTTGTGCACTGATTGTAATTTTGATTCAATAAGCTCAATAAGTTTTGATCTTACTTCTGAATATTCAAAGAAATATGAAATTGAATCGAATTTTACTTTTAATATTGAAAATAATTGTGAAACAAAAAATATTACAAATAATGGAAAAAATCATTTTGGAGCAACAATGGATCAAAAACCTTTCGAAATTGAAAGATTCTTTATTTGTACACTTTATAATTCATTGCTTATATTTTATTAATTTTTTATTTTTCATAAATCTGAGAAATTAATTTTCAAATTAAAAATTACTTACAATTTTTTTTTTTTTAGGCACAAAAACGGGACAACTCGTTTGGCTAGATGTTTCAAAATTAAAATATCAATTTATTTCATATCCATCGGAAAGCATAATTACATCTTTGGATCTTCATAGTGATCTGTAAATTTAAACATAAAAAAAACAAACAAAATTCGATTTCATATTTTATATTCTTAATTTCAGATCTTACATGGTAATAGGAACATCTTCTGGTTTAATTCGTCTCTTTAATTACACTAATAATAGATTAATGATATCAAAGGAGTTGCCAATTTTTACAAATTTTTCTGAAATTTATAATAGAGAATCAATTAATAATGAAATAATTCATGTTTCAAATTTGAAAATTTCAAAAACTTTTAATTCTATTACTATTCTTAAATATTCTCCAAATTGTAAGAAATTATTCATTAATTTAATTATTATTGCAAAACAGTTTAATTAAAAAAAATGTAAAAATAATTTTTTTTAATTTGCAAAAAAAAATTTCGTTTTTATATTTATTCTAGCCGATATGTTAATATGCGGTTTAAAAAATGGAGTAATTTGGATTTTACATCCGGATTCTTTAACATCAATAGACCAAGTTCCTTTTAAACATTCAAATGAAGCAATTTTGAATGTCACTTTTTCGGAAAATTCTCAATACATGGCTTATTCAGTAAAAAAAAAAGATTAATTTATATAAAAATAATTATTAAATTATAATAATTTTTAATCTATGAAAAATAATCGTTTAATTGCATTTTTAAAAAAATGTCTTATTTCTTTATATTTTCAGGACAATGCAATGACAGTGGCAGTATTTAAAAAAGGAAAACCAAATTTTTCCTCTGGATTTTGGATTTTTCTTGGAAAATATCATTCCCATTATCTTTGTATCAAAGAATTATTATTTCAACCATTGATTAATGCTTCGAATACTCCACGTTTTTTTTCGTTGGGAGCCGATAAAAATTTAGTGGAATATGATTTAGCAAATAGGTCAGTTAAAAAATAGTATTTTTAATTAATAATCATAAAAAAAAATAAATAATCAATTTGGTAAAAGTGGTCCATATCCAGAGCCAGGTTTGAAAATTTTTAATTCCGTTCAAATTGAATTTAACGCTATTCCACTTTCAATTGCCTGGTACTCTGAAATTAAAGACATGTTAGTTGTTTCAAATTCAGAGGTAATTATTTTTAATTACAAATTAAATATCTATCACGAAAAAAATGCTTTTTTTTCATATTTTTATTTTAAAAAATTGAAAATGATTAAAAAAAACTATTTTAGTATAAATTCAGAATTGTTTCAAGCATGACAAAAAAAATTTATTCAACATTTTTGGGTCCTACTTTTGGAGCGCCTGTGAGAATTATAAAAGTAAATTTTACTATGTGATTTAGAATTTAGAAAAAAGCAGATTTAAATTTTAATTTCTTCTTTTTTGTTTTGGGAATTTAGATTTTATCTGATCAAATAATAAATGAAAAAATGCAATCCTACATTATTTTTGTCACTGAAAAAGAAATTGGTCTACAAAAATTACCATTAGATGGAAATCCTTACAAGCAAATTGCCCTTATTGGTCATCATCAAAAAGTAAAGCAAAATTAATTTCTAATTAATCTCTAAAAAAAGAAAAATAATTTACCTTTCTATTTTTTTTCCCCAATAGATTATAAAAATATGTCTCAGTAATTGTAAAAAATTTTTATTCACACTTGGAAGCAATGATAAATGTGTGCTCATGTGGCGAATTAATTTAGAGTAAAATTAATTAATTTTATGTAAACATTTTTTACATTTTTGAAATTAAAAAAAAAAATGTTTACCTTGTTTCTGTAATGTAGATCAATAGAAGAAATGTCAAAATTAGGTGGCGAAGGTATTGAGCCCTATTATCCTCTTATTAAAGGTGGAAAAAACGGATCGTTTTTCAATGAAATAAAAGATCTTTTCTATTATTCCCAAATTTTACAACAGGGCGAAAATATTTTAAATTCCAGAATAATAACTGATAAAATTTCCATTAAACAAATTCCAAATTTGATACGATCTCTTGGATATTATCCCAGCAATAAAGAGGTTTTCTGAAAAAAAAAATGAATTAATAAATAAAAATTCAATTTTTATAATTATTTAATTCTTTTTCCTACCTTTTAAGTTGCAATTAATGATAGATGAAATTTCACATAAATTTATTGAAGAGATTAATTTCCAAGATTTTGTGAAATTTTATATTAATCATCGACCTACATTTGGAGTTTCCTTGAAGCAATTTAAAGAAGCATTTCAAACTTTTGGAGATTTGAAAAACTTTGAAAATCCCATTCTATCAAAAGATACATTTTTAGATGTTCTTTTTGGAAAAGGCAAATCTAATCAATTATTCCAAAATTACAAATTTTACGGTAAATGAAATTCATAATAAATTTAAAAAAAAAAATCTAATTCTCTTTATTTATAAAAACACAGGTGAACCATTGTCTCTTGATGAAGCATTTAATTATTTAAAAATTCTTCTGCAAAGCAATTTAATTGATTCACAAGGAAAAATTTCAAGAACTAATTTTGATTTTCTACCAGAAGTACATTTCTTATTTTTTTTAAATAATTCATTTTAAAAAAAAACTAATTAAGAAAATTGGGAGAAAAAAAAACAACAAATTCTATTTAGGCTTCATGAGAATAATGTATTATTCTTTTTTTTTTATGGTACAGAGAATATCTTACAAAGATTTTGCCACGGATTTCATGGGAATCGAACTGCCAAAGGAGAGGAGGGCTGACTAAAATTTTGCCTAATTTTTAATTTTCGGCTAAAATTACAATTTATATATATATATATATTTTTTTTTTTGTTTATATATAAAGTATACTTCGTTCACTGCAGTAATAGAAAATGGCATTACATGATTTGAGCAGAAAATGTTCACTTTCTTTCATACATCGTCGTCTTGTTTTATTTTTTAATATTTTTTTTCTACTCTAAAATTTTCTTTGGCGAGACTTGACTTTATAATCGAACTCTACAACTTCGCTGTTCAGTAATGATTATTTTTTTTTTTCAATTAAAAACCTAAATCAATAAAAAAATTTCAAAATATGGCAATAAGAAAAATTTTTTGCGAAAAATAATTCTTTATTTAATATTATAATGGAAATTCAGTGATAACAATAAATAATTTAATATAAAGATCAGAAGGAAAAGTTTTCTTTTTTTTTAAATTTCGAAGGGGTTCAAAATGATTTGAATTTAAAAATGACAAAGTCAAAGTTTATAAAAAGTTAAAAAGATTAAAATATTCTTTTTTGCTTTATATTGTAAACTTCTATTGGCATTAATAACTCATTTTTTTTTAATATGAATATTATTATTATTCATATTTGAACTTTGAAAATGTTTTAAAATATTAATTCGTTTCTAACGAATAATGATCTAATGTGATAAATAATGTTAATTATTACTTATAAGTGAATAATAATTTTAACAATTATTATTTACGAAACTTCAAAAACACTTTTTCATTTTTTTAAAAAAATAAAAAATTGGCAATTTTTTTTTTTAATACAAAATTTCAAACTTTTAACGAATTTTTATAACTGTATTAAACAAATTTTTTATTAAAAAAAGACATTGTTTATCGATTAAATTTTGGAATGTTTTTCTTTTTCCTTTCTATTCAAAAGTTTCATTTTAACTTTGATATAATCTATTCACTATATAAATATATAAACTATTCATTAATTTAAGAACTAATTATAGAACAATGAAATGTCTTGAAATCAAGATTACTATATAACGTTAATAAATGATAAATTTCTCAAAATGGAAATTTAAAACAAGTTTTAGTAAATCTTTTTTTAAATATTAAAAAAAAACTATTTTTTTTAACAAATTCATTTTGAATTTTGTAAAAAAAAATTCATAATAATGAAAAAAAAGAAGTGTTTCTGAATATTAATCAGAAGAGGAAAAAAAAAAATTATTTCGCGGATACTTTGTCTCGCCACATATATAGTATTTATCTTAAATATCTACGAATTAAAGAATTAATCATTTTTTTTTATATAAAGCTTTGTGATTAATACTGCGAAATGAAAAATATACAAATTTTCATCTCGTACTTTTTTTTTATATATGTTACTTGTAAAATTTTGGCTCATTTTTCAAATTAATTATATAGCTTATTAAATTAAAAAATTTGTCATGTATCGAGGAAAATTATTTTTTTTTTATACTGTTAAAAAAAAATGTACGTTTCCCATATTATGCTGAAAATTAATTAGAAACTGATGAAAATTATTTCATTTTTAAATTTAAATTTTTAATTTAGTATACATTTTCAAAACAAGTTTCTTATTATTTTTTTTGTAAATTAACTTTAGGCCACAATTAATTTTCCTCGATACACAGAAAGTAGAAAATAAAAAAAAAATAAAAGAAAAAAAAAGAGAGAGATAGGTACTGAGAAATAGTTGAAATTAAATATATATATAGTGAAAAATCGAAATGTAGGCCAAGACACTGCCAGCAGTGTAACACGGCAGTCTTTTTCTTTTTTCTTTTCTTTTTTTTTTTTTTTTTAAAGAAATCTATTAGAAAAAAATCGAAAGAATCTTTTCAGCCCTCATTCCCTTTCTGATAACATTTTCACAAAATTTCAAATCTCTATCAAGATTCCGGTCAATTATTTTAGTACCTCACATCGCCTAAAATATCTTTACACTTGTCGCCATTAAAAGAAGTACAAACAAATTTACACAAAAAAAATCTTCTTCTTTTTCTTCTTCTTCTTCGTCACTCATTATAAACTCTAGGGAGTATTTACAACTATTTACAAACATCATATTTCAATTTACGAAAAATATCAACATGGAACAAGTTGTGTGTCATTTACCAAGCCGATGAAAGAAAAAAAAAAAAAAAAAAAAAAAAAAATGGAAACCAAATAAACTGCTCGAATAATCAGGCTTATGATTATTTCACAAAAAAAAAAATTTTTTTTTATTTATCTAACCGAAAATCGGTCAATAAATATTTTAATTATAATTTAATAAAGTTAAATTTTGTAATTCATGTTTTTAAATAAATGTAATTTTCAATAAATTAGAAATTTTACTTGAAGTGAATTTGTACTTAACGTTTTTTTTTTTCATAATTTTTCTATTTTATAGCAATTTACAGAATGTGAAAAATGTTTTTCTTATTTACAAATTGTAAATTTTGTAAATTAAAAAAAAAATACAAATATAAAATTTTGTAAATTTATAATTATTAAAAATTATTTACAGTACATCAGCACTGTAATTGTTTTTTTTTTTTCATCTAAATGAAATCGCGTTTAATGAAATTTATATTTATAAATTTGTCACAATAGAAAATAATTTTTTTTAAATACAATTTCTTTTAGAAGATTATCCCTATACAAAAGAAAATAATTTCATTTCACAATTATTATTATTAATAGTTTAATCTATTAAATTTTTCATTTCATAGTAATTCACATTAAATAAAAATTCACATCAATTAATTAAATCTAACCTTCAGAAAATTAAAAAAAAAAATCTCTTTTCATTTTACTATCATTATACTATGAATTTCGTTTAAATATTCGTCAATATTTTATTTCATTTTTTTTAGACAATTTAAATAAAAAATTTAATTCGAGAAACATTTTTCTGAAAACAATAATATTTCCTTGAACAGATACAATTAATCATCAATTTTTTTTTTCTTCACTGAATCAATAATTTACGAAAGAAAAAATTTTCACATAATGTAATATTCGGCGAAACAAAAAAAAAAAGAACAAAAATTTAGTTCGAACTTTTTTTTTCAAATTTTGTTTACGAAGTTAATATTAAATTAATTTAACATTTTTTCTATATTCAAATTTTAAGTTTTCTTTCTGGAAAATTCGTTTTTTTTTTTGGTGAAATATTCATGTGCCTTTTGCCTAGAAGCGCATGAGCTTGGTAATAATGTAGTTATTGTTATTATTATTATTATTATTATTATTATTATTATATTAATAATATTAATATTAATATTAGAAAAATTTAAGTAGTCCCTTAATATTTCACGATTAATATCGTGATGATATGATCACGACTATGTTGTGTTAGTGATCTCATCATAATTGTCAAGAATACCGAGCCTCTTTCTACAATCGGGACAATACCATTTACCTTTTGGTGGTACCATTATTCCAACGCATTCAAAATGAAACCATTCAATACGACAATCACTTCCATCGCAGGCAATCATTTCCGAAACTTCATCATATGGACATTGACAATAGCAATATAAATTTGTTGCACGTTCAGATGTTGGTGGATGTTGTTGTGGTACATGAATTTGTGCTCTTGGCTCATTATCAGATTCAGAATCACTGCTACTTTCATCTGCTGGTTCATCATCTGAATCACTTGCACTGACAATTGGTGTTGCTATTGGTTCTTCAATTTTATAATTATTTGCCGTACGTTTTAATGTTAATGTTGTACTAACAAATGGTGGTGTTACAATTTTTTGCGTTTGTATTTTTGATATTGGACTAAATATCAATGGTTCAACTTTTCTCCATTTTGATTGTATTTGTTTTTCATTTTCTTCATCGCTTGAATCACCATAAAAACGTTTTGGAATACGTTTTCTTTTTGACGATCGTTTATTTTCTGTTTCATTATTGATATTTAATTTTGGCGTTGATTGATTAATATTTGGTGTTGATGATCTTGATTTAACAGTGATAACTGATGGCGATGAATGTGGACCGGGTTTATTTTGATAGAATGATTTGGGAATGTTGAGTTTAATTGATTCGACTATTTTTTTTCCCTTATCGGATTTTTTTCGTTTTTTTGTTTTGACTTTCTTTTTTGTTGGATTTTGCATATCTTGCGATGTTTCGAAAATAGTTCCATTATTTAATGTTTCAGGTGGGATAAATTGATTTTTCTTTTCGGCAAGAATTTTATTTGCCAATTGTGGATGCTCATCATAAAAATCTTCATCAGTCTCAGATTCATTTGTCTCAAGATCGGATTCTCTCATTGTTGGCTGTTGTGGTTCACTGGGTTCAATTATTTCAATTGGACCATTTTCCTCTTGTATTTCTTTTATTTCAATTGATTCGGATTTTGTTTTTTCTTTCTTTTTCTTTTTTGGCGAACTCGTTGATGTTGAACTATCTGAATCGGAAGTTGAACTTGAACTTGAGGAACTTCCCGATGATGATGAACAACTACAATTACTACCGCATGAACAGCTACTTGAATCGGAATCACTTGACGAATCACTCGATGATGATGAATCGTTTTTTTTTCTTTTTTTCGTTGCCTTCAATTTTTTTCTATTTGCCTCTTGTTCATAACCGGTTTTTATTTCCGGTGTTTCATTCTTGGGTAATTCGGGTGTTTTACTACGCGCTTTATGATGTTCCTCGGTTAATGATTTTTCAATAGTACAATAATCGTGATCGGCGAGAATAACTGATTTGAGAAATTCGATATCGGTGTCTGTTCCTTTTGCTGGAATTGAAGAATCTTGAATACCAAGACTCGCTGCATATGTTTTAAAATTGTCCCATATTCCATCCATTATTTGTGCTTCTTCTTTTTTTTCCTCTTCATTTAATTCAACATCAACGATATTATCAATTTGCGTTACTGTTTCTTGTATAATTTCATCATTCTTTGGTTCCAATTTATCATCCAATAAATCAAGATGAAAAATAGGAGATTTCATCTCGATTTTATTTTCCATTTTTTCATCAGACTTTTGTTTCTCATCGTCGCTATCACTGTCGGATGATAAATTTAAAGGTGGTAAATCGTAGACATCAACTTTTTTCACCGGTTCTTTTATTTCGTCTTCTTTTTTCTTTTTTAAATTATCATCACTGGTTTTTTCTGTTTCCTCATTTGGTTTTTCAATTTCTTTTATTTCCTCAATCACTGGTGTTATTTCTTCAATAACAATTGGCTCTTTATGTATTTCCTCGTGTTTTATTAATAATTTTTTTGATATAAATCTCTCGGCACATTCAGTGCATGCATAAGGTAAATCGCCAGAATGTAATCTTTTGTGAACTTTTAATGCGACTGCACGTGAAAAATTTGAATTACATTCTTCGCAAACAAAAGCAGTTGGTGGAATGCAAAAATGATAGACGTGTGGCCATTTTTTTTGTAAACACTTTTTACAAAGAACACTTTCAGTACCGTGTTTCCAAAATAAATGTTTTGTAATATCTGGTTTATTTCTATAAGCAATGCCACAACGATAACAAAGATGATGGAGTTTATGTTTCCAAACGTGATTCGAGAGTTTTTGTTGATTTCCAGTTGATTCTAAACAAACATCGCATGTGTGATGTTTTTTTCTAAGATGAACCATAAGACGAAATGCTGATGGAATATTATTGAGTGGACAGAGGCAGCATCTGTATTTAACATTTTCGTTTGGTGAATAAACACCAGGACATAAATGACATAATAATTCGCTGTAATTGTAAAATGATGATTTACACATTATGCAAATGAGAATTGTCTTTTGGTGCATTTTTCGATTATGAAGATAAATATCCTTATGTAGAAGTGAATAATGTCTACAGTGAAAGCATTCGTATGTTCTTGGATTTGGGATGTTGTATGTACCTTTCTCAGATGTATAGGAATCAAAATTGAAGCACTGCGATTCAAGATCGTTTAGAGATTTTTTTATTTTCACAATTATTTGTTCACAATTGAGAATAATTGCCGGATGCTGTGGTTGAAAACGATGTTCACTTAATAAATGAAGACCAAGTTGTTTACCATTAACTGCAATTTGCCTTGCATGATTGCAATAAACACAAAAAAAGCTCGCAGCTTCAATGCACTTACGAAGTAAATCCTGTGAATTCATATTCTCAGGTATATCCTCAACGTTCATTTCAATAAATGGAATATCCTCACCAGCGAGAATTATTCCATCTTTTTGTTTTTCTTTCTCGGGAATTTCTATTTTTTCATCTTCATTATTTAATTTTGATTCCTGTTCATTATTATCAACAACAGCAAGTTTTTCACTATCATCACTGTCGTCACATTCATTTAAATGAAAATCAGGACTATCTCTACCTCTCTCGGAACTTTTCTCCTCTGACGCTGATGATTCTCGATTATTATTCTCCTCTGACTCGGGATTCTCAACAATTCGTGGAGCAATGGAAAATTGTGAATTTTTATTTGTACAAATCTTTATAACTAAACTTCTATCGGTTTTTGTCACCGTATTAAATGATTGATAATCATTGATTCTCGGTTCTGGAGTTTCCTCCTCGGTTTTTGAATCATTGATTAATTGATTTTGTGGACTGAAAAGAGATCGATTCGAGGGACTACTAACTGGACTATTTGATGCTGAATTAATTTCTAAATTATTTTGTGTTTCGTGATTATTTTCAATATCTAAATTTGGACTCAATCTTACGTCATCTTCATTTTTTGGATTTGATGATTTAATTTCGTCTTCTTTACTTTCGTCACTTATTGGATTTGTTGTATCGTTTAGGATACTTTTTGAAGGATTATCATCATCATCTTCTTCTTCTTCTTCTGCTTCTTCATCCTCCTCATCCTCTACGTCCTCTTCATCTTGTTCGGGAATTAGAGATTTTTCACCAATACCAACACGCGATACTTCCATTATTGTTTCCGTATAACTATCGTATTTTTTCTGAACATTTTCCAATGATACTTCAGAATCAGATGACTTTTCTTTTCCTTTTTCTTCTTTTTCATTGCTGTCCGTCTCTCCAACATACCTATAAAAGAAAAATAAATAAAATAATTACGCAGATTAAATTTTTTTTTTTAGTGATAAAAATTGAAATAAAAAATTACCTTGAAACTTCCATTATCGTCTCGGCTACAGTATCTCTTGTTGAATTCGTTGGCACTTCCGTTTCGCTTAGCGCATCATTTCTAATTTCTCGATTTTGACATTTAATTTTTTTACTCTCATTATCAATTTTTTTATTTTGAAAATGATTAACTAAATTTTCACTCAAATTTGTTAGCCTATTGATTCTTGTGAATTTTTTCCCACCACATTTATTGGATAATTTATTTTTATGAGAAACAATATCCTCCGGACTGCCAGGTGTTAAATTCACTTCACTATCGGAATTTGGCGCTAAACCACATGTTGACATATGATTACCATCAACTTGTCTACAAATTGAACACACATTCTTTGTTATTTGCATTTTTTGCGGTGATGTGCAAAAATGATTATAAAAATTGTCCTTTTCAGTGAATACTTTTTCACAGCTACAACAAATTAAATAACATGATCCTTTAAATATTTGATAAAATTCCTCAACAGATGTAAATGATGTATCGGGGATACTGTGATTTTTCATTAAATGATGAGAAAGTCTTTCGGCATGATCAAATAATCCTAAACAAAATAGACACAAATGTCGTTGATGAATGTCCTTCATATGAAGATATAAATTCCAATTTTCAAAATAAGTACCACACGCCGAGCAAAGATAAACTTTACGTTGTATTTTAAATTTATTTGATAATTGTGATGATGGCAAATCAGATGTACTTGCAATTCCTTGTATTGGAATCATTGTCGTTGAACAAGTGCAAATTTGTTTTTTCCCTAAAAAATTCGTCGATTGTTTCTCTAAATGGCACTTGTAGCAAATTGTTGATTTTTTTGAATTTAAATTATGACTTCGTTGGGAATTTAATGTTGATTCAGAATAATGATGATGATGATGTGAATTATATGAAGGATGATCGTAATTTAATGATGGTTGTAAACCTAAATATTGAGCGTATTCATTTACTTTTCCAGTTTTTTCTTTTTTCTCTTTTATTTTTCTTGAATGATGATGTGTAAATGATTTTTTTAAACTATTTTGATTCTCTTGTGTTTGAGCGAGAATTCGTTTTTTAAAACCTTTGAAAACAATTTTGGTATTTAAATCAGATTTTTTAATTAATGAATCTTGAGGACAAATTGTATGGCACTGATCGTCACGTTCATCAATACCATCCGTGTACGAATTAATATTATTAAAATGTGTTATTGTATCGTCAATTGTTGAATTTCTATATTCCAAATCTTCCAAAACCGACCAATTGTCCATAACTCGACACTCGGTATCTTCATCTTCCATAATATCGGCCACTGCCTTAGCAGCGTCACCTGAAAATTCAATAAAAATTTTAATTTCCCTTTTTTTATGCAAATTTCTATTTTGTTTTCAAATAGAATTTAAAAAAAAAAATATCTATCTTAATCTGAATTTCGATTAAAATCACTAAAATGTAAATAAATGATAAAAATTCGAATTCGTTAATAGTTAAAGTATCCTTGGTAATTTTGTAAAATTACGCAATATAGAATTAGTGATACGTTGTGTAATTTACTTGAATTAAGTTTATTGACAATTTTTAAAGGATTTTGTATAAAAAATTATTTATGAAAATTGAATTGTTAACTTTTTTATATAAAAAATAGTAATTAATTAATGTTAATAATATTTTCAATAATAATCAATTAATTACTTTTACTATTTTAAAGAATTATTAATTCTAATTGGTAAAAAAAAAAAAAAAACGAAATTAATTATCAGATTTGTGTACAGTAAAAAAACACACACACGATCATTATAATGAATTCCTGACTTAACATTTCAAGAGGTCATTTCCATTTTAAGTTTCACATTTGTTCTAATAAGAGATTGAGAAAATTTCCAAACAGATAAATTCTGACAAAGAGAAAAATTTTTACCTCCTCTTAAATAGCAGAGAAATATGTTTATAATCGTCTTTATATAATAAAATTTAAATTCATAAATCTTATAATCTTATAATATATATTATTTCAATTTAAAAATCCAGATACTACCAATTAATATCAATATTAATAATTTATTTACATTTAAATTATCTGCAATATTCAAATAAAATATAAAAATTTGTGTTTTTTATATTTAATTCTAAATTAGATAACAAAAATTATTACAAAATGAAAAATTTAATTATATTTCATTTAAATATAGAATTTAACTATTTTAAACATCGCGGAGATAAATTCTTTTCTGGAATTTCCATCAGAAATTTTAATTTCTTATTTTGTTAACTTGCTTTTTTATAGTGAAATATTTGGAGTAAATGTGATTCTTTAAGTATAATAGGAAACAAGAGATAAATGAAAAAGATAAAAAAAAAACAGTTTCCAAAAGAAATTAGTCTTTTTTTAATGATTCATGGTAAAAATTGATAACTGCGCAAAAAAAAAGCATAGCAGACAATTCATCAATAATCACATGCTTTGTATGTCCAGGTCGTGTTCTTTTAAAATAATCTCAATAATTTAGTAAAATTTCCAAATAAAATGTAACAATTATTCGTGTAAAGGAGAAAAAAAAACTCACGATACGGCATGACGTTATTTTCAGCTAAGATAGTTTTAAAAAAATAACTTGAACGTGGAAATTATGCTGAGCCCGGATGACTCCGGGATATGTTTTACAGGTACAGTCTCTCTTGTATATAAAAACGTGGGTTACCGTACCTTTGAACGAAATTTGAATTTCGTTTTCACGTGATCAATTTCAAAGATTGAAACTTGAATTGAGAGATGCTGGGAAAACTTCCACTCTCGATGATAAACTACTGCAAACTGATATACGACTGCCTCGTCGCGATCCGCGCCGAAAAGGTTAATAAAATGGCGTCATATGAAGAGTTGCGGCTCGGTCGCTGATGTCTGCTTGTTCCCCGAGAGTGATGATGCCACCCTTTGTCATGGTTATATAGTAGAGCCGCGTAATAGGTTAAGGCCGATATCGCGCCTCAAGCAATATTCTTGCAAACAATTTATTCCAAAAATCATGAATAATTTAAAAAAAATAATAATAAAGAAATGCAGTGTTAAATAACATTCGCAAATACACTTGATCATCCACAGAATTAGAAGATGTAAAAACTTGAAATACGAATAATACATGTAATATATATAGTGATCGTCAATTTCCAACACCAATTTAAGTTTTCAAAAGTGTCATTTTTTCTTTTGATATTTGATTTTGCTTATTAGAAAAGCAAATTTAACTGGTGTTTTATTTAAAATTGAATAATTTCAAATGGAAATAATTGATTTTTCTTCAAAAAATCGCACGAAAACTGCAAAAATTTGTTAAGGCGTTGCATCAGCTAAATATTGCCTTAAGGCACCGTTCACTCGTTATTATTGAGAAAAATGCACAAGAACAAATTTTGATTGGTGGACAATGTTTTAAAAGTTCGAGATGTGACATTAATTTTATTTGAATAATTGTCATAATTTTTTTTTTTTATTTTCATCTCTTGTTTATTAAAATAAATTCAATTTATGTTACAAAATTAATAAATATTTTTTTAAAAATCTTTCTTTTTAAATTTATATTGTTTTTTTAAAAAAGAATTTTCCCTATATATATAACCAATCAGAATGTTGGACAAAAATATTTGAGTATGCGCAATGAAGCTTAATGTAATCCCGCGCTTTTCTACGACACAAACATAAATCTAACCAAACAAGAAATCTAATCAAAAATTTAGTTAATGAAAAGTTTAATAATATTGCAATATATTCAAATAAAATGGATAATGTGGAAAATATGGAAAATTTCTGGCCTGAGGAATTTGTTGAATTAAAAGTAAGTTATTCTTTATTTTCAAAAAAAATGGTGTAATTTTAAGGTTAAGAGATAAATAATATATATAAAATTTAATTTATTTGTAAAGAAAATGTATTACTTTGATGGTATTTTTTTTATGGTATTAGTATTCACATATTTTGTCGAAGAAAAATATTTAGTTATTTGATAGAAGTTATTTTGTTTACTATTTACATTATTATAACAATGCATTGTAATTATTTCTTCCCTAGGTATTTAGGATACTGAAATTTAATTTAAACGACTTTTTTATTGTCTTAAAATTTATTACAACCTTAAAGTAAAGTTTTTAGATTAGAATTTCTAATTCTAAATATTATTTTTAGAGTATTGAGGAATCGTTAACATGTGGAATATGCTACGAATATATACAAATAGCGGTGATGACGCCTTGCTCTCACAATTGTAAGAAAAGTTTTATAATTTTTGAAAAATTAATTTTTCTATTTTTCATTTTAAGGGAATAAAAATAGTAATTTGTGAAAAAAAAAATTTACAGACTGCAGTCTATGCATAAGAAGATATCTCAATTTTAAAAATGAATGTCCCACATGTTTCAATCAAGTACATGACACTGATCTTCGTGTGAATAGAAATTTGGATAATATTAAACAAAGTTTTCTTAAAGTTCGAGATAATTTGAAATTATGTATGAAGGGACTTCCAATAAGACCAGCATTTGAACGTCGTGTTGTGGGTGGAGAAAATTTATCACCAGTTAAATCGCGTGTCAATCAAATAATGTCAACACCACGTTCAGGTTGCAAAAGTCCAAATAGTATTCGAAATAATGAAGAGGCAACAACGCCTATTAGATCGATAAGATTAAATCATGTTTCAAGTCCACAAACACCATCAAAAATGGATACAACAAATGGTGAAAATATTGAAAAACATTTATTCAGTCCTGGGACAAGTGGAATTGCGCCAATTTTCAATAATCCCGTAAGATTTAAAATTCACGGCAAAAAAGAAGATGTTGGACCAACGGTTCCTTGTCCAGTTTGTAGTGTTAATGTTTCTGAAACTCATATTAATAGACATTTGGACGATTGTTTAAAACGACAGAATAATACTTCCGGTCCTATATCGTGAGTATTTTTTTTTTTTTCTATTGTAATTTTCTTCGTTATAATGAAAAAAAATTTCTTTTTTTTTTTCAACAGACTCGAATCGAAATTAAAACCAATTCCAAAGCTTGTTCTCAATCTTATGAAAGATTCTGAATTACGTAGAAGATTGAAAGAATTTGGAATTTCCACCGCTGGCGATTCAAAAGCACTTAAATTACGACTCAATAGATTTTACATTCTTTACAATGCAGAGCGTGACAAAACTGTACAACGACCTATTGTGGAAATTGTTAAACAATGCGAAGAAGAGGAACAACTTGAAAAGAAAGCAGTATTTTCCGCTACAGGAAATGTATGTGAAATTTTTTTTTAAAAAACAATGTCTAATTTTAAAATTTTAATTTCTTTTATTTTCCATAGGTATTGACATTTAGTAAACCAATAGTCGTTAAACCAGTCAAAGGTCATAATGAAAGTTACTGTAAGTATTTCAAAAAAAATTTTTAATTTTAAAATATTAAAATATTAAAATGTTCTTAAAGGTGAAGCAAACAAAAGTAGTTTCGATAAATTAATCGAACAAGTGAGAAAACGAAATCCAAAGAAGAAAAAGACGACGACAACAACAGAAGAGGAAAAAAATGAATTGTCATCACTCTATGAAGATCTTGTTGCTGAAACAGTTGCAAATGTATCGAATGATTCTGATTCAGGAACATCTGGACATCGTTATTCGAATGATGGACAAATTTCTGAAACTGTGGAAAATAATAGAATTATTGATTTAACAAATGTTGATGAAAATCGTGAAGAAAATATTGAAATGCAATTTTCTTCCCTATTGGAAGATTCATCATGTGATTCAGAAGATAATGTTTTAAATCCACTTGTAAATAAAAGATTAGCTACAAATAATGTCGATGGAGAATTAAATAATGATAGTAATTTTATTAATTCAGAAAAAAATGAAACAAAGAAGACATCGGGATGGAATTTCAAAAAGCCGAGAATAACAAAAAATTTAAATGATAATAATATTCAAGAACTAGATAAACTTTTAGAAAGTATTCACGATGACGAGGAATTAAAAGATATTTCCTTGAATACGACCAATGAGAGTGTTGACTCTAATCCAAGCAAGGGTACGTGATTTGTTTCTCAATTATTTCTCCATGCGTCAATTTTAATAATGTGATTTTATAGTTTTAAATTGTAAATATTTACCTATTTGACAAAAAAATTTTTTTTTTTTGCCATGAAATTTAATTTTTTAATTTGTTTTGAAGATTTATTTTATTTATTTATTTTTTAAAATTTTAAGTTAAAATAAGAGTTGACTTAATTGTAAAATCGAATTGTTTTCTAAAATAAGACTTTCGAGAATAAAAAAAAATGACTGATTAAATAAATTGTTAAATTCCTTTTTGGAATATATTTTTTTTTTTTTTGCGAATGAATAGAAAAGAATAATTTTTTACAGATAACGAAGAGAATATAAATTCAGAAATAAATGGAAACGAAAAGGAATTAAATTTGTCAATAAATGCAAATGAAGGTGAATTTAAAACGGAAATAAATGATAGTGATGAATTTGAATCGGAAATTGAAAAAAGTATTAATGAAAATAAATTAGAAGAAAAAATAGACGATAAAGAAAATGCTATAGAAGAAAATTTATTTCAACGTCCAATAAGAAAACGTGGTCGTACACATAAATATTCAAATGAAGAAAAAACACCGACAAAATTAAATAATGGTCATTTACAAAATGCTTTACGTGAATCAACAACATTTGAAGTTGCATTCGATGGTTCATTAGATGAAATTGAATCATCGCCAGAACAAATTTTAAAACGAAGAAAAAGAAAAATGCAAAATAACACTGAATCGGAATCAGAACCAGAAACACCAACAAGAGTATTACGTAGTCGACAAATTCATACACCGTAAAAATAATTTTAAAATTCTCCCCTATATTTATTTATTTATCATATAAATGAAATTTATTTTCATAATAATGAAGAAAAAAAATGTCACAAAATGAATTGACTTTAAAAAAATTAATATTCTTGCATGTATATTTTTTGACAAAATTTATTTTCTACAAAAAAAAAAAAAGAATGTTGAAAAGAAAATAGTAAAACAATTTTTAGATTTTTTTTTATCGTATTGTAGAATTTTTTTTTGTATTGCACGAATTGGAAAACAATTTAAAAAACTGTTAATTTCTATGAAATATCAATTGAGTTTTCCTTTTTTTCAAATAATAGTCCAGATTTGTATAAATGAGATTGTCAATATTTTTCTGTATATATAAATATCAAAATGACTTCTATATTTACCATCGAGTTTTTCGTATTTGGTAAAAAAAAAAATAATAATAATAAATCTAATCAAATTCTGTTTAATTATTTAATTACATTTTTAAAAATAAAAGATTGAAAAAAAAATCAGTGTACATTATTAAATTATAATTTGAGACTTGTTAAAAAGTTTTAAATTACTAAAAAATATACTGAAATTATTTTTTAAAAATCGACCATTAAATGGTATTAAATTCACACTATGTGAAAAAAATTTCTTTTCCTTAAAATACTAATATAAATAATAAAATTAATTAATAAATTTAAAATATAAAAACAATTTTTTCTAAGTAAAATATTTCCAAAAAATAAAATTTGCCTACTTTTATAAAAAAAAAAAATAGGTCAAATTTTCAACACTATAGTCGGATTAATTTTTAAAAATTGTATTCTTTGAGATCGCCCCACGCTGGTCCGACTTTTAATTTTACTGGTAATGGCACTTCAAGATTATAAGCATTTTCCATTGATTCTTTTACTAATTTAGCAACATGATGTAAATCATTTGCATTCACCTGTGAAATTATTAAAAATTTGTAAACTTTTATAAATATTAAAAAAAAAAAAAATAATTGTTTCTCACCTCAAATAATAATTCATCGTGTAATTGTAAAACAAGATAAGCGCCACTAAATTCACAATTTGATCCCGAACTACGTAATTTTCTTTTTATTCGTGTTGAAGGAAAAATCACAGGACTTGTGAAAAATTCTTCCTGCAATTTTCTATCAATTAGAACCATTGCTTTTTTGGCAATATCCGACGCTGTTCCTTGAATTTTTGTATTTATTGCCTGTCGTTCTGCTTGTGCTACAAAAAAAAAAAAGAAAAAATTTGCAAATCCTATAAAAGAACTTTAGAAAATGGAAAATATAAAAAAAAAATTTACATTTCTCAGAACGATTATCGCTCCATATGCCTGGAATTAATCGACAACGTTTTGTTATTGTTGTTATATAACCATCGATACGCGCTCTTTCAATAACATTTGATAGCCATAAACGTATTCCTTTAAAAGTCCTCATAAATGTTTCCAAAAATTCTTTAGCCTCATCTTCAGTTACCGATAAACTTTCGGCAAGTGATTTTGTTCCCATTCCATAAATCATTCCATAGCAAAGTTGTTTCGTTCTCTGTCGAATTTTATCGTCTACCTAAAAAATTTTAATTAAATTAACAAATTTAAAATTAAAAATATAAAAAAAAATTTTACTCAACCATATCCTCATTGATTTTATTCCATTTTGCCGAAATACTTTTGAAAATATCACTTCCCTCTTGTCTCATAATTGAACGAAGTAATAAATCATTTGCAAAATGAGCCAATACACGAAGTTCCAATTGGCAATAATCAGCGGAAAGTATAATATTTCCAACAGTTGGAATAAATGCCATTCGAATACTTATTACAAATGTATTATCCTCGGAATTAAAATCTTTGGGAATATTTTGTAAATTTGGCTCTTGCATTGAAATTCTACCCGTTAATGTATGAGTTATATGTGAGCCGTGTATTCGTGAATTTTTCGCATCATTCAAAAGTGGTATTACCACCTGAAACAAAAAAAGAAAAAAAATTATGATACAAAAAAAAAAATTTCAATTAGAAAAAATTTACCAATGATTGAAGAGTGCTTAATTTTCTCCACGATATAATTAATTTTGCAATTGGATGATCGGATTGTTCCAAAACAGTTTTACTTGTCGAGGTTCGTTTTCCTTTTTGTAATCCTAAAATCTAAAATATTTTCATTAATATAAATTTAAGTGAAAAAGAAAAAGAAATTGTTTTTTTTTTATTTTACAAACCTGAGCAACATTTGAGGATGACATGAAATTGAATTTTTTACCAGCTAAGTAAAAAGCTTTTTTTTCCAAAAGTGATATTTCACGTTTAATTACATCCGATAATTCTTTTAAAGCCGGTAAATTTATTCCCAAACCTCTCAGTTCCATTCTACTTAAAACTGACAAAACATCCATTTCAACATCTGAAAATTGTTTATAAATCAATTTATTATAATATAAAAAAAATTGCCAAATAAAAAAAAAACAGTACCTTTAAACGTTGTTAATAATGTCATACTCTTTTCATGAAGTTGTTTTAAAAGTACTTCCGTTATATGCCAAATAAGTACAGCTTCTTTTGTTGATTCATTTTCCATAAATTCACTATTATTTTCAAATTGATTACGATTTTCATAATAATCATGAGCAATTGGATAATATTTTGCAACCTAAAACAATTATAAAGAAAAAAAAAAGAAGATACTAAATCTATATTAATAAAATCAGACTTTTGTTTGTACATTGCTCCAAATTAATTTTTTCTTGCATAGTTTATCATTTTAAGTAGTAAAGATAACAAATATGCCATAAATAAAAATTCTGTCTGTCTGTCTGTCTGTCGTCAATATTTTGTACCGGCACAACTTTAAAACGGCTCAACCGATTGAGGTGAAACTTGGCAGTGTATTCAGTCTTAACGTAACTTAAAATCTTAGCCATATTTAATTAAAAAATATTAACATGAACGAAAGTTATGACATTTTTTCAAAAAATTTAAAAAAATCAAAAAAATGCAAATTTTTTATTTTTTGTCAGATTGATTTGAAACTATTTGTACCTAATTTTTTCACATAAATGCAATCAATTTTTTTATTAAATTAAGTAAATAGTCTGAATTTAAAAGTCTAAATCAAATTTTTGAATTTCCAATTTTTTTAATAACATTGTAATATAAGAATTCGTTATGTTCAACTTTTTATAAGTAAAACAATAATGTTTTTAGTCTGTTGGGTATTAAACGCAATCTTAGCTGCACACCAATGAAAAATATTAATTTAAACAAAAATATGACACTTTCAAAAAATTTAAAAAATTTAACATTTTTTATTTTTTGATAATTCTTTACTAAACGTTCTTTATTTAAAATTTTGTGACCAATTAAGTATGCTTTTAACAAGAAATTTTAAGAATTTTATCAGAATTTTAAAATTAATAATTGCAAATCTGAATATGAAATCAGATATTGTAAAAATAAAAAATCGAAAATTACTTTTTTACTCTTTGAAATTAACAATTATTATATTTAAATTATTATTATTATTATTATTATTATTATTATTATTATTATTATATATATATATATATATATATATATAATAAAACTAAATAAACTAAATAAACTTAAATATAATATAATAAATATAATAAAATTAAATTATTTTCATAATTACATCCAACTATACGTGTTCTCCTGTATTAAAATATCTTTTATAAATTTTTAATTATTATTTATTCAATTCAATTTAATTTTTTCACTGCTTTTAATAAAATTAAAATAATTTAAAATTGTATTTAATTTTATTGTTTTTCTAATTCTAAATTATTTTAATCAATACAATTTAAATTAAAATTTTAAAAAACTTTAAAAATTATTTGAAGAATAAATTTTTAATAGAAATTTTTCTATTAAAAATTTATTCTTCAAATAATTTTTAAAGTTTTTTAAAATTTTAATTTAAATTATATTGATTAAAATAATTTTTATTTTCAATACTATAAAATTAAATACAATTTTAAATTATTTTAATTTTATTAAAAACAGTGAAAAAATTAAATTGAATTGAATAAATAATAATTAAAAATTTATAAAAAGATATTTTAATACAGAAGAACACGTATAGTTGGATGTAATTATAAATTTCAAAATTTATTAAATCTAAATATTATAACCGTCGAAGACGGGTGCGACAGCTAGTTATTAAATAAAACTAAATGTTTACTTACCAAATAATTTATATTTTTATTTTTGCCCTCGGAATTAAGTACCCAATCGGCAACACTTGGATCAATAAATTTACATAAAGAAATTATTCCACAGCAATGATAAATTAATTTATAAATTTTTCTTGCTAAAAAACATCGAATATTCATTGAAGAATTCGTTAAAAGTTCAGTTAAAAAATTCACACGTTCCTTCAGTGATAATTTTATTTCTGAAAAAGAAAAATTTTTTTTTTAATTTTAAATCAATAAGAAAAGAATTTTTAAAATTCAATAATTTTTTTTTTTTTTAACAAACCTGGTTCATTATTAAGTGGAATATAATAAAGTGCTTGAAATCCCCATGAAATAGTTATTCCACAAAGTTTTTTATCCTTGTAGACAAATTTTTCATTTTTTGACTTTCTACCCTCATCATTATTTTCAACACCGATAATTCTTGCACCAATGATAATTTTATCTTCAACTATTGTTTCTAAATCAAGTGCAAATGCAATGTCAATTCGTTTTGTTAATTTTTGTTTTAAAATTGTTAATGTTTTTTTGCTAGAAATAATATTAGCCGGTTTCCATTTATTACGATCATTCAATGATGTTGTAATTTTCTTTTTTTCTATTGAAATCTCTATTGAACTATCATCATCTGAAAATATAAGACTATCATCAAAACTTGAATTACTTGCCAAATTTGATCTAATGAATTTTTCACTATTTTTCATTTCTATTTTACTTGGACCTGGTTTTGCAAAATCTGTCATTGCCAAATTTTTTGGTTCAATTTTCTCGATATTTTTATTAATAACAGTTTTTCGACGGGATAATTTAATTTTTTTTGGTAATGCAAACATATCGTCCGAATCTGAATCAGTTGATACAACGGATGTTCTTCGTTTTTCAAAAGTTTCAATACTCGCAATTGGTGAACCTTGATCAGTTACAGAAAATTTTCTTTTTCCAATTATTGTTTTTGTAACTTTTTTCACATCTTTTGATAATGTTTTCTTTTTTGTTATCGTTTCATTTGTTTTCAAATTATTTTTCTTTTCTTTATTAGAATCTTTTTTATTTAAATTAACACTATCCCAAGAATCTTGATCCCAATAGGATAAATTATCGGGTTTTATTTTTGATTCTTGTGATGTTTTTGTTGGAACTTTGACTCTTGTTATTTCCAAATTATTCATATTTATATTTGATTTAATTCTCGGTAAATTTGAATTTTCATTATTAGATTTTTTTGTTGTTTCTTTTAATTTTTGATTTTCTTTAATTTGTTGTTCTTTGTTTTTATCTTTGTTTTTAATTTGAATTTGTTTTCTCGTTTTAGATGTCGATTGTTTGCTTAATTCAAAATCGGAGAAATTAATTCCTGATAAAAGTTCTTTAGTTGTTCTCAATGATGATTCATGATGGGATTTTGCTAAATTGCTTATTGTTAAATCACTCGCTTCTGAATTTAAAATTACTGTACTATTTATTTTCTCTGTAATTTCAAAATCAGAAACATTTATACCTGAAAGAACATTTTTCTTAGGTTCAATTTCTTTATTTTCGTGTGAATTTTCTGTAATTTCAAAATCGACAACATTTATTCCTGAAAGAACATTTTTATCAGATTCATTTACAATTTTACTTTCGTTTGGATTTGTATTATTCGTAATTTCAAAATCAGCAACATTTATTCCTGAAAGAATATTTTTATTTTCAATTTCATTACTTTTTTGTGTATTTATTTTATCTGAAATTTCAAAATCGGCAACATTTATTCCTGAAAGAATATTTTTATTATTTTCAATTTCTTTAATTTCATGTAAATTTGTTGAAGTTTCTTTAATTTTGTTCGATTCATTTTGTGTTACTTCGAATTCAGAGAGACGAACTCCAGAAATTTCTGGAATATTATTATTATTATATTTTAAAATTAGCGGATTTGAATTTTCTTTCTCTGCTAATTCAAAATCAGAAGTCTCATGAATATTTCTCTCGTTTAGATTAATTTGATTTTCTCCTAAAATTGTATTAAATGCAGTTTCACCAAAGAATGTTAATTCCAAATCAATATTTTCATTTAATTCTTCGGCTTGTGGTATTTGTTTCGATAAATCGTTTGTTTTTGGAATTTTTGATGTTTCTTGATCAATTGAATTTAATTGTGAGCAGGTACTTGATCGTTTTCTTGAAATATTTGTTGCTTCAAAATCAGATAAACGTAATGAACCCAAAACATTTTGTTCCAAGGCACTGCAATCATTGACTGAATATTCACTGTCAAATAAATTTTGACTTTCAAATGATTCATTACTTTTCTTTTCTTCCTCTAATAAAACATTATTGACGAGGGCCTCCTCTAATGCATTTTCTACTTCTTTATCAATATTTTCATAAACACTTTTTTGCGATATTGGTAAATCACTCTCCGAGAGAACAAGTGGCTCGAGAATTGAGAGACTTTCTTCATTTTCTTGAGATTTTTGAGAAATTTTCGTTTTTTCAATGCTTAATTCCTGTTTATTTCTCGTATCTTTTTTGGATTTATTAATATTTTTAATTGAAGAATTTTGAGTTATTACAGTTTGACTGTCTTTGGCTTTATTTGAAAGTTCTGCATTTTCTTCAATTCTATTCGAATTCACTTCTTTTTCCTCCCATTGTACATCACGAACTCCCAATTCATTCTGAAAATAGAAATTCAATTTAAAATTAAAATTAAAAAAAAAAAGAATTTAAGAAAATAAAGTTTACAAACTTGAAGAAGAGTTCGAGCCTCTTGAATTAAGAGTGCGGCCGCTTCACGAGTTGTGAGACCATCTTTACCGGTTATAAAAGTTGTTCTCACTTTATTTTGCCTCGCAAGTTCAAATTGACCTTCTCCGTTCTGTTCCTTTTCACTATAATGAATATTTTTTTACATTGTTAAAAATTTATTTATATTTTAAATATATTGTTTTTTTTAAATACCTTTCAAATGGAAGTGCCTTATGTAAAGCTCGTTCGACTTCGAGTTCATTTGCAACGGCTAATTCGACAATTGTAGTTATGCCTTCTTTATAAAGACTTCTTGCTCGCAGGCCATTTAAACTTGGAATTCGTAATAAATCCATCAAATCCCTACTGACTCCAAATTGTAAACGAGTTTGAAATTGAGCAACGAGCAATTCCATACAATTCCAATTTAATTGTTTACAGAAACTTGTAATCATTCCTTTAAAAAAAAAAATACCTATTTTTGCCGAAATGGGAAAGAAATAAAAATAGAATTTACCTGCATAAGTTGAAGACGATTGTTGCAAACTTTGAAGTAATCCACGACCACAACCGAATTTTTTACAAACTTTATACAAAGGAATTTCTCTCACAAGTTCGTAAAGCGCAAGTGCAGTGTAAAATCTCTTGTGAATATTCAGCTATAAAAAAAAACAATTTAAAAAAATGTAAAATAAAAGAAAATTTATTAGTAAAATTTATTTACACTTTTGCCTGGAGCGATGCCACCTCTCACTGCAGTTAATAAAAATCTTTCCTCAACGCCAACGAGTTTTGCGACTCTTTTTTCCGGTTCAGCCAATGTTGACCACATTTCTAAATAATTCATCCAATCAATTTGACCAATTTGCGATCCTGCATTATAAGGTGTAACCAAATAAACAACATGAAGTTCCGTATCCAATGCAATACATTTTCGAGCTTTTAATAATTCCTCAAAGAGAAATAAACCCTCTTTCGGTGGAACTGAAGCCGATAAACACGCTTTTCCCAAAGGAGTTGCGCTCCATCTTTTTAAATGTTCCTCTTTGCTCTCTTGTAACCTGAAAATATAAAACTACAATATTAAAAAAAAATAAAGAAAGAAAAAAATTACTTCTAACTAAAATTAGAAAACATCTTACATTAAAAATTCATTAATCACTAAAAATTGAACTGCCTCTTTTACTGCATTTGATATTGAACCCTCGCCTTCCTCTTGTAAATTAATGAATGTACATTTTATATAACAATCAAGATCCTCGGGAGTTCGTACAATATCACTGGCAATTGCTTCGAGAAGAGAACGCATTAATGGTCCAGAATCTTCTAAACAAGATTCTATTGGCTTTAAAGAGGCTGTTAATAAATTTACAGCAATTGCTTTCTCATTTGATTTACAAATAAGAATACTTTCCCCTGTAAATAATATTTTTAAATTTCAAATTAGATTTAAAAAGAAAAAAAAATTTCTTTTCAATTTACCAGCAGTATCTTTTCCCATGCGACCAGCGCGTCCAATCATCTGCTGATAGGAAAGTGTATCCAATGGTTTATTATGAAAACAAGGCGAACGAATTATAACTCTTCTCGCTGGTAAATTAACACCTGTACTTAAAGTCGAAGTTGCCACAAGTACTTTTAAAGAGCCAGTTCTGAAAAAGATTTTTTTTTTTTTTACAAAAATTATAATTAGAATTTACAAAAAAAGATGAATTTATTTAGAAAAGTGGAAAATAATAAAAAATTTCTACCTAAAACTTCCTTCAATAATATCACGTTCGTCTATTGTTAATCCAGCATGATGAAAAGCAATTCCAAATGAAACTGTATTTTTTAAAACACTATCCAAACCAGTTGGCGTTCTTTTAAGTTGTTCAAGAGTTTCAAATATTGCCGATGCATCTAAACTTTTTTGTAAAACTTGCCCCAATTGTGAATCAGAACGACCTAAATTTAGAAATTCATTCAATGATTCCAAATTAAGTTTATATAAAATTAAAAAAAAAACACAAACCTATGCTTAAAAATGCTGACGCCATTTGTAGAGCTAATTTTTCACACCAATTTTTTGTGGGACAAAATATTAATATTCCATGACCACCTTCGATAGTTTCAATGCAAAGTTGTATAATATTTTCAACATCGTTTATTATTTCCGGAATTATGGGTAATTCTCTAATTAATTCTAATTGACGATTATAAATTATTGAATCGATCTGAAAATTTGTATTTTTTAAAAATTAAAATTATTTTAAATTATAAAATTTAAATTATTTTATTTGTTTAATTACCTTGCATTGTTCATCAAGTGGAATTGGTCGAAAATCAGTTTTATATAATTCAGCATCCAACCAATCGGCTAACATTGATAAATTCGGTAGTGTCGCCGACATTCCAATTAATTGTATTTTTATATCTTCATATCTATTAAATAATTTAACGAATAAATTTAATATTTAATTTTTTTTTTTTTTTTTTAATAATAATTTTTAATTACTTGAGTGTTATGTATCGAAGTTTTGTGAGTAAAAGCTCTAAAATATATCCACGATTTGAATCGCCTAGAAGATGAAGTTCATCAATAACAACTGCTCCAATTGACATTAAATCTTCCTCTTCTAATAAACGATTTATTAATGTATTTGCTTTTTCAATTGTTGCTATTGCAATATTTACTGATTGAAAACCACCAGCGGGAACTACACTTCCCATGAATCCCTCAACTCTTATTCCACTATCAGAAAGTAAATCCTAAATAAAAAATACATTAATATTCAATATTCAATTAATAGAAATTTAAAAAAAAAAAAAAAAAACGAATTTTATTTAAAAACTATACTAACTTGAAAATAGAACATTTTCTCACGAACTACTGAAACAAAAGGTAAAATAAAAATTGCCTTCTTTTTTCGTTCCAAAACTGTTTTTATAAGTAAAATTTCAGCGACTAAAGTTTTTCCAGCTGATGTTGGCGCTGAATAAACGAGATTTCTATTTTCTCTAATTATTCTTTCATTTGATAAACATTCAACTTGCCAGGGAAACATTGATTTAATTCCTCTCGATTCGTATTTCTGAAAAAAAATTTCAATTCTTTTTAAAATTAACATTTTTTTTTCGCTGTGTCTATTTAGCCCGCTTACGGGAGGAATAGTGGAGATAGATTATTTACCCCGCTAGCGGGAGGAATAGTTGTGATAGATTATTTAGCCCGCTAGCGGGAGAAATGCAAGATTTTGGCTATTTAGCCCGCTTATTTTTAAAAAATCATCAAAATGAGAACTATTTAGTTTGCAGTAAGTAGGATTTAAAATATTTTTTATTTATTTATTCTAGAATAATAAAATATATTTTATTATATAAAATGTATATTAAGTGCAATTAAAAATAAGGCAATCGTTTATTTAAATATATTAATGTGATTTAATACAAAGTTTATTTGCTCCAAAATGAATTGTTTTGGTAGGGTTGTTTATTTAAAAAATATTATATTATTATTTAATTTAATTAATTATTTAATTAAAGTTGTGGTAAAGAAACAATTTTTTGTTTAAACCAAATTTATTGTAAGAAAACTGTTTAACTACAGGTATATTTATTTTTTAATAAATTATTAGAGAATAGTTTATGGAGGGTTGAAAATAAATAAATTTCTTTGATGGGAATTAGAATCCTTAACTTTTATTTTTTTCGTTGAATCAACGTTGGTAACTTCAGTTTTATCCTTTTATCCTTCATTTTCATCAAATAAAAAAATACGTATTTCCTTATTTTTCATATAGATTACGAAAAAAATTATTCGGACAAAAAAAATTTTGAATGAAAATTTCCCGTGGAATGCCCCATACGTATTTATAAAATATAAGAATTTTAATTGTATTTCAAAAATTAATTTTTATTTGGAAATTTAAATTTTCAATAGAAAATAATTCCATAAACTATTTTCTAATAATTTATTAGAAAATAAATGTACCTGTAGTTAAATAGTTTTCTTACAATAAATTTGGTTTAAACAAAAAATTGTTTTTTTTACCACAACTTTAATTAAATAATTAAGTAAATTAAACAACCATACCAAAACAATTTATTTTGGAGCAAATAAACTTTGTATTAAATCACATTAATATATTTAAATAAACGATTGCCTTATTTTTAATTGCACTTAATATACATTTTATATAATAAAATATATTTTATTATTCTTGAATAAATAAATAAGAAAAATAAAAAATATTTTAAATACTTACTGCAAACTAAATAGTTCTTATTTTGGTGATTTTTTAAAATAAGCGGGCTAAATATCCAAAATCTTGCATTTCTCCCGCTAGCGGGCTAAATAATCTATCGTCACTATTCCTCCCGCTGGCGGGCTAAATAGACACAGCGTTTTTTTTTTTTTTTTTTTTTTTAAGATTATAGGAAAAAAAAATTGTAAAACTTTGTAATAAATACAAAATAGAGAAATAAATCTAATTAAATCTATTATTCAAAATAAAAAAAAAAAATATTTATACCTTAAGAATTGAGCGAGGTAAACCCCAATTAGCAAGTTTTAATTGATCTAAAGACCCCTGTGAGTCAATTATTGTACAATTTGTAGCTTCTTGTGTTGAAACAACAAATATATTTGTATTTAAAGCATTATTACTATTAAAACTTTCATTTCCAATAGGTGAATCCAATTCATTTTCATTCTCCAAAATATTTAATTCTTCAAGATTTAATTTTACAACTTCATTTGATTTAATTTTTTTCCTTCTTGTTGATCTTTTAAAAAGAAGAGATTCTTCTTTTGTATTTGATTTAGAAATTTTAATATTCTCTTTATCAAAATGAGAATCATAATTTATTTTAGAAGTCGATGGTTTTGAATATTCAGAATTTTTATTAGAATTCTGCATTTTTTGATTTTTGCAAATATATTTGTTTAATAATAATAATAATAGTAATAGTAATTTGATATTTGAATTAAAATTTTCAATTGTAAATGACTCGTGTAATTATTGCACATTTTTGAAAGAAAAAAAAATTATGGTAAAAAACTACTTCACTACATATGTAAACAATTATTAATAGACTCTAATTCTTAAATATGTTACATTTTTTTTTAAAATATTTTTATGAGTATAATTAATAAAAATAATTAAAAGACTCAAGAGAGCCATTGTATTGTTTACAACTGACAACTGTTTATAACCACATGTCCTGTTTAACGGTCTTTAAGCTCTATACACAATGGCTTTTCCGAGTTGCAGACAAACGATTCGGTCACGTGACCATTATGTGGCGCGATAATTCGATTAAATAAAAATTAGAATGTAAATTATAAGTTATTGAAATTCGATTAAGTAAAATTTATTTTAAATAATAATTTGATGCTATGAAGATTAATTGAAATGCAAATTCGACGAAATTTTATTTACTTTAATTTACAATTAGTGATTTTAATATTTAGGTTAAGGTGCTTATATACCTCAAATTTCGATCAGATGAACATTATTTCTGGACCGTGAAAATGCGTGAAAAGTCATTTTCACGGCGGGTATTTTTGAATTGTTTTAAACAAAAAATGTTTTTTTTAAGAAATATAATATTAAATAATTGTTTTAATATGTAAGAACACTTTAAAATAGTGATAAAAAGATGATTTGATTGAAAAATTTAGCAAATTTTGCTTTAAAACGTTTCTGCTACAAGAAAGTGTAAAATGACGATGTTTGTGAAATGGTTTGTACAGTGTACATGTGTACATGTTTCTTAAAAAAACATTTTTTGTATAAAACAATTCAAAAATACCCGCCGTGAAAATGACTTTTCACGCATTTTCACGGTCCAGAAATAATGTTCATCTGATCGAAATTTGAGGTATATAAGCACCTTTAGAATTAAATTCGAAAATAAAGAAATTATGATAAATAATAATTAGAACACATCTTATTTATAATGAATAAGAAATATGGTAAATGACATTTAGGTTATCTTATAATAATTTAACCAATTAAATGATTGGATTTTTTGAACACCTTCTCTGATTGGTCAATTCTATTTTCCCACTGTTTTACCCCCAGCATTGGACTGCACCCTTATTCAAATTTTTTTTTCCCGATATTTAAAAATTCGATAATAAAACATAATTCGAATTCTTTTTACTATTTGATAAATTCGAAATTCGAACAAATGGGTTTATTTAGAAAATAAGGATTTTTAAATTTTGGGACATTTTTCTCAAAAATTTTTTTTCTTTAATATGTATTAGTTCTAAAAGTATTCATCAGAGAGAAAGGGAGCAAAATTGAATGTGAAGTTGCATATCTTTGTATTTAATTCGTGTCCATGCGGTACAATTTGTTTATCTATTTATGTGTATACTATTTTTGAATTTGTTTACAAAAAAAGAAATGAATTAACAAAGTAGCAGCTACACCAAAATAATTAGCTATAATGTCAACATAAATTACTGTTTTTGAAAAATTGGAAAAAAAAATTTGTGGATAATTTTCATTATCTTTGTTATTTATGGAAAAAAAAGGTGAGTAGACTTTTTTGGAGTACTTTAAAAAATATATTTCGATAAATATATTAAAATGTTTTTTTTTTCAATTTTAAACAGTAAAACATGTCTAGCACAAAAGGCACATTGGGTAAAAGAGTTTTAGAAGTAATCGAAGATAATTCAATTAAAAAAGTGAGAAAACTTGATATTTCATTTCTTCAATTGGCTATTATAAAAGGCAATATAGAAGATGTTAAAGAATTTTTTGTCAGCGAAAAAGATGAATTTAAATTGGAAACTAATACAATGACACCATTACATTATGCAGCAAAAGGTGACAATGTAGAAATTTTAAAATTAATAATTAAACATGGCTATGGGACAATTAATTCTAAAGACTGGAATAATAAGACACCATTACAGTTAGCTTTGGAGAATAACTGTATCGATATTATTAAATGTTTATTGGAAAATGGATTAGATAAATTATCATCAGTTGATATTCAAAATCATATTCGATCATGTTTTTTAAATAATCAATTAGATGTTCTAAAATGTTTCATTAAAAATGAAATGATTCCTGATTCATTTATTCATTATGCCGTTACTGAAAATCGTATTGAAATTTTAAAATATTTATTGAAATATAATAAAATAAATAAGATACCTTCAAATTTTTTCTTCATTCATAAAGCGGCTGAAATGGGAAATTTAGAAATCATGAAACTTTTTTCAAATGCAAAATTCAATATTATTGGAGAAAAAAATTATTATGGTCGAACACCTTTATATAATGCTGTTAGTGAAGGACACTTGAATGTAATTAAATTTCTCCTTGAAAGAGGAGCAAAAAATGTATTATCGTATAAAGAATTTTGTGATTTAATTGAAAAATGTATTAAAATCAATCGTTTAGATATTTTAAAGTGCCTTCATCCAAACGATTATATTTCTCCACAAATTCTTTATTTTGCTGCATCGAATGGTCGTTTGGAAATATTAAAATATTTAATAGAATGCGGTGTTGAAATAAATTCCGATTCAGATACTCCACTTCATGGTGCGGCTGAATATGGTCATATTGAAATTGTGAAATATTTAATAGAAACTAATTATCCAACGAATAATAATCGAAATTCAAATGATCAAAGTGCATTAGATTTGGCATTAATTAAAGGACAATTAGAAGTGGTTAAATATTTTTTACATATTCAATCAGTGGAAATAATAAATGTAAGACATATTTTTGCTGTTCTACGATCGGGTAATTTACAACTTCTTAAATTTCTCATTGATAATGGTTGCGCTTGTATTGATACAAAAATTGAAAGAAACATTTCTCTTCTACATTGTGCTTCATTTCATGGTCATTTAAATATATTGAAATATTTATTAAAAAATGGCGTTGATGTCAATCTATTAACAGACGATAATGAAACATCACTTTCTTATGCAATCACAGCAGGACACAAAGAAATTGTTGAAGAACTCTTAAAATATGGAGCAGTAAATAAAAAATGTCACATAGATGCAAAAAATGTTAAAGATGAAATTTTGACTCTTATTGCAAAAGCGAATCATTCATTGAAAAATTATTTTGGCCGACGAAAGCCAATTCTCGTTGCTGCGGAAATGGGTTATTTTCAATTAGTTGAAACATTAATTAAATCTGGTGTTGATATTAATTCACGAACAAGACGTCAATTGTCTGCATTAGATCTTGCTGTAATTAATCGACATTCAAAAGTTGTACGAATTCTATTATCAGCTGGTGCCGATCCAAAAGGTAATTGTAAAAATAAACATAAACCACTGAAATATATAATTCGTCAAAATTTAAATATGGAATTTGATACATCACAAATTGAAATTCTACAAGATCTTCTTGATTATTTATCAAAAAATGATTTAGAACAAACAGTAATATCATGTATAAATTTTGCAATTAAAGAAAAAGCATCAATTAATTTAATTCATGTGCTTCTTGATTATGATTTTAATAATAAATTCAAATTGACAATTAATTCATTGGAATGTGAAATTTCAATATTCATATCGCTTATTGATCATATACAAAAACTTGAAACTCTAATTGAATTTCAAGATTTATTATTACAACATTTGAGTCAAAGTCAATTTTATATCAATAAAACAATTAAAAAGGCATTGATTGCAAGAATAATATTTTTAAAATCACTTCCTGAAAATTCAAATATTGATGATAAAACAAATGTGAATTTTATTAAAATATTTCAAATTGAACAATATCAAATAAAATGCATTGAAGAAATTAGTTGCATGAAAGCAATGCAAATTTCTCCAAATCAATCGGGAATGACTTTCTATGAATTTCTTGCAAAACCTCTTCATAAATTGGAAACATGCGTTTCAAATGAAAAATTAATGGAAAATTTAGAAAATTCCACTTGTTTTGAAATGTACGAGGAATTTCTTAAGAGGCGAATCAAAAGAATTAGAGATAGAAGTAAATATATTGATTCATGCAGAAAGTCCCTTTATTATGTTGTTCGAAATAATCTTCAAATTCATCTTCCTAATGAAATTGTAGATAATATTTGCGATTATCTAACATTATTACAATTGAAGCGATTGCCTGAGGCATTTCCTGTTTAAAAAAAAAAAAATATAAATTAAAAGAACAAAATAAAATACAAATATGTGATAAGAGTCTTCGTTTTGTGTTAAATATTTATTAATATAGTTTGATACGAAATTATTTTTTCTTTTTTGTAAACACAAAAAAAAGTGTATTTTAATTATTATTTTGATGAAATTCGTTGAAGTTAATATTAATATTCGTTTTTGTTAAAAATCTATTTGTAAACTGAATTCGAAAACATAAAATTCTTCATTTTATTTTGAAAATTATTTTCTTAACCCATTTCTTAATTAAAAATTGAAGAAAACTAAATAACTTTACAAAAAATATTATTAAATTTTAAAATGATTTTTTTTATTTCATTATTAAAATTGTTTTTTTTTTAGAGTCAAATTTAAAATTTCGCGCTAAATTATAAACAGATTTGAATGCACCTTTATGTAATTTTTTTTTTTATGTTTCACAACCTGGCAACTCTTTTTTTTATTTCATTTGCCGACAGTCTGAAATTTAACATGGCCATAACCTATAAAACTCCAAAAAAGTATATCTTAAATCCGGCTTCTATTACTCATAATAATTGTTTAATGATATAAGTTTTTCCTTATAAGGAATACGCTCATTCTGTTTGCAAGATTTATTTTCGACAATTCATCTTAAACTAATTAGTTTGGTGCATTTTAAATAAAAAAACAATGTCCGATCCTCGTTTACGTACATTGAAAATAAAAACTGGAATTGTTAAACGTTTAGCTAAAGAGAAAATAACTTACGAAAAAGAATCCGAACAGCAACGAGAAAGAATTCAAAAATATAAGGAACAAGGTGAGTTTTTTTATAAAAATAATATTGTTACACTTTTTCTATTTTCATTCGTTTGCGCGCAATAATACAATTGTTATAAAATTTGATTATTTACTAATTCTAAATAAAAAAAAATGTATATTTAGGTAAAGATGGATATGACATTAGAAAACAAGAGGAAGTACTTCAGGAATCATTGATGATGATTCCAGATTGTCAACGTCGTCTCGCAAAAGCCTACGAAGAATTGAAAAAAATTCTCGAAACTGAGGAGGATCTTAAAGAAGTCGAAGTATATATTGAAGCACAAAAAGTTCTCGAGGACTCTTCAAGTCAATTACCAAACGAAGGAGAAGTTTTGTCATTGTGATAATTTTTTTTTTTTTTTGCCAATTTAAAATCATCGCGTAAACAAAAAACAAACTTTTCATATTTTTTTACTTTTTACACTGATTAATTAAAAAAATAACTCCTATTAATTTAACTTAAAAAAAAAAATCATGTTTAATTATAATTATTCCGCAGCATCCAATTCGGGATATTCAGGTTTTCCATTTCCACCCCCTTTTCCAATGAATTATCCACCGAATTTTTTCCCACCACAAAATTTTGCCCCACCATTAAATCCAAATTTCAATTTACATTCTTCATTATCCGTGGAAAATTTTCCCAAAGTGACTTTAGAAACAAGAAAAAATGACATGGAATTTATAAATAATTTCATTGATGAAGAAAAAAATCCCTCTCAATTGACAAATATAGAGAAAAATATTCCCAAAATATCGAATTTCACTGAGAATGTGCAAATGATTTTTAAATTAAATCAATCAATTAAAAATATTTGTAAAGAAATGAGAGAAAAAAATTTATCACCTACTGAATGGCAGGAGAAAATGGAAATTGCTGAAAAATTGAAAAATCAAATTACCGAATTGTCAATTATGTTTGAAGACAAACAATTTATGCGAACAATGAAACATAAATTGGAGCAACGAAAAAAGAAACGATTGAGAGTGAAAAATAAGCGTAAAACAATTAGAAATGAAAATAAAGAGAAGCAAATTCAATTGAATGAAGAAATTGATAATTGGATTAAAAAGAAACAAAATTTAATTGAAAAAGAAAAACAAGAAGAAATATTGCGAAAAGATGCTGATATTGTGCTTGCCGATGTTCGTGGAAAACGAAATGATGCAAAAAAATTTTCCTCCTTACTTAAGGAAATGCAAAATTTTCGCAATGTTAAAGTGAAAATTGCACGCGCTCGTGGCGATAATTTACCACTCGCTGCCGATCATGCATTCAATAATATAATTGGTAATTATATATTTTAATTAATTTTAATTTCAATAAAATCAAATATTGTTTAAACATTTATTTTTTTTTAGTTAAACTTGTTGAGCATTGGACAGCGCTAGATCGGGAATATTCTTTCGAAGAGCAAGGATTAAAATTAATGATACAAACTGATAATGAGAAGAAGGAAGAGACAAAAAAAATGCACACTTTCAATAATTGGGAACAAATTCTCTTTGGACAACGATTGCAAAAAAATGCTTTTTTACAAAACAATTTTCTAAACTTTGTAACAATCAGGTAAATATCAATTTAAAAAAAAAAATCTTCAAATGTTTAGATATTTAAAAAATAAACTTACAGGACAATGTGGGACAAATTCTATAATCTAAATGGAAAGCCAATTCCAACAGGATGGATTGTGCCTGTTCCTCCTTCATCAACCGCGTGGCAGGCACTTCTTAAAAAGTCCTCAATTTAAAATTACAAAATTTTTAACAATGTATTTTTACTGAAACGTTTAATTAAAAATTTTTCTTTTTATTAAAAACTATATGTACAGGTCTTTATTTTAATGATTTATTAAAAAAAAAAGGGAAAATTAAGCTATACTTAAGACAAGATTTTTTTGTGCGGCACTCGATGGCTCCAAATTTGGAGGATCAATTGTCGATGATACTAGAGTTTCTGCAGCTGACAATATCATTTGCAATGGTCCCTGTAATTCCGTTAATGTCAATATTAATTCTTCCTCCTCCTCTAATTTTTTCGACAAATGATTAAACATTGTTCTTGGCTCTGAACTAAGTTCTTCCAAATGATCCTCGTAGATATCTGAAAATTTAATGAAAAACAAATAATTGGGAGAAATAATTTTTTTTTTGTCACAGAAAATAAAATAAAAACTTATCATTACCCATGAGTACATTGGTAACGTGAAGAATAACTCGGCCAAATCTTATACTTCCAATGTGTCTAATTAGAAATTTAAGAATATTAACGAGCGATTTATTATCTCTACCAGCGAGTGCTTGCCTTAAGCCTTGACGTCGAATTAATTCAAGAAGAAGTGAAACCGTCACTTGTGGCTGTTTATTCATCACATATGGTCTCATAACTTCATCAAGGGCTTTTGAATATTGAAATTTTCTCAAACATGTATCATATTTTCCCATTATTTGTTTATTTTCCTCGCGAACCAACACATCAATACTACGTGAATGTAATTTATCAATTGCATATCTAAACGATGTTTTTTCACGTTTAATTTTTTCATCCTTAGAATCATCCTCACGTCTTCTTATCGATATTAAACCATCCACCATTCCTGCCACAATTGTCTCGTCATTTTTCTAAAATATATAAATTTACAATAGAGGCATTCTATTTCAAACCGTACCACCTACAAATGACTATCGGGGGTAGAGCACTTTTCATATCTAATTTATTTTATTTAAAAGTCCTTAAATATAAAATGTAAATAATGCTTTTAATAGAGAATTTTTCAAGCTTTAAGATGGTGTAAGGCTTTATTTTTAAAAAAATTTACTACTTGGTTTAATTTTCATTTAAAAACTTTCAGAGTTAATTTCTCAAAATATGTCATTTTCAATTTTGATAAAATTTGTCTCAAAAGAAAAATTAAATTCTCTAGTTTCTACCATCCAATGATTATAATGGGCTTTTCAGTGGATCCAGGGAAAAAAAATAAAATGTAAATTCACTTTTTACTGAATTTTGCGTAGAAAACGTAACCCTCTTGAATTTCACGTCAGAGTCAAAATCATTTGTTTTTTTTTTAATTCTGTTAAAAAGATCACTTTGTCAAAATTGTAAAGCAAAAATATAATTTAATAATATATCTTTATTAGTTAAATTGTTATGTATCTTTTATTATTTATAATTATGTTAGTAATATAAATAATATCAAATTAATTACCATTTTGAATTTTATTGTAAAATGAAAGTAACAATTTTTTAATTTAAGGGGAGGGACTGGTGAAATTTTAGCCTACTGAAGTTATTATTGTTAAAGAGTGTCAATTTTTTTTCTGGCATAATTTAGGATCCAAAATTATTATAAATTATTAAAATTTAAAAAAAAAATTTTTTAGCCATTTTAGAAAATTTATTTTTTGGAAAAATTAAATTTCTTTAAATTCCATACGATTGATTGTTTTTAAATCGTGAAAAAAGCGTAAAAAAAATTCGACAATAAAAAATAATGAAAATTGTGGAAGTAGTTGAATTTTTTCAAAATTACCACTAAAATTGAAAGCAATCAAAATTGATTTTGTTTAGGGGTAATAATTTTTTTCAACCAAAAATCTTATTCTACTGAGAAAAACAACAAATGGTAATTTTTAACAATTTTACAAATATTTTTATTTTTCAAAATTTTCATTTTTTGAAAAAATTGAAATTTTTCAAAATCCATACGCTTGATTATTTAGAATCATGAAACAAGCGTATAAAAAAATCGGCAGTCAAAAATAATTAAAATTGTGAGAGAAGTTTAAATTTTAAATTTTCGAGAATTTTGAATTTGATTTTAAAAATTATTAACAAATTTATAGTTTTTCAATTTTTCATGATATATTATATATTTAAATAATTAATATTGTCAGAAAAAAAATTGACCACCCTTAAACAGCTTTAATTTTGATGTGTTAAAATTTCAGCGGTCCCTCCCCTTAAAAAGATCACTTTGTCAAAATTGTAAAGCAAAAATATAATTTAATAATATATCTTTATTAGTTAAATTGTTATGTATCTTTTATTATATATAATTATGTTAGTAATATAAATAATATCAAATTAATTACCATTTTGAATTTTATTGTAAAATGAAAGTAACAATTTTTTAATTTAAGATTTCTTCGAGGTTAAAATAAATTTACCTTTTTAACAATATTATTTAAAAAAAAAAAAAACAAATGATTTTGACTATGACGTGAAATTCAAGAGGGTTACGTTTTCTACGCAAAATTCAGTAAAAAGTGAATTTACATTTTATTTTTTTTTCCCTGGATCCACTGAAAAGCCCATTATAATCATTGGATGGTAGAAACTAGAGAATTTAATTTTTCTTTTGAGACAAATTTTATCAAAATTGAAAATGATATATTTTGAGAAATTAACTCTGAAAGTTTTTAAATGCAAATTAAACCAAGAAGTAAATTTTTTTAAAAATAAAGCCTTACACCATCTTAAAAAAAATTCTCTATTAAAAGCATTATTTACATTTTATATTTAAAGACTTTTAAATAAAATAAATTAGATATGAAAAGTGCTCTACCCCCGATAGTCATTTGTAGGTGGTACGGTTTGAAATAGAATGCCTCAATAATTAATTAAATTTACAAATAAAATTGAAATTTTAACTTACACTGATGCCCAAACTAAGAACTGAATTTGGATAATCTAATGTGTGTACACTTTTGTATGTTCCAATATCATAAACTTTTACATGTCTATCTAAAGAACCTGAGAGAATTTTTTGTCCATTTGAAGCGATTGTCATACAAGTTATCGTTTTATGATGATTCGACATTCTTGCCAATAATTTTCCACCTGTGAGTGTATCCCAAACTTTTATTTCCGTTCCTCCTGATCAAAAAAAAAAAATAGAATCAGAATTATTTTCTTTAAAAAATATTTAAATAATAAAATAAGGCTGCATCTATTACGCCCGCTCGGGCGAACTAATTCATTCTTCTTATTTCGCCCGCGACGGGCAAAATAGGTACGATTGTGTGAAGTGGCTATTTCGCCCGTCGAAATAAATGTGTTTTAGAAGACGGTCGAAATAAGAAAAATAGATTATTTCGCTCGTCAAGTGATAAAAAAACGATCGAAATAATCTAATTGTAAATAGAATATTTCGCCCATCAGGTATAAACAGCTGTTGCATATTTGTCAAATTAATTTTAAAATTAATTTGAAGTTTTGAAAAATAATTATTATATTGAATAACAACTTGATTTAAAAAAGGTTATAAAAAATTAAGGTTTTTAATATAACGTGTTGTTAAATTTACTTGTTAATTTTCGCATTTGAATTAATAACAATCAGATACGAAAAAAATAGATTCAATTATAAATTGTACAATTAAAAATTAGCACACATATAATAATTAGGTTTAATAAATTTTAGACGCAATATTCCGTAGCTTATAAAAATATTTTATTACTTAAATTTTGAAAAAAAATTTGATTATTTTATGATACTAGTAAGTAAAAAAAAGATTACATAATTATTTTCATAAAATAATTATAAAACTGGAAAAAAAACTTAAATTTTTATTATGGTTTAAATTTTACTTTTTTCAAAATTGTTAAATTTTTTGGATTTTGAAATTATATTAATATCATTTCATTTTTGGCCGGAAATCCAAATATTTTTTTAAAAAATATTTGAATTTCTGGCCAAAAATAAAATTATATTAATATATTTTAAATTTTACTGTCAATACTTTTAAAATTAAACTTCTTCGACAATTTATATTATATTTCATCGGCAATATTTATACATACTTTCTTTTATAATTCCGAATAATCAATCGTATATATAATTTTCTGGTTTTTAAAATTTTGTAACTTTCAAAAAAAAATTTTAATTCTAAAATTGACAAAAATATTTTTTTTCAAATTTCAATAATTTAGAATAATTTTAAACTCTAAATAATGCCAGAAAAAAAATTAAATAGACAATATAAATTTTGAAAGGTTAAAATTTTACTGGTCCCTTCCGTTGAAATAAATTTAAAAATCGACTGTTTCTGACATTTTTTGTAATGTAAAACGATTAAAATTTTCTTTTTCCTTAAAGTTGATTTAAGATCTGAGTGTATTAAAGATATTTTATAAAAATAATTATTTAATTTTTTTTGACATGAATCATAAAATAATCGAATTTTTGCAGAACTTTAAATAATAAAATATTTTTATAAGCTATTGTCTAAAATTTATTTAACCTAATTATTATAGTACGCTTATTTTTAATTTATAATTGAATATAGTTTTTTCGTATCTGATTTTATTTATTCAAATACGAAAATTAAAGACACACTGCAAAAAGATTTATTTAATTCAAATAATCAGTCACTTGACTAAAATATCAAATAAATATTTATTTATATTAAATGATTATTATTTCAGTCACTTAAATGGTATTTTTTTCAAATACATAAATTATTATTGATTATTTGAAACAAATAAATCTTTTTTCAGTGCATGTAAATTTAACAACACATATATATATGTATTAAAAAACCATATTTTTATAATCTTCTTTAAATAAAGTCATTATTGAATATATAATAATTATTTTTCACAACTTCAAATTAATTGTAAAATTAATTTTTAATAACAAAAATCCAACAGCTATTTATACCTGATGGGCGAAATATTGTACTTTAATTATTTCGTCCGTTTTTGTTTTATCACCTGACGGGCGAAATAATATATTCGCCCGTCTTGCAGATATTCGACTTTTTCTTAGACGGGCAAAGTAATCTATTTTTCTTATTTCGCCCGTCTTTTAAAACACATTTATTTCGACGGGCGAAATAGCCACTTCACACAAGCGCATCTATTTCGCCCGTCGTGGGCGAAATAAGAGAAATGAATTAATTCGCCCGCGACGGGCGAAATAGCCACTCCGATAAAATAATTCCTACCAGCAGAGAGGACAATTCCGCCTGATGGTAAAAATAAAACACTTTCCACTGGCGAATCATGATTGACGGTAAATATTTTTTTATTCGTTCTTGTATCGTAGAGATTAACAGTACGATCATAACTGCCCGATGCAAATATATCAGGTGATACAGGACTCACAGCACCAGCTCTTATATAATCATTATGCTCATCAAATGATAAAATTTGCTTTTCACTTGGTATATCCCATAGTGCCGTTGTTTTATCATCGGAAAATGATATAATATGAATACCATCAGCGGTGAATAATGTTCGATGTATTGGTGCTTTATGACCATTAAATAATCGAAGAAGACTTCGACTACTAACGTCAAATAATTTAATAGACGCCTCTTCACCACCGGCACAAAGTAATTTTCCATCTTTTCGAAATGATCCACCATATGCCGATTCTTTAAATCGACTGAGATTTTTTGTCACTAATTTTGTAATTGGATTATAAACTTGAACACGCACCGAACAAGTGACAGCAAAATGATATGGTTCTGCTGGTGAAAAATCAATATAATCAATTGGACCAAATTCTTTCACTAATACTGGAGCCTAAAAAAATATACAACATTTTACAAGAGGACTATATAAATATTTTTTAAAATTAAATCTATATAAATATTAATTATGTTTACTTTTTTTGCTTTTCGATAAACAACTGAGATTTGCAATGTGAATTAATAAATTTTTAAAAATATGAAAAATGCATTTTTATTAATAACAATAAACTTTCATAAAAACAAAATTGTCATGTGTAAAATTATAGGTTATGTTATGTCCACGTGGTATTACAGTCAATTGCAAAGTATATTATTGATATTTTTCGGGGGGAAAAAAAACAACAAATAACAATTAATAACTCACGGAAAATTTTTTCCAGTAAATATTATCCGGCGTTAATTCAGGCCCAGCTTTTGTAAAAACTTTAATGTTTGTCTTTTTAAATGACGCCATGTTTAATTACACACATGAAGTCATAAATAAGTGAAACAGAAAAGCAGGGCTGCCAATATATATAAATATGTCAAATTTTACTCCATTTTTTACTCTTGTAAAAGCAGTAGTCGAGTGTGACAGCATTGTAAATAATTTTTAATAATAATTCAAAAAAATATATTTAAATGTCAAAAAGTTTTAATTAATTTAGTAGTTTCCTTTAAAAATTCTAAATTTTTTCTATTATTATCGTAGCAAAATTGAAAAATTTGTTTAAAAGTATAAAGTACATTTTTCTCTAACCGACCGTTCAAATTTTGTATTTTTACTTTGCAAATAGAATAATTATTTTATTTTCAATTATTTATATTTTAAAATAATTATCTCTCTATAATTATCAAAGTAATGAAAAATTAAAAAAAAAATTTAATCAGGAACTCTCAAATTGTCAGGTAAATATATTTATTAGTTTCGTTAAAAACACAAATATTTGATGAACAAAACAAATGTTTTTTTTTACAATTAATTAATTTCTTAACAAAATTTATATGAAATGTTAGTTAATTATTTGCAAATTAGAAAATATTTTTAGCCGACAGTGTTCATTTTTAATTTAATGCGTGAAATACGTAATTCTTTTTAGAGGTTAATTTTTCAACGAAAAATAACCTTTAAATTGTAAATGAAATAGAATTTCTTTCTAATTTATATATGAAATTTTTAGTAACGAAAAAAAAATGACGTCAAACGAAAAAGATGCAGTAAATAAACTGATAAAAAGAATACAATTATTGGAAATCGAAAATGAGAAATTACGAAAGGAAAATGACATTTTGAAGAAAAATTCTGAACCATCGATTAATGTCAAAGAGAAATATCTTGGCAGTTCAAATTCATTTAATAAAATTTTGCCAATTTTCAATGGTAAACAAAAAGGTTGCACTTGCAAAGGAAATTGTGCAAGTAAAATTTGCGGTTGTAAGAAAAAAAATCTCTCATGTAACGAAACTTGTAAATGTAACGCTGTTAATTGTAAAAATAAGGTGAGTTATAAAAAAATTTATTTTCTTCATTAATTTAAATATTAATTATTTAAAAAAAAAAAATTGTTTCTCTTTTTATTACAGGAGAAAGACAAAGAAAATGTTAAAGTCAATCGTTCACCAAAAGTTACTAGAGAACGTATAAAATCGCTACCAAATTGTTTAGAAAAACAAAATGTCAATACCTCGAATAATATCAATAATTCCGAATTAATAGGAAAAAAGTCTCATCAAACGTTGCACACAAATTCAAACGATGATGTTTTTGAAGAGTCAATAAATTCAAATTTGGAAAATTTCCCACCTCAATTTGATGTGGCGAAAAAATTATTATTTTTCTCTGATGATGATACACCTAATATCAATGCTAAAAAGTCAAATAAAAATATTAAAACAAAATCAAAGGATAAAAATGAAATGTCTAATGTAAATTTACGATCTCGACATATTGAAAAATCTTCAAAAAATAATAAAACAATTAATGAAATAATTACAGCAAATCATTCCGAGAAAATTGAAAAATCATTAAATATAGAAAGTATAAAATCAACTGGAGTGACGTCGTGTATAAAAAGTGTTTCAAATTTCAAACAACCAAAAAGTTTGAATTCTGAATCGTTAAATTATCATGATAATGAATTATCAAGAATCACAAGAGACAAACAAAATAATGGAAATTCGTCGCAAGACATTAAAAATTCAAAATTATCATCATCAAAAAAGGGAAATTTATTGAGACGATCATTATCCAGTGAAGCGATTTGTGTCAAACAACATAGATCAAGAAGTACATCACGTGAGAGTTTAATCAAAGACGAGGACAGAAGGAGAACAAAAAATTTTAATCGTTCTTTATCTCATGAGAATTTATCGAAAAGACAATCAATTTCTAAAATTTCACATAATATTCGACGATCAAAATCAACTGATAATGCAAATTACAGTCAAAGATGTGCTTTAACACCTGTGATAGAGTCGCCGCAAGTTTCTGCGTCACTCAATAATTCTAATGAAAAACTTGATAAGGTGAGAAATAAATAAATAAAAAAAAAAATTATTAATTTAAATATAATTACAATTTTTTTTTTGACAAAAATTTAATTCAACTTATTAAATTAAAATTAGACTATTAAATAAAAATATTTTTAAAGTACAATTTTTCATTTTTAAAATTCTACTTTTAGTAGAATTCAATTAATTTGAAAAATTCAGAAATAATTTTAATAAATTTTTCTTTCAGTCACTCAAATTTGATCCAATGCAACCAACTTATCAACTCTCAAGAAGTCCTATTCCAGCTATTGAAATTTCTGCTGAAACATCAGAAACTTGCGTTAATAATTCTCCTCCGATATTCAGAAGATTTTCCAATTCAGAGAATTTACAAATTTTCAGTCCGCCGCCTGAGATTTTACAAGGTATTTTCATTTTTTTTCCCCCTTTCTTTCTAATTAGGGTCAGTCGGGGTAAATCCGAACGGGGGGTAAATCCGAACGCTAATTATTTCAGCTTAATTAAAATTTTTAAAAATAAGTTCGATATGAGAATTTTTACCTCAGATCCTCTTGAAGAGATTCTAAGTATTATCCCATTTTTTGTTTGTTAATTAGCAACAGCATAAACAAAGATAACAAGTATTGCAAAAAAGATTGAAAATCAAAGATGACACTCTTTCAGTATTTTGTCTCGTATTTCAAGAAAAAGAAGCTAAAAATTCATTTTATTATTTATAATTGTTTGTTATGAATACTAGAACAGAAACTATATTTGATTTTTGCCTCCTGTAAAATTTTATTAATAATATCAGATCGTTCGTATTTACCCAAGAAAATTGGAAAACTGGGGTAAATCCGAACGGTATTTTTAATAATTTTTTTTCACATCAAAGCCACACAAAATTGTTTTTATTTGATTACACTATTATTTTAACATTATAAAAGTACATAGAAAAAAGTTTTTCTTTCTATACGTATCCTCGTTAGTAATTAATAAGCAGAAACTTAATCTCTGTTCTCTCGAAGGAGTGTTTCAATTTTTTTGCCAAATGGTTTGTTGAAAAAAGTTTTTCAGGATCTTAATAAAATTTGGTATTCTACGGTTTTTGGGGTCGCTAATTACCAATTTGAAGTCAGTTTTTCAAAATTCAAAATGGCGGACGAGAATTAAAAAATTCATTGGATTCGCTCGAAAATTGTTACTCGGGGGGTTTCAGGGTTAGCAAATTTGATCATTTTTAAAAATAAGTTTTAGGAAAGTACGCCATTTTGAATTTAAAAAATTTGACTTTTATTTTTGTATTTACATTCAATCACTCCAAAATACTTTCTGTACCAAGTTTTGCAAAAATCCGTTATGATTTGATAAAGTTATTGAAGGTTTTAATTGTGTAATGCATTTTAATTTTTAACCTGTTTGATTTTTGTATTTATATATGATGCATTATTACATAATAGGTTTATTATCGTATTTTTTTTGAGTTTTTATATAAGTTTAACAATTGCAATACTTTAAATTTATTTTCCCTAAGATTTTTCTGAAATACAGTGGCGTTCGTATTTACCCCCATATTTTAGGAAAGTTGCAAAGTATCGAGGTAAATACGAACGCTAAGTTTCCTGCGATTGTAATTTATCAAAAATTTTTGCTACCCCATAAAATTGTTCTATGGAAGTAAAGTAACAACTTCATGCACCAGAATACCGGAAGTATTTTTTTTTTAAAGAAAAAACTTATGTTATTGTTGAAACTTACTAAAAGCGTTCGGATTTACCCCGGTTGACCCTATATTTAATAAAATTTTGATTATTAAATAAAAATTAATATTTTCAGATTTAAATGCGGAAGCAGTTGATCCCAGTGAATTTCAATCAAAACTCATTAATTGTCGAAAATGTAAACGCTCCTTCTTTCCACATCGAATTAAATTACACGAAGCAATTTGCAGGAAAAAATAAAAAAAAAAAGTGAATTTCATACCATTTACCAACTTTGTGTATTGCATATTATAATTTTTTTTTTTTTTTTTTTTTTTTTTAATGTGCAATTAATATGTGAATTTAATTATTTTAAAAAAAGATAACGTTAAATTTAACGGAATTATTTTTTGAATCGCAAAATTTGTCATTTGATATTACTGTCAGGAGCAGATATAGACTGAAAAAAAATGTAATTTACAATTTTATAATGCCTTTTGTATATGTTCGTTAAAATATATTGATTATAATCATTGATCTAAATAAACTAAATAGATTTTTTAATTAAATAATATGGAAGAAGTTAATAAAAAAAACGAATTATTTTTAAAAACAATTGCAAATTGTGTTTTTAATTTTTTTTTAAAAAATTCGATTGCACTTAATCAGATTTTTAATTTATTATTCTTATACTATATTTGTAAAATCAAATTATAAATTTTTAGTAATTCGTATCAATAATTATATAATAATAAAATGCTTGGTCTGTTCTTCTGTCCTAACTTGAAGTTGGCCTTTTCTGATTTCACGTGTTTTTTTTTTGAATAGTAATCTTATGACGTGTCAAATTTTGACAATTCTTTTTCTCATTTTTGCCAAAGTTGTATAATTGTGTTTCCAAATTTCGGAATAAGTTTCATTAAAATTCCAAATTCGAAAATTCAATTCACGAAGCTGAAGTACACAACGTTTACCAACGAAATTTTTTTTAAAGTTGTATATTCATTCAAAAATTGTACACAAAATTTATGATGAGAAAAAAGATGCGCCAGGATATTTCGTACAAGATAGTAATTTGAAAAAAATTTATTTTTAAAAATTAATTTTTAAGATACCAGTGGCCAACGAATACCTATTAAATATTAATTATAAAAACACAGGCCTCGAATTAACTTAAAGACACAAAAAAGTCGTTTTAGTCGATTTATATTCCAAAAAAAAGTGGATTTGTTTTTTATTTTAACAAAAATATTTTACAGATTTTTAAATAAAATTTTTTTTTTTTAATAATAATCCTTTTCGAAGGGTTAAAGTTGAAATTTTTAGAAATAATTAAATTTCAAAAGATATTGTTAATTTTCAAACATTTATTAAATTTTACAGAACTAAAAATAATTTATCAAACAATTTTTGGAAAACATTTTTTAAATTTAATTGAATTTTCAAAGATTTAAAATTGATATTTTTGAAATTAATTGAAACTTTAAGTGATTTTTAATTAAAATTTTAGATGATTTCACTAAAAATTTATTAGAAAATGCGGACAAAATACAATAATTTGAAAATCATTTTTAATTGAAAAATGGTTTCAGATAGTTGAATTTTCAATGAATATTATTAAAATAGTTAAAAATAATTGAATTTACTTAGTTATAAGTGTTATAATTGAAATTATTCAATTTCAAAAAAAAAATTTTCGATGGAAAATTTTAGAAATAATTAAATTTTAGATGCTTTTAAATTCAAATTATTGAAAATTCAATTAATTTTGAATTCAAATTTTTGAGAATAATTAAATTTTATTTGATTTTAAATTTGGAAAATAATTGAATTTCAATTCATTTTGAATTGAAAATTTTGGGAAATAATTGAATTTTAATTGAAATTTTGGATAATAATTTAATATAAGTTCATTTTTGGATAATTATTGGATTTTTGATTGATTTTGAATTAAAATTTCGGGTAATAATTGAATTTTAGTTTATTTTGAATTGAAATTTTTAAAAAATAATGCAATTTTTTATTGTGATATTTTTTTTTTAAATTATAAACAATTGTTAAATTTCATAAAAATTTTAATTGAAAAATAATTTTAATATAATTGAATTTGTGATGTATTTCATTAAAATTATTAAAAATAATTAATTTAGTGAAGAATCATTTTAGTTCTAAATTTGTTAAATAATTGAATTGAAGAAGATCTGACGAAAATCTACATTTTATACTAAAAAAATATATTTTATTTACATTCTTTTTCAAATGTAAAAAAAAATGTCGCATTTTATTTAAAATAAGTCGATAAAAGTCGTATTTTTGAAAAAAGTCGGAAAAAGTCGTATAATCCGAGGCCTGTAAACATATAATTTTCATTATTATCATTTAATGTATAATAATATTCTAATAAATTAAATTATTGTTGATAATATTAATCTTTAATTTCTTTATAACAAACAATTAAATATTCAATTTGACGCGCTTGCGCGCGTTTAATTTTGCTAGTTGATGAATAAAATTTTTAATTGCGTTTGAAATGATAGAAGACAAAATTTTAGCCCACTCACATACGATTATATTGAAGAACATCTACTATACAATATCTTTCGTTTACTAACTAACAATATATCTAATTTTACATACAATGTAAATCCCATTTCATTATTATGTGTACATATACAATATATTTATATATATATATAGTTATTCGATTTCTATTTCTAATCTAATCAATATCCTACATCGTTAAGCGATAAAGGATTAATTTTTCTTTCTTTATATCCATTATATATACAAAATAAAGTTTGATCATTCATAAATTATGTTTTCTATTTGATACACATATTTCAAATCCAATTTAATGAATACTTCCATTCATGTTTGATAAACAATTAATCGCCTTTGTTTAAATAATAATTTAATTGATAATAAATAACTAATATTTATACTAAAAAGTGTTATTTTAATATAGAAAAAAATGAGATGCTGATTTCAAATATAAAAATAAGTTCATAATTGTTCACTTTGCTGCGCTTTATGGGGATTATATATTATGGAAAATTCAAAATTTCACTTTTATTAATTTTTAATTTTTTAAAAATTTAAATATCAATTAACGATTTAAATAAATTTTTATAATTCAATTTCATTCAAAGAAATTTGAACATTAATTAAATAAAATATTCTAATTGATTTTGTTAATTGATCTATTCAAATTTTCATAATCTTAAAAAAAGTACTTTTTTTTAAGAATAAAATTGTAATAACACCGCGACAGACTCTGGCAAAAATTATAATAGATCTAAAATTTAATAAAAAAAAACATTTTTCTTTTTAATTTGTAATTTTAAAACATTTTTTTTTTTAACTGAGAAATATTTTATTTTGTTTAATATAGACGAACAAATAATATTAATTTAAAAAAACATTTACGATTTTTAAATTTATAAGTAATCATTTTTGCCAAAGACTGTCAGGCAATAATCCATTTGAGAAAAATACTAATAACAAGCTCCTAATTTTACATTAAATAGATCATGATTAAAAATTCAGACGTTGACTTCACATTCTTTTGTGTTACAATTTTTTTAAGTCAAAGAAATAATTATTTCTTCGTCGAAGAGAGAGAGAGAGAGAGAGAAAAAAAAGAAGAAACTTGTAATTCTATCATTATTGCAGAATAAAAAATGTGTAGGTACAAAAATGTAAGTTGAAAGCTTGAAATTAGGCGTATCAGAGTTTTTTTTTTTTTTTTTTTTTAAGACATCTCTGAATTTATAGATTGTAGTTGAAACTCGATTTTTATTGTAAAAAAGTCAAGTCTTATTCTTCTCATATATAATTTGTAAATATTGGTGAAATGTTATACGATTAAAATTGTTTAGCAGCAAAGCCTGCGATCAACCAACCATTTTTTTTTTCTTTCCCAATGGAATACATATACATAGTTTTTTTTTTCTCTTGTATCTCAGACAATAATATTGTTTATATCCCATTTTGTAAAAAAATATACAATCATTGATTGTTATAAAAAGGCTCTACTGGTACAAATACAATACATATATATATACATACATACATACATACATACATACAAACGATATATAAAAAAAAATTCAATTTGAAATAATACTGATTTAGAAATACCAAAAATTAATTAATACAAACTCGGCGATTTTTCTTTTTTAAAAAAACAAGTGATTTATCGAATTTTTTTTGAATGTTTACTATTTAAAAAGATTCTATAAGCAAAACAGAGAAAAAATTAGATAAATGACTTGTAATTTTTTTTTCTTCTAGACGAAAATATTCTTAGGAAAAAATATTGTTTTCATTATGACTATTTTCACTTTTTTTATAATAGTTGTTTTTTAGAATAAAACACATTTGTTTCTACACAAAAAAAATTCATCCCTTCATATTTTAAATATTCATTATTATTGTGAATAAAAAAAAAAAAAATTATTTACAATTAATTTTGAATACATTAAATATCAACAATTTTTTTTTCAATTAAATAAAATTAAATAAATTATTGCAAATAGGAAGACTGTAATTATTGGCAAAAATTAATATTAAATTTTCTATTATTCTTATTGTAACAAAACTATCTATGATAGAAAAATCGAGGAAGTTTCATTTGATTTAATTAATTTGATCAATCTATTATAAACGATTTTAAATATTGTAAAGAAATTAAATTGGGATGAATTTTCTTTTCCGCATTGAAACATAACTTATTTTCTTTACATTATGAATAAAAAAAAAACGTTTGCAACTTTAAAAGGCACTATAACTAAATATTTGACTAGAAATTATTTTTGTGCCATCGCAACAGCATTTAACTTATAATAATATACGCTAATTTATTTATATAATAATTTTTTTTCTCATAATATTAATAATAATAATTTCTCGATTATACAATTATTACAACAATAGAACAAGGAATACAATCTTACATATTATAAACTCAACAAAAAATTTTCTTAATTTGACACAAAATAGAATCAATTTTCACGATTCTTTCGATTTTTCTCTAATTAATTCTACATCACATAATGCAATTTTCTCATTTTTTGTATATCTTTGGTAAAGAATTTCTTTTCTTTTTTTTTAGAATTTACTCTCTTTTTTTTGTTTACATCATCTGGGTTTTTTTTCCACTTTTTAAAAATTGGCGTATTATCCAGTTGGTTAATCGCCGCTTTGTTATTTAACTTAAAAAAAATGAATGACATATTTTTACTGAATCCATATTAATAGTCTTTTTTTTTAATTTTATTTTAAAAAAAAGTCAAGCATCTCTAAACGTGATTTTTTTTTTTTTGAGAAAAAAGCCTCCAAAGGAATTCTTTTTTACACAATACATATAAATATTCTTATATTAATTTGTGAACAAGTGAATGGATTTTTTTTTTTTGCATTAATAATTGTTTTTGTGGTGTTTTACCGCTAGATAGAAACTATGGTTCCAAATATTCTCCCTAATTGTAGGTACAAGTATTGTCTATTATAGAATTTTATGTTCGCTATTTAAAATAAGCCGTGAGAACACACGCAATATTTGAGTCTCTTTTACATATTTGTAACTTTCTCGTCTCATATCTCGCAATTATTTATAAAATAGAAAGATTTTTCTCTAATCTTCGTCGTTACGCAATCACTAGTTTTATTTTTTATTCTCTTTTTTGCCATTTTTTTTTTTGATCATCCAGTGAGCATAACAAGAATTCTGTCTCTTTATGAACTCTATCTTCTTTTAAATCTAGCCTTCAAAAATTTCACAATAAAAAAAAATTATTGCACATTTTAAAAAATTTGTATTTTTTTAGTATTTAGACTAAAAAAAATTAAATAATGCATAATATAATAATAATATTAAATATAATAATAACAATAAAAAAATAATAATAAAAACAATACATAAAATAATAAATAATATAATAAAAATAATAAATAAATTCTTAAAATTTATTAATTATAAAGTAATTCTTTTTAAAAATTATATTAAAGTTAAAACTAATTAAATTTTAATAATTCATTATATTAATTACTTCATAATTAACTAAATGAATTTAAATTTAAATTAATCACATTGAAATCAATTTAAAATTAAATAAAAATACTTAAATTAAAAAAATCACACTTTCAGTTAGACGATATTAAATAACAAAAAAAAACAAATAAAAAAATGAACTAGAGAAATAATGAAAAAGTTAAAAAAAATTGTTTTATCGATAAACAAAAAAAGATCGTCTCTCGCTAAATTTTGCAACATTGGAAAAATAAATTGCATGTTAAGGCATTTAGCATTACCGGAGAGATTAAAATTAACGATTAAAAAGCTTCTTAACAAATATTTCATGACGTAAACGATTATTCTCGTCTACCTATTTTCTCTGGAATGTCATTTTATGCATTTGGAATATGCAAATTAATGAAAAATTGATATTCAATTTACAAGAATCTGTAAACGTAAAACTCTTCCCGAGTTTCTATGTACAAATCCTCAGAATTTAACAAATTATTTGTGTTTCCTTCAGTTTAAAATGACATTAATTTTTTTTTTTTTTTATTAAGTATTACTGTCCACGGAAACCTGTGATCGAAGTGATAAATGACAGACTTGGCAAACACGAACTGGCTTTAGAATTCCGAGGCGTGAAATCTTTGATTCAAATCTGCTACACCTAAATTTTTTTGTCAATTAAATAATGATAATAATAAATATGAAATATATTATTTTATAATATTTTCAATTTTTAAACTTTCATTTAAAATTATCCGTTTGATAATTTTTAAAAATAAATTAGATTCCATGGAGAAGAAAAAAAAGAAAAAGAAAATAAAAGTCTTACCTGTTACAGAAAACTTGTCCGCAATTGCGACAATGATGTCTCCTCTCGTAGAGAGTAAATCTCACTCCACAACCGACACATGAATCTGCTCCTTCATCTTTTAACCAATGATCAGCTACCGTTCGTCCTGGCTGTTCGCAAACACTCCAAGAGAAAACTCTTCCTCTTGTATCACCTACATAAATTGTTCTATGATCCCTGAAAAAAAAAAAATTTTCCATTTTTTTTTTAAATAAAATTAAATTTTTTATCGAATTTTTCGTTTTGTCAATAAATGAAATTAAAATAAATACCTTGATACTGCAAGGGCTGTAATAGATGCAGGCTCCGTATTATCCTTTCGATCATATGCAGTATGCATTGTTAATTTACTACGAAATACCAATTGTCTTTGCCATTTAAATCCGTCTCGAAGTATATTTTGTGGATTAATTTTCTTTGGTTTTGTATCTGCTTCCGTCACCACCACAAAGCTATCCGTTAAACTCGTATCACTTTTACTTGTTCTCAATGCGCCTTCACTATCGGCAATATTGCTCGTCGATTCACTATTAATTCAAATTAATTAATTTTTTGTATTTAATTACAAAATTATATTTGATAAATATTTATTTTTCATCATTAATTCTAATATAAATAGAATAAATAATATTATATAAATAAATAGAATAATAAAAAGAAATTTATTTAAATTCTTTTTCATTTTTAGATGAAATTAAATTAAATGCTCACGTGACTTGAGTGCCTTCACTGTCAGCACGTCCGCCACCCTCGCTTTTTCTAAACAATGGATTGCAGCGACTTTTTCTTCTAAGAACAACCGTTGACGATGAACTAGTCTGCGGTGATAATTTATTTCCAGAACCATTACTTGATTCATTATCTGAACATTCTTCTTTTTCTTCATGCGTTCTAGATGCTTCTTTTGTATTTTCCGATTCTGATAAACTACTTTCCGAACCACTTTTCGCGAGTGTACCACCTGGACAGAATATTTTATTTATTATTCAATACAATTTTCTAACTAATTTTTCAATTAGTAGAATTTTTATTTTTTAATATTGTGTTAAACAAAAATTACCCGAATTTTCCGCGGAAATACTCATTTGTTTGACTAATTCGTGAACTCGTTTCTTTGTATTTTCTTCCTTTGTTTGTTCCTCTTTTTTCGAATTTTCAATTTCATTAATTTCCGGTTTCTCCTCTTCTCCTGGCACTTGAACGTAATCCATCGACCACATCTTAATGAAATTTTTCATTTAATAATTTGTGAAATATTTATTTATCAGAATGTAGAAAACCAAAAAATTAATTACTCACTCGTGCGACACCATCAGTTGAGCCAGTCATTATTACATTTTGAGAATCCCATTCGTGCGTTTGACTAAAAGCAACACAAAGAATTTGTTGCATTCGATCGGCTCTTCCCACACAAGTATTAACACTCGCCAATTCTTCTCCATTTATACTCCAAACATGAAGCCATGTCGCAGCGCAAGTTGCAATATCACCCTTAAATACAATTTTTCCAAATAAAATTTTAATATAAAATTAAAAATTATTACTGTTATTAATTAATTTTAAAAAAAAAAGTACCGTTAGATCATTAATTGCAACGGCAGCAACAGGTCCTGCGTGTCCTCGAAGTTGTCTTACGAATAAACAACGCGACAAATCCCAAATAATTGCCGTACCATCTCGTGAACCAGAAACAATAACATTATACGCGGGGCTTGATGACAAACATGTAACAGCATCAGTGTGTCCATAAAGACATTGTTTTATCGACAATTGTCTTCTCGCGTACTCCCACACTGTCACCACCTGAAACAAAAAAATAATTTTTGATATTATATTATTTTTTCAAAACTAAATATTTTTAAAATGGAAAAATTATTTTTTCAGAATATTTTCAAAAATACATACAGAACTTGTGCCAGCGGTAACTATAAGTTTTGACGATGGACAAACGCAGGCAACAATTTCACCGCTACTTTGCATCATTGTTTCACATACAAATATTGCTTTATCACTATCGTAATTCCCTATTCTAAGTGAATGATCCGCAAAGCCCCATGCAACATATTTATTATACGAAGGTGGAATCAGTGTTTTATTTTGTTCAACCGCCAACACAGCCTTGTCCACGTGAAGAATTTGTCCCACAGGACTTTTCAGTTCTAAAAAATAAAAATAATATTTTAAGAGCATTTGAACCTTCGTGACGTCACAAATCATGGTGCATGACACGCAAACTTCTCAGGTATGTGAAAAGCACAATTTTGAATATTTTTTAAAAAAACCTTTTGGAAAATGTTCAGAATAACATGGACTCTGTCTGTTATGTGCGGAAAATTCAAAATTTTGCGTTTAAAACGTTTTTTAAAAAATGTTTAAGTTGGTTGTCACAAGTAAGGAAAAATATACGAATTGCTTATATGTAGGCCATTTTTGGAAAGATCACGATAAATTAATTTTATTATAAATAATAATTAAAATTGTTTATTACTAATTAAACAATAAATTGTTGTTGTTTATTTACTTTTTTCAAAAAGCACATATAAAAAAGCATTTTTTTGACAGCTTTCTAAATTATTCATCTCAATTTTATAAAAAATAAAGGCCAAAAAACCAATTTATTTTTCAATTTTTCAACTAAATAATTATTGTTTTTTATTTAAAAACTTGAAAAATGATTGAATTTTCAACCTTTTTTACAACATTGAGATGAATAATTTAAAAAATTCTCAGAAAATTGCTTTTTTATATGTGCTTTTTGAAAAACGTACATAAATCAAAAAAACAATAATTATTTATTTAAAAAATTGAACATAATTGGATTTTCAACCTTTTGTACAACATTGAGATGAGTAATTTTAAAAATTCTAAAAAACATGCTATTTAATATTTTCTCCTTTGAAAAAAAAAATAAAAAACAATAATTAATTATTTGAAAAATTGAAATACAATTTGAAATTTAATCTCTTCTTTTACAATATTGAGAACAGCAATTTAAAAAATTGTGAAAAAATTGCTTTTTTATATGTACTTTTTGAAAAATTTATATGAAAAACAATAATTATTTATTTAAAAAATTGAAGAATAATCTGCTTTTTAGCCATTATTTTTTACAACATTGAGATAAGTAATTTGAAAAATTCTCCAAAAACTGCTTTTTTAAAAGTGCTTGTTGAAAAATGCAATTTATATGTGTTTTTTTAATACAAAAGAATAATTATTGATTTAAAAAATTGAAAACTAATTCAATTTTTAAATATTACGTTTCACAATTTTTATATTGGTAAATTTCAAAATTAGGATAAAACTGCATTTTTGTATGTTTTTTTAAAAAAAAAGTAAATAAACAACAACAATTTATTGTTTAATTAGTAATAAACAATTTTAATTATTATTATTATTATTTATAATAAAATTGATTTAAATATTTGATAAATTACATAAGAATATTCGAATTTTTATCCTGGTCTTTCCAAAAATGGCCTACATATAAGCAATTCGTATATTTTTCCTTACTTGTGACTAAATCTTACTTGCTCTTAAATCGCAATTTTCAGAGAATTTTTTACACATTCTTTTTTTTTTAAATTTACCTTTGATTGGCTGAAGAGATGGTTTCAGATTATCAAGATTGTGGAAAAATAATCTATCGGATGTTGTGATGCTAAGACCAGGAGTAATTGGACCAGGATCAATGACACTTGTTCTCTGATTCATTTTCTTGGCAGGATGAGGTTTCTTAAAAAGTTGCTTTGGAATTTGTCCAAAATTATTGATGAAACCAATTGTTGCATTCTTCTTCAATGGATCATCAATGCTGAAAATTAAGATGAATTCAAAAAATATTTTTTTCATAAATTTTACAAATTGACTCCAAATTATAAAAACTCACTTATAAATATCAACGTTTCCCTCATAAAAAAGATGATGGAAGACGTTAACAGCTTCAACAGCACCCGTTCCATTTTGTTTACATCCAAAAATTAAATCAATCCAATGATGAAGATGCTGTGAAACATAATCGCATTCCAATGCCAAACGATGACAACGAATAAATTCCCGTGGATCTTGTTTAGCCCACGGTGGAAGAACAATATCACCAAGTTGAACGCCACTTTGTTTTGAGCCCAAATCAAAATGATTTGAATTAATAAGAAATTCAGGTAAATAAAAAAATTCCGGTATTAATTCCTTAACATCGGCCATATTATGTTTTGATGCCGATAACCATGAATCTTTAACACTATTAAACATTCGATCAGCAAGATCAAAATGTCCACCTTGTAAACGAAGAAAATGTTGCGTGAATGGCTCCATTCTCACTAAATATGAGCAAACAATCATTGCCGATGAATAATGAGTTCCATAATGATAAGGTGGTGTTTCACCATGTGGATCATCCCATTCTTTATAGCGTTTTTTAAATTGTAAAAGACGATCCTGACTTTGTGCACCCATTGGTTTGGCAAAATCGCGAAATGTCGCTGGATCCATTAAATCCAATTCCTCGCTATCATAATCGGCAAGAATCCAAGGAAATATTGGATATTGCATTAAATCATTATAACTTCTTCCCGCCAATGTATTGAGATGCATTAAATATTGAAAATTTGAAATTTCACCTCTCACCCAACGTTGTGTCACTGATGTTTCACCAATTAGATTTGACAATAATCCAGTTGCTTGTTCAACATTAGCCGTTCTTTTTTGACCAGCGACTGATTGTTGTGCACTATCAGCAATGGCAGTGGCAAATGTCATGAATTTTTGATAAACTTTATTGCGTACTTTACGTGGAAATGCAAGAAGATAATTTCTTCCATCACCGCTAAACACCTCAAGTGCCATTGGTTGCAAAAGATAACGTCGTTTATGAACCTCGCGTATATCCTCGTAAGTGAATTTTGAACATTGTCGCATTGCACGCGATCGTCTCGGTGAACCGGGCGATGGTAAAATTGGCTCATAAGCCTCGGGTACACTTTCAATATCACGAATTTCACGTGATTTGAGAATTGTAAAACCATCAATCACATAAAAATGCTCCTTACCAAAAAGTAAAAGCCCCTCAGTGGTGTCAAGGCCCTGAATTCTTGCCACACGAAACATGTGACTTATTTTCTCATGCTCAACAAGTAATCGAAGTAGAGTTTGATTGTCGGGTACAGTTTGATTATTGTCCTCCTCGGGTTCATTATCCTCGGGCGCTTCATCTGGTTCACTTGCATGTCTCTCAAGTGTACATGGTACCATTGGCGGTTCACTTTCCGTAGACATTTCATTCATATTCAATGGAGTATCATCAATCACAGGATCTCTTTCTCTCTCAAACATACCCGAAGAATTGCCAAGTTGCTTAAGATAATAGTCCTTACTATCAATACTAGTTGCAACTTTATATTTCAATTGTTTATTATCAGGATGCTCGAGTTCCGGACGATATGGATAGTGAATATAAAAAAGATCATTTTTCATCATTTTTTTTCTCATTCGACATGGCCCCTCGGTCATATCAAGCATCCATTTATCAAGAATTGTTGGCGTTGGCGGTCCCCAAAGTCCACGCTCTCGTGTTAATTCCGTTTCAGTTTGTAACCATTCCTGATAAACATAACGTTGTGTATGCTGATATGTTTGTTGTTGTTGAAGTTTTTTTGCTGCCACAAGTTCACGAACAAGTCCAACATGTTGCTCCGTCCATTGTGCAACTGTACTCTGATGTAATCTCAATCGCACGCGAATCGATTCTTCTTTACGGACCTGAAAAAAAATTTTTTATTTAAAAATCTTTAACATATTAAGAATATAAATAAACAGACCTTTGTTCTACTCGCAAGTCTCGTGAGTCCTCCAGTGACTTTTTGAATTTTTGACTGTATCTGATTGTGCAATTCCCATGGAACACGATACGATGCTTTTCTCTCGAGTACAACATAATTAAGCCATAATCTCGTTGCAGCTTCATGTACCTGATCTCTAACAATTGACAATTCTGGTGCACGTTCATTTCCAATGGGTGTTGTTAATGTCACTTTAAACACCTCTTCAATTGCTGGTTTTTTACAAACATAAAGTTCCTCCCAAACTCTCGTTGCCGCAACTGTCATTAAATTATGTCCCTGATGTGCCACTAATCGATCATCAATTGATTCAAGTTGTGGATTAACATGCCATGTTGTTTTCATATTTGTATCAAGCATAATTTTAATATCAGCCGTTAATTGTAATAAACAATAAGTGAGACAACCAATAAATTCCAATTCATGATTACCAGCGCCAAAAACTAATACCCGATGTTCTGTTAATTTATGAAGTGCTTGCAATACTGCCATTTGATCTGGTGTTGATTCAGTTGAACGTGATAGAAGAAAAAGAATTATTCGATTTAAACAATGATGAAGCCCCTCCATACTAACAGCACCAGGTCGTCGTTTTGCCTGTCCAATTAATTTAACAATAAAATCAAACACCTCGTGTGGATCCTTTGTCAATGAACCCTGCCATAATTTATCGACAATTCGTGCCGCAACGTAACAAACATTATTAGTAATATTATTTATTGATCCACCAGGAACAACTGGAAGTGCTGCTTGTTCACCAATAAGTACATCAGCCGCCAAAAGATGATCCATTAATATTGATAATATCTCAGTTTGATAAGTAGTTTGCTGTCCAGTTGATGCATGTTCCGGCCATGCCTCCAATACCAAATCAATTGCTGGCGGTGATTTTGCCGTCACTGGCAATGATAATGAATCAACAACAATGACACGCAAAAAATCCATAACAAATTTACGCACCAAATGATTTGTCAAACTAACATCCTTTGATGGTGAACGTACAAGTACTGGTTCCTCATCAGCCGGTGTACTTGCTCCACTACTCTCTTGACTGCAACTCATTGCTTTTGGAAAAAGTGTTGCCGCAAGTCCACCCAATACCTCAGCCGACATAAAAACTTGCATAAAATCCGTTAAATTATGATAAAGAAAAAAGAGAAATTGAATAATTGTCACAGGATAATCATTCAACCAATCAGGCAATGTATCAGGTGAATTTGTATAACGATTCACCATTGTTCGAACCATTGTCAATAGTGTGACAATTGCCTCTGGACAGAGATTAATACGACTAGCGTACGATGATAATGAATGATTTGCCGGAATGCCAAACATAAAATTCCAAACATTGTCAAGATCAAGTGTCGAATCGGCTGGTAAAAGTTTTATCGGTTGACCCATCATTAATGCAATAAAAAGAAAATATAGCTCCGGCACAAGATCCACATGCTGTGGTAATAACCATCCAAGATGCTGAAATCCCGGTACATGAAGACCCGCTGATTTATTCTCACCTCCCGTAACTTGTTGAATACAGCCTAAAAACAAAAAAAAAAAAAAAAAACAAATTAAAAAGAAATTAAAAACAAATTTCACAAAATTAACATTTAAAATATATTTACCAAGAGCCAAAGCGACTTTATTATGATCCGTGTGTCTCAGCCAACCGCCATTACTTGTTCCATCTTTGAATTTTTGTAAAATTGTTTGTACCGAAGAAACGGCGACTAAAATTCTCAAACCCCAAACAACAGTGCTACTATGAAGACCAGACTGAAGGAATAATAAAATCCAATCTAATCCAAGAACTTTTGCAACTTCATCGCACATACTAGAGGGGAAAAAAAACCCCAAATTATTCACAAAATAATTTTTTTATCATTAAATAAATATACCTACTTTGCATTTAATTTGGAACCATTGTACAAAAGTGAATGCAATAATTGTAAACATCGATTTCGAAGAAGAATATTTTCCCCTTCACCTTCTTTTATTCCCTCACCTTCACGTGGTACTAAATGCTTTTCCGAAATTAAAGGCAATGTCGACACTATATACTGTCCAAACCTAATTATTAAAAATAAATAAATTATTAAGATTTTTTCCCCCCAAAAAAAAAGAAAATTAAAAAATTTACCATAAAAGATCGGCTTGTCGTGGCTGACTAAGAAGTATACTAAGCAAAGCCAAAAGCACTTGTCTCGTTGCATTTTGTTTAACTTCACCGAGTATATGTAATAATTTATGAACAAGTTGCAAATCTCTCATTAATCGTAAATTTGTCCGTTTTTCACTAGAGTCTGCAATAAGCTCATATAAATGCTCCAATAATGATCGCAATAATTCACCAGGCGCTTCATGCCAAACCTAAAATTTACAAATAATAAAAAATAATTCCCAAAAAATAAAATAAAATATTCACCTGTAAATCACAGAGAAGATCCTGAAAAGCAGTGACATTTGGAATGGCACTTGTTTCACGTCCACTATCAACAGTTCCAACCAAACTAAATGTCAAATGAAGAATATGACTATTAAGAAGAGGACATTTTCGTCTCAATAACATTGCCAATGTTTGATATCCCCTACGTCGATCCATTTCTTGTTGTGCCGCTTGATTCGATCGTACAACGCAAACTAAAGCTTTAACAGCCGCATAAAGAGACTCCACATCCTGCATCATTGCTATCATTCCTAAATAAAAAAAAAATAATATTCACTTTTGTTATCAAAGTTTGTTTATTTTAAAAAAAAATTAGTATCTGATTCACGCGATAAGAAAGATCAAATTACGATAAAATAATATAAAATTACAACTAAGCTACTAAGAGAACTGTAAATATTATATTTTTAAATTTAGAATTTATCTTGTTAATATTACCTAACAAAACAGAACATCCTCCAACATTATCAATCATAATTGCAACGGGTCGAGGACTAAAAACACGAACACCGAGGTATCCAACAACAACGCCACCCAAACATCTCGCTGGTCCACTCAAATGTCCAGCTGAATTATGCAACACTCTAATTGGAGTTGCATTTTCATGCGAGGACATACCAAGCTAAAATAAAATATTTTTAAATATTTAAAAATTCAATTAAACCTTTTTCTTTTAAATATTTATTAAAAATTACATAAAAAAGAATTAATTTATATATAATTTGGTAAAAAGTGAACAGTTTTTTTTTTTATATTTTCTATAATTAAATTGAATTACCTGTTTGGCAATGGCTTTATTATCGGCTCTTCTGTAAACTTTTCTAATTTTCGCTAATGTTAATTGGGAAACTGCTTTTGCGTTTAAGCCAAAGACAACTTTTTCTTCAGCCACCAAAGGCGAAAGTGGTTCCGGACCTGAAGAATAATTTTCAAACATTCACTTTTTAAATTGATTCACTTATATAGAATGAAACGAAAAATTCTTTTTCTAATTTAGTTTTGAAAAAAAAAATTTACTTTCGAATTAAAGAATTATTATCTATATTAATAAAATCAGACTTTTGTCTGTACATTGCTCCAAATTAATTTTTTCTTGCATAGTTTATCATTTTAAGTAGTAAAGATAACAAATATGCCATAAATAAAAATTCTGTCTGTCGTCAATATTTTGTACCGGCACAACATTAAAACGGCTCAACCGATTGAGGTGAAACTTGGCAGTGTATTCAGTCTTAACGTAACTTAAAATCTTAGCCATATTTGATTAAAAAATATTAACATGAACGAAAGTTATGACATTTTTTCAAAAAATTTAAAAAAATCAAAAAAATGCAAATTTTTTATTTTTTGTCAGATTGTTTTGAAACTATTTGTACCTAATTTTTTCACATAAATACAATCAATTTTTTTATTAAATTAAGTAAATAGTCTGAATTTAAAAGTCTAAATCAAATTTTTGAATTTCCAATTTTTTTAATAACATTGTAATATAAGAATTCGTTATGTTCAACTTTTTATAAGTAAAACAATAATGTTTTTAGTCTGTTGGGTATTAAACGCAATCTTAGCTGCACACCAATGAAAAATATTAATTTAAACAAAAATATGACACTTTCAAAAAATTTAACATTTTTTATTTTTTGATAATTCTTTACTAAACGTTCTTTATTTAAAATTTTGTGACCAATTAAGTATGCTTTTAACAAGAAATTTTAAGAATTTTATCAGAATTTTAAAATTAATAATTGCAAATCTGAATATGAAATCAGATATTGTAAAAATAAAAAATCGAAAATTACTTTTTTACTCTTTGAAATTAGATCCAATTGGATGTAATTATAAATTTCAAAATTTATTAAATCTAAATATTATAACCGTCGAAGACGGGTGCGACAGCTAGTTCTTTATAAAAACTCACCGACAAGTTGTGGAGCTTGTAAACTGCCCATATAATGGGGACCAAGTTTAAATAAAGTTGCAATACTGTGAGGATTAAAAACTTCTTCAACAAGATGACATGGACCTTGTTTCCAAGTTAATCTTGAATATCGACGCCAACATGGTGGCGTTCCAATGTAGCCATAAACAGGTGGAGCAATTGTTAAATTTGCCGCTCCCCCTCCAGGTGTTTGTGAAATATAATGAAGCTTAAATGAAATTTATTTTTCGTTAATAAATTTTACTTTTTTTTTAAAAAATTGATTTTTTTTTTGTATTTAAACTTACTTTTTGACTATAAATTTGTTGTCCATCTAAATATAGGGAAAAACTTGAATTTTTTAATACAGCACGATTAAGAACGATTGCAATGTGATGCCACTGTCCTTCATGAAGCAAATCTGGACACCAAACTCTTGCTCCGCATTCTTCTGTCCCTTCTGGCTCCCATTCGCCAATATCTATAAATAAGATGATTACAGTTAATGAACTGACAAGCCTTTTCATTCAATTGTTAGTCTTCAAAAGAAATTAATTTATATTCTTTTCAGACTGTTGATTGAATTATTATCATGAAATGCGCAACTAAAATGTAATTTCCTTTTTTTCATTTAATTTCTGAATTTTTAATTTATTTCATTTTTTTTTTTTTTTTATTAAATCTCACTTTGGGGCAATGGAGTCTCTTGTGTTGAAACGATAATGGCTTTATCTCTGGCACTCAAAACAGCCGTGAGACAAATCAAGTCCTTTGACGATGAAACACTTCTCACTAGAGTCAATAGTCTCACGCAGTGTGGATCTGTTCTGGGATCACTAAATTTATCGACACAAATCCAGGTACTGTATGTCAATCCCGTTTGCGGCGGGAATGGTCTGTCACCTGAAAAAAAAAAAGTTAGAAAATATTCTGAAAAAAAATAGAAAGATCTTCAACTCACCAGATCCAATTCCACCGACAACGCTGTTATCAGCCGAAACAACTGTGGGTGGCGTTGTACTTTGTGGTGCAACACTTGGCAAATATAAACAAGCAAAACCCTCGGCGCTCATATCAAATTCAACAAATGGCGGTAAAGTACAAGAGCCATGGGCACGAAAATCCTTGGGCGTTGTCATTGATACAAGAGTTTTGATTCGCGTAAGTGGAACTGGACCACCACGCGGTTTATTTGGATCAATATCATCCAACGATATGCAACACAATGGATCACCTAATCGAAGAAATTCCCTTAAATCCCGAGGTTCTAATGCTTGAGCCGCGAGTCGTTCAATAATATATTGCAATGGTTGATGTAAAGGATGTGTCTCATCCTGTAATGCCATACGTCCCATTGTCAATAATTCACCAGCCATTCCAGCCTCGCACATTATTTGTTGATTTCTTTCGGAGCGTACCAAACTCTTAATAACTTCAGCCACATACAATTGTAATGCAAGTGCAATTTCAGGCTGTGATTCATTAATTATCGATGGCAAAAGATGTAACATTCCAATAACAATTCCCGGATGAACGACAATTGGCTCAGGCGTTGGTGGACTTAAATTCAATGAATTTGCTGTACTACGTTTTGCCGCAAGCGGTGAATCAACATATTTTGGATGTTCAATGCTACTTTGTCGATGACTAGGCGATCGCATTCCAACACCAGCTAAATTTGGCTTATCAAAAGCATCAAGAGCAACATCATAAAGAAGACGAAGCAATAGACAGGCGTAGCCGAGTTTTTGTGGAATTTCACTTGGAAATATTGGCTCCAATGTACTTCCAGTAAATAATGCAAGGAGAATATTATGATAATTATGAGTTGTTGCAACATCAGTTTCAAAAAGTCTCGTTCTTGTTGTATAACATCCCAATAATCTTAATGTATCACATAAACTTGATTGACAAATTTCATGATGAAAAAATTTTGCATTTGCCGGCTCAAAACGCATGGCAGTACTTATTGTATGAAAAACAACATGCAACAATGTAAGTAATTGTGATTCATCTTGACTGCTTCGCTGAATTATTGTCTCTTCATTGATGCCAAGTTGTCCTTCCAATGATACAAGAACCGACATTACGTATACAAATCCACCGACTTTACGAAAAACTGTTCTTGTACGATGTGATTCACGAAGACAAGCCAACAAAGACTGAAAAATTAAATTTATTAATATTTTTTTAGAAAATTTTAAAATTGAATTTTTTTTTGAGATTTTCACCTTTAAAATGTGTGTTTTCAATACAAGAGCAGAAGGAGGCGCTGAATGCATAACGCCAAGTAATGTGGCCATATCATCATCACCGCCAGCCGTGAGAATTAATTCGCGAACAATTCCAAGGGCTTGATAACGACAATCAGTGTAGGGTACAAGATTGTGAGCGCATCGAGCACCACTGCATTCACGAAAAACATTTGCATTTTGAACATTGCCTGCCAATAATGTTGTCAGTGCTTCCATTACCAAGGCACCTAATTTCTCATCATCTGCACTTATTTTATATTCTGCAAAAAGAAAAAAAAAGAAAATATTTGATATCACACAAATATTTAAAAAATGGCTGTTTCTATTTTGCCCGCTCGGGCGAACTAATTCATTTCTTAGAAGGTTTCGTATGAATAAAAACGATAACATTCGGACCATTGTTGTTTTAATAAAAGTTTACTCCAACGTTTCGAAATCTAAATGATTTCCTCTTCAGGGAGTCTATCAAAATTACAATAAATAAATTGTCAAATAAATAAATACAAAAAAAATAATTAAATTAAATACAGTGAAACATCAAAAATAAATACAGTCAATAATTAATAAATAAAATACAATAGAAAGTAAAAAATAAAAAATAAATAAAATAACAATAATAAGTAATAAATTAAATACAAACAATTTAAAATAATCTTACCAAATAAGAAACATATGTCAAGTCATAGAAATAATGGTCAATTGCGGTGTCAAATTAATAAAAACAAAACCACCCTAACGTTGGAGAGAATTTAATTTAATTATTTTTTTTGTATTTATTTATTTGACAATTTATTGTAATTTTGATAGACTCCCTGAAGAGGAAATCATTTAGATTTCGAAACGTTGGAGTAAACTTTTATTAAAACAACAATGGTCCGAATGTTATCGTTTTTATTCATACGAAAGAATATTTCTCGGACGTTAAACTATTTAAATAATTCATTTCTGTTATTTCGCCCGTCGTGGGCGAAATAGATACGACTGTGTGAACTGGCTATTTCGCCCGTTGAAATGAATGTGTTTTAGAAGACGGGCAAAATAAGAAAAATAGATTATTTCGCCCGTTCAAGATAAAATCGAGTATCTGGAAGACGGGCGAGTATATTATTTCGTCCGTGAAATGTTTAAACAAAAACGGGCGAAATAATCAAAATACAATATTTAGCCCGCTAGGTATAAACAGCTGTTGTATATTTCAATTTACAAACTAAAATTATTGTAACTTTTATTTTGCAATTTATGTTAAATATCATATATTTGATAAACAAATTTGATGGTCTCATTAATTTTTTGTGTTTCGATAAAAAAAAAGGGTTTTTTTGATTTCTTTCTCAGCAGAATCATGGTTTTATATATCAATGTGAAATTATACTCCGTATAGTATATTCTTTAAATATTGAAAACGACGGTGCGTTGTTTGAAAATCTATTTGGTATCGAAAGTAGTTCATATGACATTCTTTATTTTGATTGTCTTCAATTTTATTTACTCGTTGAATTTAGAGATGCAAATATACAAAAATTTCAGAAATAGTCGATTTTTGAATTCTTATTTAAATTACAAAATTAAAATCCACAATTTTTATTACCAAAGTTTAATAAACAAAATTTAAAAAAAATTTTTTTTCATTTTTCATGAAAAAAATTTTTTAAAATGATTTTTTCAATTTTTAAGAAAAAATTTTTTGCAATTTTTTCGTCAACAATTTTTAAAAGAAAAATTTATAAAAAATATTAAAAAATATTATTAATTATTTGAAAAAATATTAATATTTTTAAATCGATGACGATCAATTTTAATTGTTTTCAACTTCAACATCGTAATTTTAATTAGTTAAATTTAATAATTATAATTTATAATTTTAATATTAGATTAATTTTTTTATAATTTTAATTATATTTATTTACCATTACTATAAAATATTAAATTTTTTTAATTATTTAATAAGAGTAATTAATACCTCTATAAATATATTAATTTTTTTTTCAATACAATTTCTTAGATAAAATAATTATTATTCTTTAAAGTTACGTCTCAAAAACGTGTAAAATAAATATTTGAAAAATCTTCAAGTTAATAATTATACAAACAAATTTTATGTTACAAATATTCTCAAAACTTTAATTAATAAAATTTTTTGAAAAAAAATAGAAAATAATTAAGTATTAATTTTAAGAATTTAAAGAATTTTTAAGAACTTTTTTTTAATTTAAATTTCTTCTATTTTATTAAACCAAATACTCCAAAAGATATAAATAAATAATATTAGACCTATACTCAGACGTCTTTTTTCTATCCATCTTATTTGTTATATTTAAAAAAAGTAAAATTATTTTTTCTCATTATCTAAAAAACAGCTGTCTATACTTAACGGACGAAATAATATACTCGCTCGTCTTCCAGATACTCGATTTTATCTTGAACGGGCGAAATAATCTATTTTTCTTATTTTGCCCGTCTTCTAAAACACATTCATTTCGACGGGCGAAATAGCCACTCCGTTAAAAAATACTCACCCGAACCCTCATCATGAGCAGCCTGTTTATCTTTCAAAAGAGTAGCGTATCGATGTAGACAAGTAACAAAAACTTCCAAAAGACCAACTTCTCTGTATACATCCTTAAATATTGTATTGTGCCTGCAAAAATTTATTTATATATTTATTAAATTCCAACTATTTATAATAATTGTATTATTTTAGAATATAAAGTGAATTTTACCTGAGAATATTGATAAGAGTTTCCATGCACATAATACTGCAACTAATGGAATTATTTGTTTTTAATAATATCGAGAGGGATATGAGTTCCTTGCAAGGCACGAAATTTAATTGAAAAACAATGAATTCCAAAAGTTGAAAGAACTTTTCTTGAATTTCGAGATTCTTCAAATGTATCTTCTCAGCGAATTGTGACAATGTATTTTGTCCCTCGAGGATAAAATAATTCGCATTGTCACTATGATATACACTTGAGATCGCATCAAGTATCGTGCAACACAAAAGAGGTGAATTAGATTTTACAAATACTGATTGAAGTACCTGAAATGCTTGAATGTTACGGACACTCCCACCTGAAAAAAATTTTTTTTAAAAATAATTTAAATACTAAAAATGTACAAAAGTTTCTTGAAAATTAACTTTCTATAAACGAATATAAAGATATTTGATTATATATTTCTCACAGAAATCGATTTTACTTTTAAATAGAGCGTGATAAAAATATTTGTAATAGTACAAAAATATTTACAAATTGTAATCAACTAATCGATTAATGGAAATCAATTTTCAATGCTTAAATTTGTTAACTTTTTTTTTAAAAATATTTTCCCTTGGAAAAATAAAGTGAATTACCTCTATTGCTTGGCTGTGGCAAAGTGAAGCCGAACATTTGAAAAAGAGAACCCATACTCGCTTGACTGGGTTTCAACTCTGTGTGTCCACACATTGTCAATGATGCAAGCATTAATACTAAATTTCTAATTGCATCTTGCGCTTCCGCTCTATTGTCTTGTTCTAATCTCGAGGGTGCGTGTCTGAATTAGAAAAAAAAATTTAATTAATCCACACTCAAAGGAAATGATAAATTAAATAAGAAAAATAAAAAAATCAATTAACAAATAAAACAATAAATGGGAAAAAAAAAATTATTGATAATACAATTTTTTGATTACTAACTTTAAAAGAAACTCGGACAAGAAGATGTAACCCTGACAAGCACGGAAATCGTCTAAAAGCATTTGTGAAACTTCGCTCGAGTCTTTTAGAAAGCAAAAAACTGTGACAAACATTTCAACCACTTCCAATGGTGCCAATTCCGGTACGCGTTGCATATTATCAATACAGAGGGCTATACAACCTTTATCTGAAATAGAAAAAGTATTATTCCATTTACAGAACAAAAAAAAGTTTTAATTTATTTTATTTATTTCTTAATCGAAAAATTAGTAATTTAAATAATACAAACGCTTACTGTGAATGTAGGAAACGACATTTTGTGTGAGGCCGTGTCTTGATAATGTCATAAGTACTTCAGCAGCGCTTTTTCGCCACATGACATTATACTGAGGACATAAACTTGTAATCGCTGAAAAAAGTAACGTTAAATCATCTTTTCTTGCAAGTTCCTCCGCTGGATATGGATGACTGCAAAGTCTCACTAATAACTGAAAAAGAAATTCATTTTTTCTCAAATTAAATAAATTTTTTTTTTATTATTTCTTTTTTTAATTAGAAAAATTTATAAGAAATTGCGTGGTAAAAGAAAAATTGTTAGCTATTTTCTTACCTGAACGAATATTTTTTGTAGTAATATTCTTCGTTCTCTTGGCGTAAATTCACTGTTTGCATCGGCAACATCGGCTTCTTCTTCACTCATTTCAGGCAAATCAAAAAATAAATAGAGACATTTCACTAAAGTTGATGGTATTGACGCAGTTGTCATTGCCTAATAAAATTAAAATTAAATTATTAATTATTTTATTTCAATAATTAATAAATTGAAAAATTAATTTTCTACCTGTATTAATGATGTATCGCCAGCTGCTAATAAATTTAATGCTGAAAGTAACATCCATCCATTGCTTGACTCTTCGCTATTTTCAATTTCAAGAAATTTAACAATAGCACAACTCGCCGTCTCTGTACTTTGGTTACTTGCTCGTCGTCGAATTTCTGATACCATAAGTTTTGATACTTGTTGAGTGAATGGCAAAATATCCCAAAATTTCTCATTCATATCGCCAGAAGGACTAGATCCAAATACCTAAATAAATTCACAAATGTATTTTTAAAATTTGAATTTTTAAATTAATATAATTAACTTTTTTACAAGGGAGAATAAAAAGGTAAAATATTATAGCCGATAAAATAAAAATTAAATTCTCAGCTAGAAGACACTAAAGTGCAAAAGATCTTTTTCAGTGTGTAGTCTGATACTAACTGTGGTATATGTGTTGGAAAATAAGTTATGGCTATGTAATTGAATACCAAGGGGTGTCTTGGGCCATCAAGTTTCATTCACAAATCCCAATAAATCAGGATAAAAAAAAAAGAAACATCTCACAAATTACAGTTGGGACATTTTTTTTTATCATTTTTCAAAAACCAAACATGAAAATTACATTTATCTAAAAGTACTTTTTTTTCCTTCATATTTAAATAATTTTATTTTAACAGAAATTTTTTTTGTTAAAAGAGAATTCAAAAAAGAATTTCAATTATTGTTATTATTTTTTTTTTTTTTTATCCTAAAGGACAATGTACCTTGCAAAAAAGTGGTAACATGTTGTAAAGTTTGTCATCACGTTCAGAATCAGAAAGATTGTGAGGAAGATGATTATATTCCATAAAGAGTTTTTTAAGATGCATGAGACCAAGTGCAGTGTGCTGAGGATTCGCTCCACCTGAGCAATCATCCAAATTTCCACTACCTGTCGAACCCATCACGCTAACACTTGCACTTACGCGCAATTTACGCATTATATTCATTCTCCCTGATGTGCTGCAAAAAAAAAAATCACTTTAACTAATTGAAAAATTACTAATAAAGAATTTTAAATTTTATTAATTTATCATTAAATTTAATTTATTAAAAATAAAAAAAAATCTATAAAAAAAAAATATTTAAAATAGTACCTAATAAATAAAAATTAATTTATTAGAATTAAAACTAATTAAATATTTAAATTAATTAATAATATCTTATTAGTGATGTATCCAAATAAATTAATAAATTAAATATAATATTTTTATAGTAAGTTATAATATTTTTTTTGTCAAATTTCAATTAAATATTAAAAAAAAAAATTTCCAAATATATTCCTTCGCAAATTTCTAAGGACTATTTAACGAATCGTGGTTTTTCCTATAGGACAATACAAAGTTGTGGCATAATAGTGGGTCATTATTTAAGTATGCAAAGTAACTACACGTTCAGGTTAAACGAGTTTAATGTTCTAGTTTCGGTGTACAATAAAAAGAGATAACACTTACAAAGAAAAGTGACAAAAAGTAGAGGAAAAAATAGAAAAATACTATAAACAATGTTTATGATTTAAAAATTAAATTACTATATTCTCTATAAAATTAATCTTCATTAAAATTTTTCCCCAAAAAAAGAAAAAGAGGAATTCGATTTTTTTTTCACGATATTATTATTTCCTGGTAAAATTGATTTCGTGTATAGAATACAAAATAAAAGACATAACAAGAGAATATGTAAATGAATACGCTAATGAATATTTAAATAATAGTCATGGAAAAAAAATTTTAATCGAGAAATACGAGAAATGAATGATTATAAATTACTAAGTTTTATTTCTAAATTAGAAAAAAAAAAGAATAATTTTAAACAAATCAATTCAACCATCTGGACTAATCAAAGTTAGATAGTTTCTCACATATATATATATATCTACATTGTCACATCAAGGCTATAAATTGATAGAGAAAACAAAAACACTAAATTAATACAAATTAATGTAAATCGTGAATAATCAATAATAAATTAAAAAAAATTTCCAAGGATTTTAATTATCACGATTAAATATATATGCTTACGAAAATAAGATGATTAAATCAGCAGATTGTGAAAAAACGTAGTAAAATGGTTCTTGTAAATTATTTTCATTGTTATCGTAATGTGGTAAAGTGTCAGTCAAGTAATTTGAGATTGTCAATTATTTTTTGTTCAGGATATAATTAAACACATTTTTATTCAATATTTACTTCCACCTTCTGTCAAATTTTTGTATGAAATGTCACACACATACACACACTGGCGCTTTAAATTGCGTTCGGAAACCGCCCACATTTTACGTTAATAACAATAACGTATAAATTACACATGCTACACAAAACATCACTTGGATTATTCAACATTACCTTTGAGAATTTGCTAAATGAAAAAGTTCTACATTTTCTTGGAGAAAATGAATTTTTCGTCAGGAACATTTAATATTTTAGTGGCAGTAGCCATTTTGACATTTGACGTCTCGTACGGCCCGCACGCCATGCGATACGTCGATACTGATCACGTGATCGCGCTAGTGGCGTCTGCTGTGAAAATTGTGGGAAAATTTGAATTATAATTTTATTATTAAAATAAAAAATTTCAATAATATTTAATTTATTTTTTTTATTTAAATATAATAAATTAAAAAAAAAGAAACATTTTACACAATTGAATAAACAAAATTGAGTATTTATTAAAAAAGTAGATTAAGAATTGATAACAATTACATTTTTATAATCTTTAAAACTGAAAATATTAATTTTCTTAATATTATTTAATAAAAGATTAGAAAAAAAAAATAATATTTCGTACCTATTGTTAATACAATATTTTGTAATGATTGGAATATCTATTAATTATAAATATGTTAAATATTATTCAAAAATTATTTTTTGGAAATATGAAAATATTTTGTTTGTTTAATAATATAATATTAAATTATCGTTAAATGCAAAAAAATTAAAATTATCGATATTCGAAAATATCGAACTTATTGTTATTATAAAACGATACTTTTATATTTCATTTTAAAATGTATACATTTATTTACAAAAGTGCTGATACGAAGCGTAGTTAAATTTTTTTACAAATTCGAAAGAAAAAAATCCGATATCTTTCTTTGTCCAACTTTCTTTTTATTTGACTGTTCGTTAGCTTCATTTTTAACATTAGACATGTTATTATCCAATTCATCATTAATATTTTCTAATATATTCTCTTCGTTTGAATCTTGTAATTCAGAAATTGGTTTTGAATTTTTATTCAATTTCTTCGAATCTTCATACATTGGCAAATCCCAAAGAGAGAGTTTTTTTTTATTTGTAGACTCAGTTGTCTCGTTAGAATTTTGTTTTTTAACAATTTGTTTCTCAACCAAATCATTTGTCGATGTTGATTCAATTTTCTTTATTTGTAATTTTACCCCATCATTCTTACTGCAATTTCCATTATTTAAATCTATTTTTTCCTTCTCTTGTAACGAATTGGTTTTAATTATTTTCAATTTTGCTTCTAAACTTGCATCCGCATTTTCAATCCATTTTCCAATTGCATCATCTTTCATTTTCTCCTTTTGTTCAGGCGACGATGATGAACTATTTTCGCGTTTTCTTTTTTCCGGTGTTTTTACATTTCTCGTTAGTGAATTTATTTTCTTAAAGTAATCAGTAATTGGTTTCATTTTAGATCGGTTATACAAGAAACGATAAAAATCCCGATCGGATCTTGACATTGATTCTTGATATTGAGAAAGTAGAGAGAACAATTGGCCTGTAATAATAAAATAAAATAGAATCATAAAATAAAATAAATAAAACACAAAAATTCATACCAATATCAATGTTTTGCTGAACGAGATGCCAGTACATTTCGGAAACGCTGTCCCTTAATTCAACATCGCCAAACGTAAAGTAAACAACGTTTCGACCCGCAGAAGCCGCTGCCATTAATTGCAATAAAACTTTTAATTGTGGATTACCGTGAAAAACACCACAACCCCAATTTCCGGTCGCTACAGCAGGCACATTATCTCTCTGAGAAATGTTACTCTTAAATCCAACATATGCCTGAAAGACAATTTTTATTTATTATTTTTATTCGAATGTTTTTTTTTTTGTATTTTTATTACAAAAAAAGAAAATTGAAATTATAGAAATAATATTTCTTCGGTTATTAATTTTCGTTTATTACCTTGTTGAGTTCACGAATAACATTGCTCATTTTAAATTGACTGCTTGGTTGCTTAAAAAAGAGGGCATCAATGGCGACAACTGAAGTTTTTCGCCTTCCGCTAATGTCGCGTGGAGTATCGTCAATAAAATCTCCAATCCATTTGAAATTATTACTGTAACCTTCATATTTACTAAATCGCTCAACTCCACTTATGACTAATGCTTCTGTATCGTCCAACACTTCCGTTACCAACATTGTCACTAATAATTCAGGACAAATAACAAAACGAATTTCTTCTTGAACACAACCCCAACCGAGTACACCACCACCAACATACCTGTTACAAAATTTGAAATATGTAAAATAAAATTTATTATTAAATTCCATTAAAATCAAAATTTTTTATTAACTTACATGTTAGCAAAATCCACTTGAAGAAGTCCAGCTCCTTCGGATTCAATTGTTCCATTGCTTGCTATATGTAACAAAGGCAATTTTTGTGACTGTCGATCCCAGCGGGGACAATCTTCTTTTGCAATATATCTTCTTTGTATTGTAATAGTACCTTCGGGAGCTGAAAAAAAAAAAAAAATTATTAAATTTTTTATTTTTTTATTTAAATTTGCAAATTTCTATATCAACCTTTTGTTGTCACTCTTCTGAAATAATGAAAAATACATTTCAATTTTTCTCCCACTGAATTACATTTGTCGTGTCGATTTTCCCTGAACGCTGAGAAGAGTCTGAAAAAAAAATATTTTGTATTAAAATTTTCAATTTTAATTAAATAATTTAATTTACAAATTATGATTTTTTCTTACTTATTAAAATTAATATGCGGATAATTTGCATATTCCGATTGTGGATTTGTGGAATTTCTTCTCGGGAATGTGCATAAAAAAGCATTAGCCAATAAGGAAGCAATTTGCATTTGACTTAAGCTTATTGATGCATTTGTATGTCGTCTTAATAATGGTATTCCACCTGTTATCATTGTTGGTAATTGTAAGGCTAATTCAATTATTTTTGGCAAAAGTCCCGTAAAAAATGCCTCTGCTTCATCCTCGTCAACCATCTTAATAAAATTTTTTCGAAATAAATTATTCTTTCATTATTAAATTTTATAAAAATAAAAATTTTTTTTTTCAATAATAAAATCGTAAAAACCTCAGAAAAAAAATTATGCAAAGCTGAGAAATTCCATCGTTGAGCATATTTATGATTGTAAGAAAAAATTGCCGCCTCCAATTGAAAGCTGGATGTAAAATTTTGTAAAAGCGCTTCTTGAATTATTTCCCATCGACATCGTAATTCTTTATTTTTGCCATCCTATGAATCAATTATTTTAAAATTGATATAAAAATTTTTGTTCTTTAAAAATAAAAAAAATGAAATTTACCTTCTCTATGGGATACAAACTATGAGTAGAATGGGGCATTCGAACAAAACCGGTACACCATTTTTCTACAGCATTTGTTGGATATGGTTTCGGAAGTCCATGATCTGGTAATGGCAACTGCAATATAAAAAAAAAATGAACTCATTAATAAAAATTTCTAAATCACAATTATTCGAAATTTAAATTTTATATAAAAAAAAACGGAGTGGCTATTTCGCCCGTCGCGGGCGAACTAATTCATTTCTGTTATTTCGCCCGTCGCGGGCGAAATAGATACGACTGTGTGAACTGGCTATTTCGCCCGTCGAAATGAATGTGTTTTAGAAGACGGGCAAAATAAGAAAAATAGATTATTTCGCCCGTTCAAGATAAAATCGAGTATCTGGAAGACGGGCGAGTATATTATTTCGTCCGTTAAGTATAGACAGCTGTTTTTTAGATAATGAGAAAAAATAATTTTACTTTTTTTAAATATAACAAATAAGATGGATAGAAAAAAGACGTCTGAGTATAGGTCTAATATTATTTATTTATATCTTTTGGAGTATTTGGTTTAATAAAATAGAAGAAATTTAAATTAAAAAAAAGTTCTTAAAAATTCTTTAAATTCTTAAAATTAATACTTAATTATTTTCTATTTTTTTTCAAAAAATTTTATTAATTAAAGTTTTGAGAATATTTGTAACATAAAATTTGTTTGTATAATTATTAACTTGAAGATTTTTCAAATATTTATTTTACACGTTTTTGAGACGTAACTTTAAAGAATAATAATTATTTTATCTAAGAAATTGTATTGAAAAAAAAATTAATATATTTATAGAGGTATTAATTACTCTTATTAAATAATTAAAAAAATTTAATATTTTATAGTAATGGTAAATAAATATAATTAAAATTATAAAAAAATTAATCTAATATTAAAATTATAAATTATAATTATTAAATTTAACTAATTAAAATTACGATGTTGAAGTTGAAAACAATTAAAATTGATCGTCATCGATTTAAAAATATTAATATTTTTTCAAATAATTAATAATATTTTTTAATATTTTTTATAAATTTTTCTTTTAAAAATTGTTGACGAAAAAATTGCAAAAAATTTTTTCTTAAAAATTGAAAAAATCATTTTAAAAAATTTTTTTCATGAAAAATGAAAAAAAATTTTTTTTAAATTTTGTTTATTAAACTTTGGTAATAAAAATTGTGGATTTTAATTTTGTAATTTAAATAAGAATTCAAAAATCGACTATTTCTGAAATTTTTGTATATTTGCATCTCTAAATTCAACGAGTAAATAAAATTGAAGACAATCAAAATAAAGAATGTCATATGAACTACTTTCGATACCAAATAGATTTTCAAACAACGCACCGTCGTTTTCAATATTTAAAGAATATACTATACGGAGTATAATTTCACATTGATATATAAAACCATGATTCTGCTGAGAAAGAAATCAAAAAAACCCTTTTTTTTTATCGAAACACAAAAAATTAATGAGACCATCAAATTTGTTTATCAAATATATGATATTTAACATAAATTGCAAAATAAAAGTTAAAATAATTTTAGTTTGTAAATTGAAATATACAACAGCTGTTTATACCTAGCGGGCTAAATATTGTATTTTGATTATTTCGCCCGTTTTTGTTTAAACATTTCACGGACGAAATAATATACTCGCTCGTCTTCCAGATACTCGATTTTATCTTGAACGGGCGAAATAATCTATTTTTCTTATTTTGCCCGTTTTCTAAAACACATTCATTTCGACGGGCGAAATAGCCAGTTCACACAGTCGTATCTATTTCGCCCGCGACGGGCGAAATAACAGAAATGAATTAGTTCGCCCGAGCGGGCGAAATAGAAACAGCCAAAAAAAAATGTAAAAAGAAACTTACTGCAAATAATACAGTATGTGATATTGAAGAATGTATTTGGGGTAATTCTTGAAATTCAAATGGTCCTCGACCTTTGTAAATTTCATCGAGACTAACTCCTTTCCATTCGGGTGAAGAATTTAAAGATTTTGATTCGTTAGAAACTACTTCCTCTTTTTCTTCATTAAAAGAAAAAGCATTAGACACATTTAATCCAGGATCCGAGTCAGAAAACATATCTGGAGATGAAATCTCCTCATCCAAATTTAATTTATCCGACATTTTTTATGTTCTTGGTTCTACAATGTAAAAATTAGTATTTATTATTTAAGAATTTGGAAATATTTCCTAAAACAAAATATTAAATATTGACAATAACAATTTGATCAATTTTTCTCTTTTTTTTAGTATTTATAAAATAAAAATCGGGTTAAAAGGCATATTTTACATTATCAAATTATAAATATTAATGTAATTATTGACTGATGTTTATTTATATATGATTTTTGTTTGCTAAATTTGTAGGTTAGGTTGTCAAGAATTAGTAATTTACCTTTGAATCACTTCACTAATACTGTTGCATTAATTAAAAACGTAATTGAAAAAATGTATCTTTCATTTTTTTTAAATAATGATTATTTAAAACGTTTATTCACTTGGAATTAATAAATGTCCAAAATTGATCAAAAAAATTTTATTATTCGTTTCAAGCACGAATTGTCAAAAAGTTTAAAAGTATATTCCACAGATGGCGTAATTTTCATTTTGAAATTCCCGCCTTATTTTTCAAATATTAGGGCGCACTCACACCTTTTGGCTGCCTGCCTGCCTGCAGGAGTTGTCATGGCAACGTGAAGGAGTAACAGAGATAGTAAATTCAAATTTGAATTTTCTCTCTCTGTTACTCCTACACGTTGCCATGACAACTCCTGCAGGCAGGCAGGCAGCCAAAAGGTGTGAGTGCGCCCTTAATATAATTTTTATTCGTCAAATAATTTCGAAAAATTAAAACTTTTGCAAATTTCTGAATTTTTATTTCATTTTAATTGAAAAAAAAAATAAATAAAAAATAAAATTTACTATATTTATTCACTAATTATAGAGATTTAAATCAATAATACTAAAACTAATACAATTACAAAATTCTTGTTTACTCGATATACAAGAATTAAAATGTTTTAATTGCAATGCTTACAAAATCCAGGAATTTATGATCTATAATTCAAGCAATCTACAATAAATAAAAAAAAAATAACTTGTCACTAAAAATAAATACTATATGACAATGCATTATCGTCAAATGATAAATTCCTCCCATAAATCAATCATATAATCAGCTTCTTTGCCTATATATAAATGAGAGAAGATTCAACGTCGACAAAAAAAGTTTTGATTACAAACCAAAAATGTCCAATAAAATTCAAATTAATTCATTAAAATTGCAAATTAATAATAAAACAAGTTACAATTTTTCTTGTGATAAAATTTTAAAAATTTTATCTAAAGGTGAAATTAAATTATTGTACGAAGAAATATTTCGTGAACGACCGGAAATTATTGAATATTCAATACAACCGTTTTGTGATGAGAAACTTGGTTTTCTTGGTTCACATCTAAAACTTGAATTAATTGGAAGAACAAAAAAATCTCAACAAATCAAGAAACAATCATTTTTCATGAAGATCATTCCATATCAACTACCATCGCAGGCAAATTTTATTCAGGAAAGTCAAATTTTTGCTAAAGAAATAATTTTTTTCGAAAACATTGTTCCCGAATTGAATAGAAATTATTTTGGTGAAAAATGGTCACCAATATGTTATTTAATAAAAGATGATGCTCTTATTTTTGAAAATTTAAAAGAAAAAGGTTTTCAAATGATACCAGATAAAATTTTTGACAAAGAATTAATGACCTCTGCTTTAACATCAATTGCACATTTACATGCAGCCTCAATAATTGCTGAAAATCGATTAAAACAATCGTTTAACATAATATTCCCAGAAGCTTTTGAAGAAAATCCATTTGACAATTCTGTAAAACGTTTACAATGGTTTCAAACTGCAATTGATTTTACAATATATCTCGCCGATAAATTGAATTTAAAAACAGAAAATATTTTTCATGCTTGTAGAAAATCATGTGACGGTTTTAAACCATCATTAACGAAACGTAATGTCATTAGTCATGGCGATTTATGGGGTAATAATTTATTATTCAATGAAACAAAGAATAAATGTGTTCTCGTTGATTTTCAATTATTACGATATTCATCACTTGCACATGATGTCACTCAACTTTTCTATTTATGCACAACACGTGAATTTCGTCAAAAATATGAAGAAGAATTGATAAAACATTATTTTACAGTATTGACATGTGCCTTACTTGAAAATAATGCCGAGACTGAAATTCCCACGTGGAAAGAAATTAACGATGGAGTCGAAGAGCAAAGACTATGTGGAATTGTGACAGCAGCAATATTCTTTCCAACTGTATTAATGGATGGTAAAAGTGGTGCTGAAATTTTTGACAATCCAGAAAATTATGATAAATATGTATTTCACGATCGAAAAGAATTTGTATTTTCAATAATGCAAAAAGATCCCCATTATGCACGAAGAATCAAAGAAGTTGTTGAGGAACTTGTTGAATTTGCCGAAAAACTGGAATATCTTCCGCATCCATCTTAAAATACATAAATTTTTTTTTTTCATTCTGAAAATTTAATTCAACAAATTTAAATTGTAATGTGTAAAAATAAGATATTAAAAAATAATTAAATTTAAAAAGGGATTCAAACCATTTTTTTCGAAACTAAATAAAAAAAATGAGAGAATACCTTTTTTTAGAAAATCACTTGAAGAAATAATTGTGTAAATATAATTATATTAAAGTGTTTGAAAATTCGTACACTATGTAAAAAAAAAAAGAAGAGCCAACAACGTAGGCAAAATACGATTTTCAAATAAATAAGCGTAGAATTTTAAACTTTATTTTTTTTAGATTCCTTTTCGATTGCTCGTTCTTTTGCCTTCTGATAAAGAGAGACAAGTTTTCCATCTTTGGCAAGTGCTTTCAATAATTCCATGATTAAAGGAAGATAATTGTGTTTTCGTCGAATATTTTCAATTTGATATCGTTTCAATTTTCTCACTTCCTCTTCAATTAATTCCTGTAGACGTGCTACTTCAGTTGGATCACCACATTTTGCCTTTTCACGTTCATATAACATTTTTCTATCCGAAACCACTGCCATTAGATTAAAATGTATTTCGCCCTCGTTATATCTTTAAAAAATATTAATAAAATTATTAATTTTGATAATTAAAATGTAAATTTTTTTTAAATTTAAATAACTTACTTATTTATCCTTTTTTGAATAATTGGTTTCGCAGCTTGTACCCATTGATCACCAGATGGACATGGACCTAAATCCATAGGACCTTCTTTCAATCCATCCAATTCATAAAGTCGTCCATCAATAGGTAAATAGCTTACAAAATGAAATACGTCTTCATCTTTTCCTGATAATTTTGAATCATATTCAAAAAGTGTTTGTCTATAAAACAATTATTATTTATTACTATTTCGAAAATTACGATAAAATTTAATTCTTTTGTAAAATAATTTTCATACCTGGCAAATGAATTATGAACTTGTCTAATGACATCTGAATTACTCAATGCTAAACCACGCATATTAGCGTCAAAACTTTGACAAAAATTTTTAAATTCCTCTAAATTTGGTCCCAAGGCAACATCTTGATGTTTACAATTAAGTAAAACACTGAGAATCGCTTGAGTCGCACAAGCATTATTTATAACCTGCAAAAAAAAACAAAATTGTCTTAATAGTACTCTAAATTTATTATTTAAGGGTACTCACCTGTTTTGCGAAAAAAATTTTATCAAGTCGACTGTCTTGTACCAATGTTCCTAATGGTTCATCATCGTGAACCCATTTAAATAAAAATATTAAACCGTGAACAGGTCTGAAAGAATATTCTTTTTGTTAAAAAAAAAAAAAAATTCATAATTATTACTATTAATATAATAAAGTCTAATTAACAACATTTTTCATTTACTTATCAATTTTTTAATAAAATAAAATATTTACTTGAGATTTTCAAACTGATCCTCGTCTAAACTCCACAATTCTTCGACTTGTAAACCTTGAACGCCTATAAAAATTTAAATAACATGTACCTATTTCTATTTAAAAGAAAGACTTTTGAATCCAAACACAAAAAATGCATAGTAATCGTTAGATTTACCAAATTCTTTTATTAATTCTGTAAATACGCCAGGATCACTTTCAATGAGACACCAATTTAAAGTTGAATCCGCCATTTCTTTAAAAATTTACTAAATTATTATAATAAATAATTGTATTAATTTGCTACTCTTTAAATTTGCAAGATTGCAAGTGATTATAATATTTTCAAGTTTTAACCTATAAATCTGTCAAAAACAAAGCACCACGCTTATAGATAATATGAAGGTTAGCTCAGGAAGTTGTTCCATACAACTAAAGGTATGTTCACAACGTACTTGCCAAAATTTATTTCTTACTTTTTCTCTATTTTATAATAAATTATATTATATATGGATAGTAAATTTATCGATTTTTCTTTAGAAAATACTGGAAAATGCAAAAGTAAAGTAAAATAAAGTAATTTACATGAACAATACAACCTACTTATAACGACCGTGGTCTCTTCCTATATAATTCAGAGTTGCCAATGACCCTATCTAAACGCTACTGCGATTGCGCTACGACAACTCTCTTATAGGTCGAAAAAAGCGCGCTTAAAATAAAAAGCTTAATAATAAGAAAACTTTAATAAAGCAATATAAAAATATTTTCACTATTGAATTTATTTTTTTTGTTAATTTTATTTCTTCCTAATAAAAAAAATACTAATTTCCTTAATATACTTAAGTATATAATAATAATAATAATAATAATAATTATAATAATAATAATAATTTTATTATATTTATATCATTATTTTTTAAATAAAATATTTATAATTTATTATTATTATCATCAATATAATATTTATTAATTAATTATTATATAATTTATTATTATCATTATTATTATTTTTTTTACGTACTTAAGTATATTAAGGAAATTAGTATTTTTTTTATTAGGAAGCAATATAATTAAGAAAAAAAAATAAATTCAGTAGTGAAAATATTTTTATATTGATTTATTAAAGTTTTGTTATTATTAAGCATTTTATATAAGCGCGCTTTTTTCGACCTATAAGAGAGTTGTCGTAGCGCAAGCGCAGTAGCGTTTAGGTAGGATCATTGGCAATATATTTTGTTTCCGTTCATTGCCGCTAGTCGCGGATATCATTTCCGGTACCAGTACTGATAATTTTGAAAATTTCAAATAAATTAAAAATTTTATAAAATTTGTTTAAATATGAACATTAGAATTAACAATGAAGATGAAGACAAGGTAATACCTATAATATAATATTTAACAATTTAATATAAAATGAAATTTTTCAATTTAATTTTCTTTTCAAATATCTATACATGAAAAAATTCTATATAAATACTTTTTAGAATATTGAATAAAATAATTTAAATAAAAACTTATTAAACTAATTTTAAATAAAAAGGAAAAATTTTCGGGATGTCAAATAAAGAGAAATGAGTTCGTACACTTGTTTCACAGTTTATTATAGGTTATAGATAAATGTAGAATAGTTTAATTACTATTACAACTGTTGATGAAAGATGCTGAAGACTATATTTTTTTTTTTTTTTCTATTTGAATTGTTTTCAATCAGTGCATCGAGTCGTAGAATGATTTTCAAATATTAATATGGAAAATACAACAAAATGCACTGATTATGAAAACATTTCAAAAAGGATGACGATCGGTAGCGTTAGGTGCACAAATCGGTCGGGGTCCGAGAATCGAAACGATAAAGAGACCACGCGCCTATTTTTTTTTTTTTTCATTATTCGTCGTTTAAAATCTGTTCCTCGAGAAAACGACTGTCTCTTTCTTCTTTCTCCTCTTTTTTTTTTTTTTTTTTTTTTTCTTCTTTTGTTCGTTGTAAATATATTCATTTCACAGATAATTACTTGAATGAAATTCCATACGAATAAGGTTTACTATACAACTTTTGTTTAATTTTATTATTTTCTTTTTCTCTTAATAATTAATATATATCGTATAAAATCAATGTCGGTCATAGGCATTAATGACCTTTGCGCTCGTCTAACACTTAGAAATATTCAGATCCGTGGCATATACGTATATGCGTTTTCACGTTTTTAAAAACTTTGATAATCTACACGCCTACGACCATTAAATATTTAAAAAAAATTAAAAAAAAAAAAAAAAAAAAGATGAATTCTTTTAAGTCATTAATTTACTTTTTTGGAGATCCGTATAAACGTAGAAAACGTTGTATGAAAAGTTGAAAAAGGTTTGTTTTTTACCATTTCAGTTTGTTGTGCGGGTCTATTTTTTTTTTTTTTTTTTTTTTTACTTTTTTCTTTTGTTATCGTAGTTAGGCGATATTTTAAATTGATTATCATAAAATTACGCGATAGTTCGTCGTAAGCGATTCTCGTATGGAGAAGTAGCATTTCGAACAAACGCCGAATTTACACAAATGCATCTTCTATATCTAGATATATTTATATATATTTATATCACTTACGCTGCTCGACTTACTTATCTTATTTCAAAAATGTCTTCAGTGGTAAGTGTACTGTTTTATTTTAAAAAAAAAAAATTTTTTTTTTTGTGTTTGTGTGCTTAGAATTCGTCCAATAATTCTTGTTTTGTTTTTTTTTTTTTACGTGTGGGTAATGTGTGTGCGGTAATTTCCTCGTTACGACGTTTAAAATCTTTTCATTTTACAAATTACAAAAAGAAGACAAAGGATCGCAAAAGAAATCACGAACAATATAATCATAGGAAAAATCGCAATGTGAATCGTACTCGATGCATTTAAATGACTTTTTTTTCCATTCGCTCGCGCGCTTTCTCTCTCTCTCTCTCTCTCTCTCTCTCTCTCTCTCTCTCTCTCTCTCTCTCTCTCTCTCTCTCTCTCTCTCTCTCTCTCTCTCTCTCTCTCCTGACAATATAATCAATCACTCACTCATTCTCTCGTTATTCTTTCGTTCTCGACCGATTCTCACCATTTCTTCAACACTTAGATATTTCAAATTTTCTCTCTTCTTTCTATCTCTTACTCTTGCACATTCTTTCTTACATTTACACAAAAAGACCACAAGATTGTATTTTTTTTTTTTGTAAGCTTCTTTTTTTTCATATTATTTTTCTTTGTTAACAGTAATGTAGTAACGGGAGGGTTTTTTTTTTATCGCCCCATTTTGAGTATTTCCCCGCGGAGTAGACGATGAAATTTCTTTTTTTTTTTTTGGGTGAGGGGGGATACATTCCGATCATCACGTCTCTGAAAATTAATCATCGCCTTTGTTCGCTCGCCCGCCACGTAAATGGTCTTCGTTTTTTTTTTTATTTTTTTTTTTTAAATCTTAGCTTAATAACAATTAATGACACTTGTAAAATTTCTACATTTGCAGGACAATTACATTAATAACCACCTGCCGCTGGGCACGGCCCAGTAAAAAACTCTTCAATCGTCGCGATGGCTCACGAAATAACGAATCACCACTCGAGCGACCGCGCGAACGACTATTTTTCTGTTTTAATCGATCGCCGGCTATTAATTTTCTTTTATTTATTAATAACTCAACCATTGCTGTCGCAGCTTTATTTCATCAGTAATCATTCGCTGTCAAATGCCATATAACAATTAATAGGCCTACTAATAATCTGTATGCTCTCGCGTGGTGTCGCGGTTTTTATGTATTATCGTCGTTGGCGTCGCCTTCTCTTCTTTTTTTTTATTTTATTTTTTTTTTTTTTGTTTGCTGCTTTGTAACGAAAGAACGTTATTTTTTCGGTTTAGTTGCAGGAATGGTCCAAATATACATATCTATATAATATACTTTTTTGGTTTTAAGGAGAGAGAGAAAAGAACTTTCTTCTTCCCAAAATACAATTCGGTTAGGGACGCTTTTTATTCATTCAAACGACTTTGGTGGTTCGAGTCGATAACGATTTCCTGTAACAAATGAGAAAAATTTTATTATTTAATTCCTTTTTTTGTTTTGTTTATTAATTTACAATTTTTTTTACTTACATTAGCATTAGAATTTTCAATAGCTTCTTTAACTGCAGCAGCAACGGCTTTTTCGGTGATGTCAATCTCTTCAATTGCCTGAAAATCGAAAATTTAAAATCATTTTAATTTATTCAGAAAAAAATCAGTTTTTCTATCAAATTGAAAAAAAAAAATAAGTCAGATGGCCCCTCGCTCAATAATCTTCAATTTTGTTTTTTCTTTTTTTTTGTGGAAAAAAAAGGAAAAAATCTTCAGAATCACTTTCACTCATCGAGCAGAAAATGATCCTTGGGCGATCATCATTCAAAATTAAAATAACTAATTTTCCTTATAATTTAATAGAAAAAAAGGAAACAGTAATTAGAAACGAAATTATTTAATTACCTTGGTAACAGAGGCAACATCTTCGGTGATAACAGGCGCGAGAGCTGGTGCTACAGTCACTTCGACTGGCACTGCAGGTGGTGGCACCTTTGGAGCTTCATCAGCGCTTTCTGTCGTGCTGACCTCATTTGCCGAAACATTGTTTTCCACTGGAGCTTCGGGCTCGGAAATGCTCTGCAAAAACGTTCGTGTGTTTTTTTTTTTTCTTGTTTGTTAGTTTTCAATGGTTCCCTCGAAAGAAAGGAATAAAAAGCCAATACTCTTCATGCCATAGGACAATTACAAACCCACAAGAGAGAAAATTCAGAATTCATTTTTTTTTATTATTATTACAAGATTTTTGAATCTATTTTAATTTAGAATAAATTACGTGACTAATCGATAAGTCGATTTCAATAAAATTAATCATCAAAAAATGAAAAAAATTTAAGTTTCTAAAAATTAAAACAAAAAATTGATTTTAAATTTTATTAATTTGAACTTTAATAATGTTGTTCATCATGCCTTAAGTACTGTAACGAGTTAAATTCCTTTTTGTTATTGTCTGAAGACAATAACATTTTAACATGCAGTACGCGCTTAAGATTCAAACCACACAACATATGCAATTACAGTAGCAACATGTAGATTAATGGCTTGGGTGAGAGATTTTTTTTTTTAGAATAGTTTGTCAGTAATTGAAAAGCAAAAACAATACAACTACTAGTTTAATCAGATCTTTCAAATTACTTTAAATTTGTTCTTCTCTGAAATAAATGAATTCTGAATTTTCGAGTGAACAAAATTTTTTGTTCGATCTTTTCAATTTTAAAATTGTTTTTAGTAGAAAATTATTTTTTTTTGATAAAATTCATAAAATAAAAAATCCGATTCAAATTTCTATATAATTTAAGAAAAAAAAAATAGATCGAACAAAAACCAGTTCACAATTTTACTGAACATCTGAATTCCTCTCTTTATTATTATATTATCATCATTAATATAATAATTATAATAATAATTATTAATAATAATTATTATTATTAATAAATCCCAAATTAAGTGTTAATATTTCTAAAGAAAACCAAGAGGTGAACAACATAAGGATCAGAGGCATTTAAGGAAAAGGAGAACGAGCATTAAAATTGACTTGTTGTTAATCGTTGATAGTAAACGGGCTGAGGGGGGTCGAAAAAACATTCTTCAGAGCTGTGGTAAAAAAAAAATTCCCAAGAATAGATGAATAAAGGAAAAAAAAAGGAATCAGGATCCACAGAGAAAAGTGAGAGTTAATAAAATATAGCTTTTGACACGCGTTAATAGCGTCATCGCGTGCCATTCTCTTCGTCTCAAGCATATTTTTCCCAGGACAATTAGAATAATCACAATGTTGTGTCACCTCGAAAACAAGTTCTCGGCACGCGTCAAGTCATGTCACAAGTCTCAATGGAATATCTCAAAAGACTCCAAAAAGTTTCCTGATCATCGTGATTTATTTTATTTCAAATATAAAGGGAAATTTATTTTCAAAATTCTCCTAAAAATTGAATTGTTTCCCAAGAAAATGTAGAATTTTCCCAAAGAGAATGTAATTTTTTTTTTTTGTCCAAAGAATTTCCCAAAATGACGGTGTCGTGTTTTGCCCGAAAGTGTGAATTATTTTTGGAAATTGTAATTTTCTTAAAGTGTAGAAAAAAAAAAGATTTTAAAAATCAGAAATTTGAGCAATTATAAAAAAAACTTTTTTGTTGTCTAGAGAACGAAAAATATTTACCGAATTACCAAAATCGTATTTACTGAAAATTAGTCCGAATTTTTGTTTTTAAAATTAATATAAATTGAAATTTCTATTTAAATGAAGTTATTAAAAATTAATAGTTTGGACTTAGTTTGATATACTTTTGTTTGGAAAAATTGGAATTGGAAAAGTTTGTTTGAAGGTAAATATTGAAGGCTTCACAAGAGACACTCGATTTTTGCTCCCAAGAGATTTGAAAGAGAGAAAAAAAAATGAAAAAAAAAAATAGACCAGTTAACGTAGAATTTGGAGGTATCACCACAAAAAATTTCTTTGTTTTTTTTTTTTTTTTTTCTTTGCCATTGTTGTCATGCCAGGAAGTTGCATGAATTAATCACCTGATGATCATCGGCTGCGACGTGGCCATTTGACAATTGACTCGCTTGAGTTTCATTGTCGGCCAATCTCTCCATCATCATTGAATTATTGTCCGATATTGGCTCCAATTCTCGATTGCACGTTCTCGTCGTTGCCGTAATCGTGCAACTGATGACACTACCAGGATTATTTGGACTCTGAGGAGGTGTAAGAATGGAGTCCACTGGGATTCTCGTGGATTCTTGCCTCGCGGCCGGAATTTGAACGGACGACACATCATCCGGAGGAAGTGGATAGGTGAAGGAATCTTCCTCGCACTTTACCAATTCTTGTGGTATCGTTATTACAGGAGGAAGATCAAACGAGTCGGATATGTCGTCAACCTGGGCACACGCGGGATTTTTTTCATTATCATGAATTTCGAGATCATTGAGAGTTTCATGATTCTCTGTGGGTTGAATTGAATCTTGAATTTTTGGCTCCTGATTATTAAGGATTGATTCAGAAATTTCGGTTTCAATAAGGGATTCTGGAATTTGTTCTGGTAAATCTAGAGGCGGAATTTCGGCGTTCATGAAGTTGAGAAATTTGGATGTTTCCTGAAGGGCGGGAGCTGGCGAATCAGGCAGAGGTGGTGGAATCTCGTCAAGAATTTCTTCGTTAATTCTTCCAATGACGGTGGGTTCGCTTGCACTTGTCAGCTCTGTTTGTTCGATAGCGGGGATTTTTATTGATTCACCGGCCGCAAACATTTGATCAGAAACAGTTGTGCTTGATATTTCGTCTTTTATTTCGCCAACGTCGAGGAGAATTTCAACTTTTTTATCCTCGGGTATGATCATTGCCGGTTTCGCCTCAAAAACAATATCATTGTCGCTAATTGGAATTGGACCCTCCTCGGTCTCAATTACCAAATCTTGAATTTTTTCAATTTCGTCATTTTTGGTTTCAATAATTTCTTTGGCATTATTTTCAATCTCAATAACAGATGGACTGTCTTGATTGTCAATTGTGGGATTATTGTCACTAATTTTTTGTGCCTCGTTAATTTCTTGGACTTTCATTGATTCGAGAACATGCTTCTTGGATTCTTGGACAATCTCTTGAATTTCGTCAACGATAGTTGTTGGAGGGATGTTCGCGATTATTGATTCTTTGGGAGTGTCAGTGTGCTCGTCAAACGACAATAAGATGGATTGTTGATTATTGCTGGCAGCCTCGGCAGGAAGCTTGAGTGCCTCGGCAAGGGCCGTGGCGCTTGCCGCTGCTTGCTGAGCCTGTTGCAATGGTGAAGGATCAATTGGCGTTGGAGGAGGACTGGATGGGAAACGGGATGGGAGATCCTCACTGGTTTTCCTCTCAATGATAGACGGCGTTGCAATTGGCTCTGTGTGATGGGCCGTTGCATCTTCTCCACTGACCTCAACTTTATCAGCGATCTCGACTTTCTCAGCGGGCTTTTCCTTTTCCACAGAGGTAGCCTCGTCTTTCTTTTCTTCAGCGGGCTTCTCCATTTCCTTAGCTTCCGTCGCCTTCGCTGGGGCGGCTTCACTTTCAACTGGACTGCTCACTTCGGACTTGTCAATCGGACTGCTCGCTGCCGCATTTTCTGCCTCCTCACCACCCTAGAAATAAAATATTTCATTAAATTTTTGAATCACTGTTTTTTTTTTTGCCAAAATAAGAAGCAAATTTTTTTTTTTTGATAATTTTAGTTATGCGTTAATAATTATTAGAAAAAGCGGGTGCACTTAAGTGGTGTTCGCACGTATGGAGGAAAACGTTAGTTCAGTCGAGCGTGACATTATGTTTTGTCAGGCACGCGAAAAAGGGGGTCGTTGACGGTTGCATGCGTCGCTAAGGGGTAAAGTTCTGACTCGTAATAGAAGAGGGGGGGAAAGGGCGCCTAAAGTGTCCGACAGGCAAGAGAAAAAAAAAATAGGGGGTTGAAATATAGTGGCGCGCCTTTCAGGGGTGGCCAACCGTGTCACTGTGTCAACTAATAAAACAATATGTTTCCGTTTCTAATTAATCGTTAATTATTGAGAATTGAAATATTTTTGAAAAACTTGATTCAATTACGTGATATTTTGAATCCTTTATTTGAACAACACTTATCGTGAGTGTATCAGAAAGTGGATTGGTTGATAATACACTCTAGGATTCTCACGTGTACAATGAATTTTGGCATGATGACAAAATATCTCGTACTTTGACTATTGGCCCTCATCCAGAATTGAATAAAATTTCCCTTTTTTGTGATTGGAATCACAATCTCTTATCAATATTGAGAAAATAAATTCATATATTTCTATATTAAATTCTTGATAATTTTTATCATATTTCAGTTTATAGATTCAAATTTTCGTAATTCAGTAATAATAATAATAATAATAATTTGTATTTGGAGTTTGTTATTTCGGTGTGCAAGTGAATCAGCAACAGATATAGAAACTTTACATATATATTCCATTTATAAATTCTATATTTAGAGGAGACTTTGACTAAAATGGGGTGGCATGGCAACGATGAGAGAAATTTAATTGAAAATCGAGTACAAGGGCGATGTTTCCGAGTTAAAAATAATTTCAATGATATAGTCTCTTTCTAGATTCTCGAGAAAATAATTCATTCATCTCGCAAAAAGATGAGAAGCTTTTTCAAGAATACAAAATAAGGAGGGCAATAGTTAGAGTCTAGAGGCATTGATCATTTTCGAAACAATGGGAATTTCAATTAATAATAAAAAATTAATTTCTCTGTGATATTTAAATTACAAATTTGGGTTTGTTTCGCTAGCGTGGATCACTTTAATTAAAAAAAAAAAAAAAGAGGCCACTTTTTATTTACGAGTGACAAGCAACTAAACGAATTATTGGTTGTAATCACGAAATGGCCTTCAAATTAATTTATCTTTTTTTTTTTTTGCTGTCATTATTTAAAAATATACCTTGTTTATAAAATAAAAATGACCCATTAAAAAAAAAAAAACTAAATTTATTACAGCTGGACCAAGTCAGTTTTAAATCTATTGTCTGCAAATATAAAATGAGATGGTTTTCTGGTTCACTAGAGCAAAACGAAAGTGGAAATAAGATCAGCGGAAAAAGGCACGTTTGCAAACAAGGTTCTTGAACCTTAATTTTTAAATGTGATTTAAACTCACGACACCAAAAAGTAATTAGATAATTTTTATTTCGAATATATATAACTTTTTAAGCTAATTACATTCTATTAAAACTTTAAACGCTCGACAAATTGTTAATTAAATTAATAACCGTGAAACGAACCACTGTTCTATAATTAATATAATTTCGATAATTATAAAATTACTAAAAATTACAGAAAAAAAAAATATTCCAGTAATTCATTTTTTTAATTTTTATTTTTGAGGAAAAAAACAGTCACACTGGTTTCTATATAATAATGCCATTTCGAGAAAACAAAACCTTTTGTAAAAAAAAGAAAAAGTTGGAAAATGTTACAAAACGTGGAATTTCTATTTTTCTACCAGAACAAAGAAGTAAAAAAAAAAAAAAAAAATCCATGACTCAGGATACGAAACATCACGTTATATATATAGAGAGAAAAAAAAGGAAAAAGTCGAGACTTGTCAACGAAATAGTGAGGAAATAATCCGGAAAAGCTGAAGCTTGAGTCATATCGGTTATAAGCTAAAACAACGATAGAATATCGACAGGTTTTTCATCCGTTAATGGATCAGTAAAGAAGTCTAAAAAACAAGCTCGAAAAAAAAAGTTATATTCAATTATTAAATTTAAAAAAAAATGTCAATTAATGTAAATTAATATTGAATCAACGTCAATGTAAATTTACAAAATAGAGAAAGGTACGAAAATTGATTTCACAAAGTAATAAAACAATTAAATGCACGGCACTTAGTAATAATTCAATTTGCGCACAAACTTGAGAAATGTTGACAAACTTTTAAAAGAGTATTTTCAACGTATTCCATAAATTACTTTTAAAAGCCCCGTGGGATCCCCCCTCCCCCCCCCCCCCCGCCCCTCGAGAGGAAATATATATAAGTGTTGCGAATAAATTTCGACTTCACGGCGCACAATGTCAATTTTATTTATATCTCAAGAAAGTTGCTATTTAATTCAAATTGAATTCGATTTGTGTCTTCGAGTTCTAAAAGTGTTGCAAATTGTAAGGACTTATTCTCGAACAAACGCGCAAAATATTCAAAATTAATCTTCTTCATCTATTTAATTAACCATCTGTTCATTTGAAAAACACATTAAAATTGAATTTAAATTCATAAATAAATGCGAAACATTGAAGCAAAAAATTTAAAAACATGCAAAAAAAAAAAAAATCATTCACAAAAAAAACAAAAAATGTTGATGAATGGAAATTTTTTAAATAATGTTAATTTTTCAATTTGATTTTTGGAAGGTTCTTTGCAAATATATACAAAGAAGCAAACGTTTGCTTCTCTTTATCCGCATCTATTTTTATAAGCGTCCTGACGCCAGATCGTCGCGTGACAAGTGTCGGTTTACTAGTTCGTTACAGACCTTAAAAGCAAAAAAAAAAAAAAAATAAATTTTTTTTTTACCCCAAGGTGCGATTTTATCAACTCTCGTTGTGTCTCGATACAAAAAAACCAACATTTGAAAAATTCAGAAATAAAAAAAAAAAAAAAAAACACCTTGACCTTCCTCTCTCAATATAATTAATTTTTCTTCTTAAATTTTCTATTTAATTTCATAAAAATGATTACTCTATTCTAATCAGTCCATAAAAATTTGAAATTATTGAAAAAACTAAAATTTCAAGAAAATAAAAAAAAAAATTTTTTTTTTTAAATTAAAGTAATATAATGAAATAAAAATTTGTAAGTTATTGGAAATTTTGAAAAGTTTTCCTTAAAAGAAAAGAATCAGCGAATTGATAAGTAATGAGAATTTTTAAAAATATAAAGGAAATAGAATAGAAGGTAACACACGCAAAATTTTAAACTCCATTAGCAAAGCTGGGTTTAACATTATCGTTGAGAGATTAGAGGCACATCACAAAACGGAGGCAGTCAATCTATCACGGAAACAAGCCCGTTAAGTTCATTTCGCCGGACCGGAAGTCCTCGGTACCAGAAACAACCTACAACTGATCTCGTGAATAGTTAATGACCCTATTCTGGCAAACTTGAAACTTCATTGAAAGACATACTATAGGAGCCTCTGACTTTATTATCATCATTTAATGAATCATTTTCGAAAGCTAAGAATAAAATCAAAAAATTTTCCCAAATGGATAAAAAAATAAAAAAGATTCGAAAAAAATAAAATAAAAAATACATTAAAGTAATAAAAATCCAAATTTTATTTTTTTATTGCATTTACAGGCCTCGGATCGACTTACAGGCACAAAAAAAGTCGTTTTAGTCGATTTATGTTCCAAAAAAAAGTCGATTTTTTTTATATTAATAAAATAGTTTTACAGATTTTTAAATAATTTTTTTTAAATAATAATAATTTTGAAAGAGTTTTAAGTTGAAATTTTTAGAAATAATTGAATTTCAAAAGATTTTGTTAATTTTCAGACAATAATTAAATTTTACAGAATTAAAAATAATTTATTAAATAATTTTCAGATAACATTTTTTAAAAGTAATTGAATTTTCAATGATTTATAATTGAGATTTTTGAAATTAATTGAACTTCAAGTGATTTTTAATTAAAAAATGGTTTCAAATAATTGAATTTTCGAATAATATTATGAAAATAAGTTAAAGATAATTGAATTTCATGAGAGAATTATAATTGAAATTATTAAATTTCAAACAATTTTAGATGGTAAATTTTAAAAGCTTTTAAATTAAAATTTTTGAAAATAATTGAATTTCAATTGAAATTTTGGATAATAATTTAATTTTAGTTGATTTTAGATTGAAAATATTGATAATAAATAATTTTGAATTGAAATTTTTGAGAATAATTGAATTTTAGTTGATTTTGAATTTAAAATTTTGAAAATAATTGAATTTTAGTTGATTTTTGATTGAAATTTTTCAAAATAATTGAATTTTATTTGATTTTGAATGGAAATTTTGTAAAATTTTTTGAATTTTAAAAGATTGAAAATTTTGTAAATAATTGAATTTTAATTGAAATTTTGGAAAATAATTTAATTTCAAAAGATTGTGTTAATTTTCAGACAATAATATAATATAATAAGAGAAATTTCTAATAATTTCTGTTAATGAAGAATTTATTAGAATTTTTTGGTAATTTTATTTTGTTAATTTTTTTTTAAATTATATACAATGATTAAATTTCATAAAAAGTTTAATTCAAAAATAGTTTAAAATAATTGAATTTGTGATAAATTCCATTAAAATTATTAAAAATAATTAATTTAGTGAAGAGTTTTAGTTAAAAATTTGTTAAAATAATTGAAATAAAGAAGATCTGAAGAAGATCTGCATTTTATACTAAAAAAAATCGTAATTTATTCAAAAAAAATTTTTTTAATTTAAGAAAAAGGCGAAAAAGTCGCATTTTATTAAAATTAGTCGAAAAAAGTCGTATTTTTGAAAAAAAGTCGGAAATAGTCGAAAAAGTCGTATAATCCGAGGCCTGCATTTAGGAACGAAAAGAGGTGAATTCCATTTGCATTAGGGGTGACCATTTTTTTTTTATTTTTTTTTTTAATCGCTTTTTGAATCAAATGTCGCTCTTATCTGTCACAACACTTGCGACGAATAAATATAAAGGGAACTTTCTAAACTTTCGTAGGGGGAGAAAAAAAATTCCTTTTTTCATTCATATAAAAAAAACGGTTAAAGGAAGTTTTGGAAAAATATTTGAAAAAATTAGAATCCACTTCCGTTAAATTTTCCTTATTTTTTATCGCCCCTACACAACATGAATCTAAACGGCTCCTATAAAAAAAAAAGCAAACAGTTAATATAGCCACATTTAAAAAAAAAGGAAAAATTTAATTCCTAATTAATATTAAGTAATTAACTGAATGGAAAAAAAGATTTATTTAACTCAAGTAATTAAATAAATAATTGATTACTTGACTAAATAAATATTTTAAATAAATACTATTTGAGTCAATTAAACGTTGTTTCAAATTGTATAGAAAATCGAATATTTAATTCAAATATAAAATTATTTGGTTCTAGTAAATATTTATTTGATAAAAAAAATTGATTTCATCTTTTATTAAAAAAAATAATAATAATTAAATAATAAAATAATTAAATAATTAAATAATAAAAATAATAATTGAAATAATCAAGAGGTGGAATGAAAAAGGCGATAAAAATAGAAAGTAGACTGGAATTTGGAATGAAATTACAAGTATAACAGGATCGTGGGCAATCGCGGTAATAAATCGTGACCGCCCTGTTGGCTTTAGGAGAGTGATCGATAAATAGCTTTCAATACTTTTTCTCTTATCGTGTGTGTGTGTGAGGCGAGAAAAAATTCGCCCACGGCAAGGACTTCCGGTCGACGTAGGCTGGGTTGGGTTAAGGTGCCGTACCGTGATATTTGTTTCGTGGGGTTCTCTGGCTACAACGGTTATCCCTAGCAGTGGTATCGTGGCCAAAATTCGGCGTGTACCCCAAGCCAAGGCCCCGGCAGCCCTGCAAACACCGTTGCTCACCGTCCGGCCTACCTTCAGCACGGACTCCATATCCTTCCTTGAAAATTTACTGCAAGATTCCTTTTTTTTTTTTTTTCAAAATTTGCGCCTCGCTTTTTTTTTTTTTTTACACACCAGCAATATTTCTGGAATCCTCCTTTCAAAAAAAAACAAACCTCTGCTCACACAAATGACACGTTTTTTTAGAAATTGAAAATCAAAATTGCAAATCTAAAAATGATTTTCAAATTCCTGAATTTTTTTAGCCGAACGTTAAAATTGAGAGACGCTTCATCAAACTTTTTGCTACTAGAAACAAAACAAAATTCATATTTATTAAAATAATTTCAAAACAATTATTTGGAAAAATTTAATAATTTCAATTTTTCAATAATGATGAAAATTTCAACTTTGAGAGATCAGAATAAAACAATTATAAAAATTCAAATTTTCCGTGAAAAAAAATAAAAAAAAAAATTCATTATTGAAAATTGATCCAAAATTTAAATACCAAAATTATCGCCTCGTTATTTGAAACGAAAAATTTGTTCTCATTTTACATTTGTCAAAAAGATGCATAATTAATTATTTTTTTCTCAAATATTGACTTCCGAAATGTTTGTTTTTGGAATTTTTTTACCAATTTCATTTTATAAACCAAAAGTTAATCAATCTGGGTAATAGATTGCGAATCTCTTTTTTTTAATTGCAAAAAAAAAAAATGTTGAATAAATTGATAGAAAAATAATAAATAAGTATATTATAATTATTGTACTAGAATGAATGAAAAAAAATTTTTTTTTTTATTTTTTACTAGTTAAAAAAAGACAGGTTTTTGAAAAGGTAAAAACTTACCAAATTCGCGTTAAAAAAAAAAAAATAGAAAAAAAATTACAATCAAGATATTTTTTAATTTTTCTCTGAATGAGCGTCTCTCAAAAAGTTTTTCGCAAAAAAAAATTTATGAATTTCGACCCTCGCACCTATGGATCACACACACGTTTCCGGTTGAAAAGTTGTTCGCGAACTCAAAGCTCCTCAAGTGTACTCGGTGGTTTATATAGAATCTAGGAGGATCGTCCCACGTCGAAGGAGAGAGAAAGATCGAGTGCGTAGGAGATTAATGCTTAAAAGTGAGCGAGAAAGAAGAAGAGAGAGAGAGAGATTTTGGAATTAGAAGACTGTAATGGCATTCGTTGAAAAGAGAGACAAGGAAAGGACGAGAAGAGATCTAAATAGACGTGTACATTGAAAAAGAAGGGGTTGAATCACTAACAGTGGCGAAAATAGAAAGAGAGGGAAAAGTTTGCAGGAGGTAACAATTTAACACCAGGGCTGTAATTGAAAAAGAGAAACTTCTACTTTTTTTTTCTCTCTATCATCTCTCATTTTTATATACTCAATATTTGAATTTAGATAGATTTTCTCAAAATAAAATTAATTCCCAATTCAAGATTAATTCGAACAATTTTTCTATAATTAAAAATTAATTTTCACAATAGTTAATAATTCATTTTTAATTGAGGATTTTGTTATACTCAAGTCAATTTTCTTTTAAAATAATTTAAATTCTATTATCAAAGAAAATATTTAAATATTACCAAAAAAAAAGGGGATGGGATTTATTTAGTCATCGATCGAAAGAGATTAAAAAATTAAAATCTGGAAATATTCATCAGTTAATCAAAAAAAAATATATAGATTAAAAAAAAAAATATTTTTAAAATTATTTTTTTCAATTAATTTCAAGATCGTTGAGGGATTTATTGATTTCATTTTTTTTAAATAAATTACGGCCCTGTTTGACGAGAAAACGTGAGGAAGAAAAATTCAAGCCACAAACCACGCGTGCGTTTCTATTCTTGGATTCTGTCGCGAGCGAGAATACGACACTACTACGCCTCTACGTATTTGACCGGTCTCTGTCATTTGAGTTTGTAATACGCACCAGGTTCATATATTGTCAATGTGCGCGGAAAAAAAATATTTTCACATAGATGCGAAGGGAAAACTGTGGTGGACAAACAACTGCGCGTCTCGTTACGCTTCTGCGATTACAAAAAAAAAATAAATAAATAAATAAAATCAATCCCAAAGGTATTTTACACACGTGACCATGATATTGCCTTTAAGAGGATCAAATACCCAACTATTCTAAGACAATCAATATTGTATAATGTAATCGAAGTTCTTTTTTTAATAATCACATAACGACGCAATTCGAGTTATTTTTAGAAATCAATTTTTTTTTCCCTTATTTCATTCAATAATCCGTAAATATTAATTATATTTTTATCTACTAAAGAAAGCAAAAAAAAAAAATTCATTTGGAAGAAATGGAAATTTTTTTTTATGACACATTTGCATGTGGCGATAGAAAAGGTGACTCATGAGGAAAAAAAAAAAAAAGGGAATGAAAGGCAATCCACTTCGCAAAAGTACCCTAGTTCACAAGAACACAGAAACCCCTTTACGTACTTCACTTCCGCAATATAAATACTAGACAGACTCGACGAGTGAGTCACCAAATCTTTCAAAATGCTTTTATCGTTCCCATCTCATCACAAAATGAAAAGATATGAGAAAAGCAAAAAAAAAACCTTGAGATTCTGTGACAAACAACAAATTAAATAAATGTTGAGAAAAGAGAAAATTCTCGTCTCTGAAAATATTTTTTTCACGACAAGTAAAATCATCAACTCAAAGGAAAAACTAACATTTCAATTATCAATTTAATTAAAAATAATTAAAAAATTATGTAGAAGAAAATGTGAAAATTTTTTAAGGATTCTTGAAATTGAAATATTAATGTACAGCTAATCTATATTGAAAGAGGACGAATCAACGGATTCGTCGGAAATGCAACGTGACAGAATGTCATTTTCAAACTGATATTACTGATTTCATGTCACTTAATTTAAATAAAACTGTCTACAAAGCGGAACTTGTCATACGTGATGTGAATTCACATACCTTCATTTCCCCTCAATGCTTTTCCAACAGAATATTATTTTTCTTATTAAAATTAATTAATTTCGTTCATTTTTCAATCGGAAAATTTGTATATGTTTTTAATTACGAATGTTTAAAGAATCAATAAAAAAAAATTCAATATTAAATTGAAAATATTGAAGAAAATTCAATAAAAAACAATGGGTACAGTAAAAAAAAAATTTTTTCGATTCAAATAATCGATTTACTTGACTATTATCAAATATTTACTTGAATTTCTATATTTAAAACAAATATAATTTGACTCAATAATTAAATAAATATTTAATAATAAAGTAAAACGATTTTTTTAAATTAAATAATTTTTTTTTTTTATTTATAAAAAGATTAAAACGAAAAGGAAAAGTATTTCAATTTTTCAACTTGAAGGGGAATTAAAAAATGTAACTTTAATAGAGTCTTTATCAATTATTCATTTTACTTTAAAGACCTGAACGTTAAGTCGCTTAAAGAATACGATTAACGAAATAAGGCGAAGAAGAATTTTATTTTTAAATACATAAGAAGCTTTTGAATTTTTTATTATTTGAGAAATAGTGAGTGAAAATTTTTTAAATAAACTATATTTCATTTAAAAAGAAATGTAAGATAAATTTTTCAACAAGATATACTTTTAAGGGATGAAAAAAATTGCAAACAAAAAAACATCGAGGGTAGCAAAAGCAACAAAAGAATTTTTAAAAAGCATTTGAAAATGCCTTTTATTTACTCAGTAAAAAAAAAAAGAAGAGAACTCGTGAAGAGAATATATTGAAAAAGGTTGAGCGTTTAACCGTTGGTGGCAGCATCTCACAAGGTTAGAATTATTTTCGGAAAAGTGAATGAAATAAGTTACCATCAAAGAAATTAAGAGTACTAACAACGTCTCGAGTAGATGGAGAAACAATCGTTTTATAATTTTTAAATTTCAAATATTTTATGAAAAAAAAAATATTCTTTCGTTTTTATAAAATAATTACTGTAGATGAAATTTATAGAGAAATAAAAGAAATTTCAATTTTATAAGATAAATCTGAGTGATTAATTTTTAAATGACCAATTAGTCAAATATTTAAATATTTTATATTTTATCAGTATTGACATTTCAATTTTATCAAATTGACTTTCATTTAAATTCAATGAGTATTATTTTCCACGATGAATGAAAAGGCAAATTGCATCTGTTTAAAAAAAAAATTGATTTCTTTGAAAGAGTAAACCTTTTTTCAGATTTTTATGAAAAAAAAAATTAAAGAAAAAAAGTGTAAACATATTTAGAGAACAATTAGAAAAAAAAAGTTTTTTAAATATTAACAATTTTTTTTACCGAAGCAAAATTTGGAATTTAATTCTTTAAATTTTACTCCGAAAAATGAAAGAAAATTTAAAAAAAAAAAAAAATGAAATAATAATAATAATGAAAATATCGTCGCAAGTGGAAATAACTGACAAGAATGTGAATAAATAAGAGACGTGAATAGTGTGTGCTTTTAAACAAAATGAGAGATATACGATGGCCTTTAAAGTATATCTAAGTCATTAAGCTATATGAGCGAATAAGGTTCGTTCATTCGTTAACACTCGATTCATATACTGTCAAGTGAATAAAATTCATTCGATATAATTCATGTAATAGCAAACTCGTTTATGGAAGAGGTATGCATTTATGATTTGCATGACCATTAAATTAGAATTTAGTATTGAGCAATACGAGGTTGACACTCATGTTTATTCCAATCAACATGAATTAATTCGCCTTATGAATTTTTTCAATTTTTTTTTTTTCAAATCTTCCCTCAAAATCATTATAGAAATACTTGAAATCTCTCACCTGGAAAAAAATAATTAATTATTTTATTAAAATAATCCCAATTACTTGAACTAAATAAATATTTGAACTAAATAATTATTTACTTTAACTAAATAAATATTTAATTGAACTAAATAATTATTTACTTTAACTATAATAAATATTTACTATAACTAAATAAATATTTAATTGAACTAAATAAATATTTACTTTAACTAAATAATTATTTACTTTAACTATAATAAATATTTACTTTAACTAAATAAATATTTAATTGAACTAAATAATTATTTACTTGAAAAAAAAAATTTTTATTTGAACCAAAATAATTTTTAATTTTTGAAAAAAAAATAATTTTTATTTGCACCAAAATAATTTTCAGTTTTTGAAAAAAAATTGACTCAAATAATAATATTATTCAATTAAAAAAAATAAATATTTGATAATTAGAAATTTAAACAATTTTTTTTTTGGGACGTTTATTCGATCGAGAATAAAGATGTTTTGCGCATAGCCAGAAGACTTGTAGGAGATGTTCTTTGGCAACGTGGCAGAGGTTCTCAATTAGTGGGATAGCGCCATAATGGGCCCTTGAAAAGTCATCCAAACTGAAGGGAACGCGCCAACAATGTTGGATCGTAAAGTAGAAATTGTAGTTTTAGAGTGCACCTCACAAATTTACGACTTGCACAAACTCTCTCTATAATCTTTTAGATAAGAAACAATTTTTTTTTCTCAAAAAAAATTTTTTTTTTTAAATCGTAGAATTGAATCAAAAAAAAAAAATTTTTTATCACGAATTCTAAATTAAATAATACTAATTTAAATTAAGATAAAAAAATTGAAATGTCATATATATAGTCGATGTTTGTACAATTCGTGTGGTTGAATTCGCATTGGGTAAAATGATAAAATCGATATGCTCGACTCTCCCTTGTTGAGTTTCACGACCCTCTTTAGGACAGTGAAGAGGGTAGACGACGAGGATGATTTTCAAGGATATGCGAACGTGCGTGATTCTTCAAAGTACCCCATTTCTCTGTTGCACCTAAGAACGACCTTTTTTTTTTTTTCTCCCCATGGCGATTCCCTTCAAACTGAGTGCTTTCTTAAGCCAAGGTGTCCCTTGAGTCTCTATCCAAAGAAATTACCTTACCATGTAAAAAAATTTTTCATAATACGAAAAAAAAAAGTTTAGAAAAAAAATTTTTTATTTAACCATAATTTCCTGAATTTTACGATATTTATAATTATTATCATAGATAAGAAAAAAAAACCATCCATTATTTTGGAAAAGAAAAAAAAAATTGAAAATACTTTTTTTTTTTTTAATTTGCTATATCAATTGGATTTTCGTTGGTTCACAAAAGGATCATGATTCATTGATTGATGCGGTAATGAACATCATTGAATGGGAATAGATTATAGAATCAATTTTGTGAAAAGTGATTGAAGGTTTAAAGCCATCATAATTATTAGCTATCGTTAGGAGTCATTGTTTCAAAATAGAGAAGAGACAAATTTTTTTTTTTTTTTTTTGTCATTCAGAATCTATCAAATTTGATCTCAACAAGAAAAATACATTTTAAATTTTCTGTATTGACAAAATTCAGTGGAAACCGAGTTGTGCACCTGGGGAAATCGAGGAAAAATTTATCTTCCCAGTGTAATGAAGAAAGCAACTTTTTAATGAAAAGACGACACCACGTGAAATTGCAATTTTCTCGATTTTGTCTCTTAATTTCCTCTGTGGTATAAGCAAGAACTCTCAAAGAAAAAAGTATTTTCGTTTAAAATAGAAAATGCAATTTTAAATTGAAATTTTTTTTTGTGATTTCTGTTTGAAGAATTTATTAAATTTCATATAATCCGAGGCGAAAATTAAATTCGAATTTGAAAAAGTATCATTTTGAAAATCAACATAAATTAAGAATTTGTTTCAGGGTCAAAATTTTGTCCATGATTTTTTTCAATTCTTTTTTTTTTTTTTTGCTGAGAGCAACGCGTTTGTGGGAGTTTTCCCCGCAAAACTCTCTCGAATACGAAAACCCAGCGAAGTCCGTCGGTTGGCATGGCAACAGCTCCGCGCGTCCCGGCGTCTCGACGCTCGATACTAGACGACGCCCAAATCCAGCAACAGAGCTGCTGCCCTCGAATAGAAATTCAGCGGAAATTCCCGCGATTCTCGAAGGAATTACAACTGGAAAAGAAAAAAACTCCCCCTCACATCAATGACAATATAAAATATTTATTACCAGACAATTATCTAAATTCTCTAGAGAATAGAAAATAATTTGCCAAAAAAAAAAAAAAAAATTCCTAATTTTTTGGAAAATTATGAAATATGTTAACAAAATTAATTATAAACGCTCGAAAAAATTTATAATATAAGAAATATTTTTAAATGAAAAAAAAATTAATAACGACCTATTTTCTAATTAAAGTTTTATACGCTTTGTTGCATCGAGGAAATTGTCTCTTCGCATATATTATATATGGGCATATCTCTAGAACTTTTAAACTTTATGTTATCTCTCATTATGATACCTTAAGAATTTTTTTAATAAAACTTCAATACCATAATTTGACCAATTATAGGGCTTTTTAAATGTATCATGCGTTATATAATTTTTTTAATTATGTAGGAAATGACGAACGTAAGTTAAAGTGGTGAAATCGACAGTTTCTAGTGTGTGATATTGACTGTTTTTTTTAGTTTATAGACTGCAACTTTTTTAACGAAACATTGTGTGTCTTGTGGCTTGCAATAGAAGTAGGTGGGAGTGTAAAGAACTAAAAAATCCATGAAACAATGATGTGCCTCAAATTGAATAAAAACTATGTAGCTTCAAACTTGCGAGACAACTTTTTCAAAATTTCTACAAGTTAGCAGTTAAACTGATATAACTTTTTTAACGA